TCAGTTTGATCGATAAATTCAAAGTGAAGAGTCTATCTTGTTCAGATTTTTATTCTGATCCAAATCTGTTCTTAGTTTCTATCGAAATTGAGATTGAAGCTCAATGTCATCAGGAGACCTGAAAATGTGACGTCACGGTACAAAATTCTTCAGTTTGATCGATAAATTCAAAGTGAAGAGTCTATCTTGTTCAGATTTTTATTCTGAATTCAAATCTGTTCTTAGTTTCTATCGAAATTGAGATTGAAGCTCAATGTCATCAGGAGACCTGAAAATGTGACGTCACGGTACAAAATTCTTCAGTTTGATCGATAAATTCAAAGTGAAGAGTCTATCTTGTTCAGATTTTTATTCTGAATTCAAATCTGTTCTTAGTTTCTATCGAAATTGAGATTGAAGCTCAATGTCATCAGGAGACCTGAAAATGTGACGTCACGGTACAAAATTCTTCAGTTTGATCGATAAATTCAAAGTGAAGAGTCTATCTTGTTCAGATTTTTATTCTGAATTCAAATCTGTTCTTAGTTTCTATCGAAATTGAGATTGAAGCTCAATGTCATCAGGAGACCTGAAAATGTGACGTCACGGTACAAAATTCTTCAGTTTGATCGATAAATTCAAAGTGAAGAGTCTATCTTGTTCAGATTTTTATTCTGAATCCAAATCTGTTCTTAGTTTCTATCGAAATTGAGATTGAAGCTCAATGTCATCAGGAGACCTGAAAATGTGACGTCACGGTACAAAATTCTTCAGTTTGATCGATAAATTCAAAGTGAAGAGTCTATCTTGTTCAGATTTTTATTCTGATTCCAAATCTGTTCTTAGTTTCTATCGAAATTGAGATTGAAGCTCAATGTCATCAGGAGACCTGAAAATGTGACGTCACGGTACAAAATTCTTCAGTTTGATCGATAAATTCAAAGTGAAGAGTCTATCTTGTTCAGATTTTTATTCTGATTTCAAATCTGTTCTTAGTTTCTATCGAAATTGAGATTGAAGCTCAATGTCATCAGGAGACCTGAAAATGTGACGTCACGGTACAAAATTCTTCAGTTTGATCGATAAATTCAAAGTGAAGAGTCTATCTTGTTCAGATTTTTATTCTGATTTCAAATCTGTTCTTAGTTTCTATCGAAATTGAGATTGAAGCTCAATGTCATCAGGAGACCTGAAAATGTGACGTCACGGTACAAAATTCTTCAGTTTGATCGATAAATTCAAAGTGAAGAGTCTATCTTGTTCAGATTTTTTTATTCTGAATTTCAAATCTGTTCTTAGTTTCTATCGAAATTGAGATTGAAGCTCAATGTCATCAGGAGACCTGAAAATGTGACGTCACGGTACAAAATTCTTCAGTTTGATCGATAAATTCAAAGTGAAGAGTCTATCTTGTTCAGATTTTTTTATTCTGAATTCCAAATCTGTTCTTAGTTTCTATCGAAATTGAGATTGAAGCTCAATGTCATCAGGAGACCTGAAAATGTGACGTCACGGTACAAAATTCTTCAGTTTGATCGATAAATTCAAAGTGAAGAGTCTATCTTGTTCAGATTTTTCTATTCTGAATTCAAATCTGTTCTTAGTTTCTATCGAAATTGAGATTGAAGCTCAATGTCATCAGGAGACCTGAAAATGTGACGTCACGGTACAAAATTCTTCAGTTTGATCGATAAATTCAAAGTGAAGAGTCTATCTTGTTCAGATTTTTTTATTCTGAATTCAAATCTGTTCTTAGTTTCTATCGAAATTGAGATTGAAGCTCAATGTCATCAGGAGACCTGAAAATGTGACGTCACGGTACAAAATTCTTCAGTTTGATCGATAAATTCAAAGTGAAGAGTCTATCTTGTTCAGATTTTTTTATTCTGATTCCAAATCTGTTCTTAGTTTCTATCGAAATTGAGATTGAAGCTCAATGTCATCAGGAGACCTGAAAATGTGACGTCACGGTACAAAATTCTTCAGTTTGATCGATAAATTCAAAGTGAAGAGTCTATCTTGTTCAGATTTTTCTATTCTGAAATTCCAAATCTGTTCTTAGTTTCTATCGAAATTGAGATTGAAGCTCAATGTCATCAGGAGACCTGAAAATGTGACGTCACGGTACAAAATTCTTCAGTTTGATCGATAAATTCAAAGTGAAGAGTCTATCTTGTTCAGATTTTTATTCTAAATCCAAATCTGTTCTTAGTTTCTATCGAAATTGAGATTGAAGCTCAATGTCATCAGGAGACCTGAAAATGTGACGTCACGGTACAAAATTCTTCAGTTTGATCGATAAATTCAAAGTGAAGAGTCTATCTTGTTCAGATTTTTCTTCTAAATCCAAATCTGTTCTTAGTTTCTATCGAAATTGAGATTGAAGCTCAATGTCATCAGGAGACCTGAAAATGTGACGTCACGGTACAAAATTCTTCAGTTTGATCGATAAATTCAAAGTGAAGAGTCTATCTTGTTCAGATTTTTCTTCTAAATCCAAATCTGTTCATAGTTTCTATCGAAATTGAGATTGAAGCTCAATGTCATCAGGAGACCTGAAAATGTGACGTCACGGTACAAAATTCTTCAGTTTGATCGATAAATTCAAAGTGAAGAGTCTATCTTGTTCAGATTTTTTTATTCTGAAATTCCAAATCTGTTCTTAGTTTCTATCGAAATTGAGATTGAAGCTCAATGTCATCAGGAGACCTGAAAATGTGACGTCACGGTACAAAATTCTTCAGTTTGATCGATAAATTCAAAGTGAAGAGTCTATCTTGTTCAGATTTTTCTATTCTGAATTCAAATCTGTTCTTAGTTTCTATCGAAATTGAGATTGAAGCTCAATGTCATCAGGAGACCTGAAAATGTGACGTCACGGTACAAAATTCTTCAGTTTGATCGATAAATTCAAAGTGAAGAGTCTATCTTGTTCTCTGGTTCAGGGATCTCGTTCCATCAAATTCTCAAACTGTCTTTTTGCAACTCCCTTGTGAGCAAAAATAAACACTTTTATTCAAATTTATCGACGAGTTTTCAGGATTCAAAGACAAAAAATCCCTCTAGCCGTACACTAATTGAACGGATCAGTAGAAAAGCATACATTGGATGATCTTTTAATGATTCAGAATCGTCCAGAAGACGTGGAGGCCTCTAGATTATTCGATGCAGGATAAAATAAGTAGAACTTCATTTTCAAGATCAGACTCACTCCCACCATCTTCAACTTTTTTTTTAAAAAATTAATAATAAAAAAATCGATGATTTCTGTAATTTTTTTATAATTTGGATGAATGAAACAGAATGAAAATATCAAAAAAATAAAAACCTGAAATTATTTTTTTTCAAAGGGCCAAAAAAACTTTTTTTGAAATCTCGCGTCCCCTAAAGTGGCTTCTTCAAATCATTACTGATTAAATAAATCATTCAAATCATTATAATGAGAGAAATTATGACAAATTTGCTCTATTATCCTCAAAAAAACTTTAAATGTTCCAAAAAATAATTTCAGACGTTCTCCTTTTTGACCTCGCAACGTTTGATCCACCATCTCCAAAGCCCGCCGGATTTTTAATTTTTTTACGGTTTTAATCGATTTTTTTCACCCTTTTTAAATAATTTTCTGTGTTTATTGGTGATAAATCGTCTACTTCAAGTAATTTTAAGCTTCCAGACTTGTAACCACAAAATATTGCTTCGTAAAAAGTTCCAATGAGCTCCTATTTTGAATTTTGCTGATTTATTTCGAGTTTCCGATCCTGGTTTTTCTTTTTTCGACCTCATTTTTTTCCTTTTCTGATTTCAATTCAATGTTTCTTCACTCTTTGCTTCTTCATATCTGTAAGTTTATTAAAATACATTGCACTACAATTAAAACATTTATTTATACAAGGAAAAACATAAATATACCACAGAGAGACTTTTAAGCATAAAAAATCAGATTTTTGGTTTTCGCCATTTTTTTGGAATCATGAAACATTAAAAACCGAACGTGTATTGCATGCGAGCGTCTCGCGAATTTTAATAAATAAGTAACTATTTATACAAACAAAAAAAGCGACATCGTCGCAGAAACAAAAACATTTCCTTCAGTATAATACAGAAATATTCGTGAGAAAGCTCGCAAAGAGAACAAATTCAACACAAATAAAAGTCTTGAAACAAACCTTGATGAACATACTCATTTCATTCATCTTTTTCGATTTCTTCTCTCTGTTTTTCTTCTTTCTCTTCTCTTTCGCTTCTAAAAGATTAGATTGTTGACGGAGAACTTTCTATTTTCAATGATTCAGAAACTTTGAACAGAAATACAATAAGAAAAAGATCAATTTTTTTGTAACTTTTTTTCGAATAAAGGAAAAAAAGGCGCCGAGATCGATTTGCAGAGTATGCAATGGCGCCCACGTCCAAGCGCACTATAGAGTGTTACAGTACCCGAAAATTCGAAAAAAAAAACTTTTCTGCGGGTTGGAAATTTGTACATAATATGTTATAGGTAAAAGGGGAGCAGTACCTGTAAAATCGATGTAGATTTTGAAGATCCAATTCTTATCTGAACTTTTTTAAAACTGAACTTCCACTCGAATCGTGCTTTTTTTGGACGAATAATCCAAGACAATGCTGAATATCCAGATTCCTAGCCTTTCCGAATTGTTTAAAAATCCTAACTGAATGCTCTAATTTTTCCGTTGCCTTTTTTCATCCAACGATCATTTTTGATGTTCTGAAACATTTTTTTTTTCAGATCTTCGATTCCAAACTCAATATTCGATAGAATTATCGAAGCGTTCACAGCGAACAGCGATCAAGTTAGTTTCTTTCTCGATTATTTAAATATAAATCCAAAAAAACGAAACTGATAATGATGGTCAATCATGAAATTTGAAACTTAGAGAAGCAGAAAAAGTTAATGATGGAATTTTTTTCAAAAATTTCGCTGAGAGATTTGGAAGCTTTTACAATGAAAAAAATTATTTTTTTCTTAATCTATTTTTTTAATGAATTGATTATAGAAGTCCGAAATGGACATGCAACACCGCGACCAAGGTCGCCAGCAAACTGACAGAAGGCCCCCATTGGAGGAACCTGAAGAAGTCGCCAGCAGCGACCCTTTCCTCGTTAGTTTCTGCAATATTTTACAGTTAAAAAAGACTCTTAATCATGTAAATTCGATGTTTCAATGGAAAAAAATGCAGAAATATTGATATAGAACCTCAAAACACATGTTTTTTCTCGAAAATATGGGGTACAAAAAAACTCCTAATTGTGTCAAATCGATTTATTAATGTAGAAAATGCAGAAAGATTGATATAGGACCTCAAAATACAAGTTTTTTCTCCAAAAAAATGGTTTTCGCATACAGTTCAAGCCTCTAGAATTTTGGCCAAATTTTCTACGATTAAATTGAAGAAAATTTATCAATCACCAACTTTCACAATTTCCACGTCGAACTCTGCTTTTCCTGAAAAATTTAGAGAAAAATATTCAAGAGGCCACTTGGAATTATTGAACATCTCAAAGCAATCTTATGAAAAATCATTATTTCAACTTTATCAAACTAACTTATCACAGAGAAAATTAAGACATTCACTTTAATAAATTACACAAAATTCTTTCAATCAATTCGAGAATGAAAAACTTTCCTCAATTTCGCATTAAGGCCAACATTTTGAAGTTGTATAGGTGATTCACGGCTTGCTTGAGCCATCGGAAAGAGAGTCCTGACACGATAATAAATGAGACAGTGTCTGGCTGATGGAGAGCGCAGACAGGCCAAGCCCCTTAGCGTCCCAAGTTAGCCGTGAACCGACTATAGCTTATAATGATAATATTTATTTACAGGCAGAGCAAAATGACATTTACGAGAATTTTGAAAGAATAATTGGCAATGAAGCCTGAAAAAATAAATAAAAGCGATAGAGCTTTATTTGATTCATATGAGTAATTTCAGATGATTATGATTCTCGGTTTTTCTGTAAATGTCTTTTATTTGGAAGATAAAAGGTTGAAATTGCTGAAGAATTTCTGAAATGTTCTTGATGCTATATTTAAAAAAAGTTGATGTAGCTAGAATCGTGATTTCTCAAAAACCTCAAAGAATAGGGGCAGGATATTATCCCTACATAGGCAAAGTTGGAAAGGTGGAAAAGGCTCCATAGAAATGTTCCTTTTTGGGCTACTTTTTGCTGCCTTTTTGAGCCATTTCATCGGCTATTATGCACCATTTTTGTTGCCTTTTTCTTTCCCATCACTTCTTGAGCCTTTAAAATCCTAGAAACAATGGAAGACTCGAAAAAGGACTCTTTTTGCTGTCTTTCTTGGGCCTTTTTGGGGCGTTTTTGAGCCTTTCCTTTTAAGCGACCATTATCCACCTTCTGACTTTGCCCGAGTAGAATATGATCAAATTCAAAAGTCCAACTGAAAACTAAACTAATTTGCTTTTACAGTGGCCGCCATGCCACAGCATAGCACTGAGGCCAGAAGTCGCTGAAGGCGTAAGTTTCTTTTTGATTGTGTTTCAATATTTCTTAAAAACTAATTTGAGCTGATCCTGGGTTTTTGGGAACCAGCGCTCAAAAAATTCTAATATTTTCGTCCGAAGAAAACTTTGGATGCACTTGAATAGTAGTCCAATCACTCTATGTTTGAATGGAATACTTAATTTTTAAGAATCATAGAACTTTTGAGTATTCTTAAATAAGGATGAAGAGACCATCGTATTGGAATATCTAACATGGTTTCCTTTCAGACAAGGGACTTCTTGCGAACAAACCGGCACGCAAGGCCCGGCGTCGGCAGACTGTACCACGCCAGCATCTGGACGGACCAGTTCGGAACGGAGGTGAGTTCTTTGATCCGCCTTTTTTCTATCTAGTATGACCTCACTGATTAGTAGTGCTTCCAACCCCTTGAGATATATAGTCTCTTCAGATTTTGAATGTCAAGCTCCGCCCCTAACGGTGCGATAAACCAATCAGAAAGCGAGCCATCCACAGAGTTTTTTTGAATGACGTCATTCCACTTGACATTCAAAATCTGAACAGACTATAGTCCGTTTTTCGGGACTGGGGCGGGTTTTCTCTAGCCCTCCTTATCTCTCAACTCTCTTGTTTTCCATGTTTCTCTGACCGGTGAGGGAACAGAGAGACGCAGACACGTGAAAAAAATTTCCAAGTCGCGACGGAAGGACTATATGTATAAATTTGTCTACAAAAAAAGTTATAGACATTTTTTTGAAGAGAAAAAAAGCTCGAGTTATCTTTAAATTTAGCCTAAACTTCTCGAAAATCTTTGAAGTCTTATACTCCGAAAAAAACGAAAAAAAGAGAAGGATTTTGAATCATTCGATATTTTATCAACCACTAAGAGCCCTGAAAATCTCACAAAACGGAGTTTGAAAATGAGAAAATTTATTTTTACAGCACGTCGAACTGACTCTGTTCGTTCCGACCGAACAAGATGTCGCGGTTCGTTTTTTTTATTGATTCTAAAGACTCAAGAAATGGTGGAAAAGGTAGAGGCAGCAAAAATAGTGCATAAGAGCCGAGGAAATGGCGCAAAAGGCAGCAAAAAAGGGGCCTTTGTGACCCTCAAAGGAATTTTTCTATGGAGCTTTTTTCCACCTTTTCCGACTTTGCCTATGATTGATTGAAATGTATAAAAAAAGTTTTTTTGAGGAATAAAAACTAAAAAAATTTAATTTTGAGACAGTTTCTGCGATTTTTTTCTTTCACAAAAATACATTTTAGGCAAAAAAAGAAAGACACGGCTTTTATTATATAAGCTTTTTTTATAAGTCGTGTCCTTCTTCTATATAAGCTTAACCTGATGGAGTTCTGGTTTTTCCAACTTGTTAATAGTTTCAAAAAATGATCTCTGAATCTGTACTTGCATGAACATATTATTTCAGTCGATCCGGGAAGAGGCGCTTGAAGTTGAAGCCAAAAGGAGAGAGCCGGCGCCGCCAAGGCCTCAAAACCGCAGGCCCTGCGAATTCGCCAGAGTTCGTTTTTCAGTATTTTCAAGCTCAATATATTCTTATTCATGCTTCATCAAAACTTTGGATGAGAGAAATAAAGCTGAACGCTTCAAAGTTTGAAGTGAACATGAAAAAGTCTGACGTTTTTTTAAAATCGATTCAGCATCGAAAAAGATATTTTTTTTCGACTCTAAAAACTAAAAAAATTTAAAAAAATAGTTAATCTCAACTTTGAACAGCGTCTCACTACATGAAAAAAAAGACTGTTTCCAAAAAATTTTTTTGTAATAAAAAAATTGGAAGTTATTCTAATTTTTACGAAAGAAATTCACAAAAATTTGGGCTCACTATGTTCCTAATGAAACAAATAAGACAGTGGGCGCATTAAAATTTTGATTTTTCTGGTCGAGGCAAAAAAACTGATGGCTACTGTATCGTTTTTTAATATCATATTACAGTTTATGGACGTCGCCGGTCCTGAACAAGCCGTAGTAAGGCTGGAAAGAAGAGAAGAAGAAAGAGAGGACGACGAAGATGAGGAAGAGGTCAGTACATAAAGAATTATATATATTGAAAATAATCACACTTCTGAGTTTCCTGTTTTGAGATTTTTCTGATTATTCCTTTTCGAATGTCCGAAATCAAGAAATTGAACTCGAAACAGCTCCTATGGTACAGTAAAATACAGCTTTTCAGGCTCCCTCCACTTCAAGAAAACGCAAAGCCGAGGAAGACCTCTCGGTCCAGTCTCCAAAGGTTAGTTTGAAAAATATAAAGAAAAAAAATAAATATTTTCTATACGGTTCATTTTCCGAAAAACACTTACATTGTCAGAATAATCAATTTGCAAGCCTAAGCTTTCAAAAAAAGTGTCCACTTTATCAGAAATAAACTCACGTGAATAATTTTTTTCATCAAGAGAAAAAGATTATTCTTTGATTGAATGCTCATTTAAAGGCATAGGGGCAGTAAAAAATGGGGTTTCAGGTGAAAGCAGTATCTTATACAGTTTTTCTTTGCGAATCGAATGGTGTACTCAAAAAAATTATAGATGTGACAACTTTAGAAGAAAAACGCGATTTTACTTTCCCGCCTTTATTTTTTGAAAAAAGCTTTGGATCGGTATACAGACAAATGTTTACAGTAGCCGTGCACGCGATGTTGCGGACGTCTCATTAGACTCGCATTTTGTGAGAAATAACCGGCTCTCTGCTTCAAATTAAGGGTTTCTTTTCTGAAAAAAGGTTTAGTCAAACAAAAAACACACACCGATAATAAAGGAAACACAAAATAACGCTATCGCAATCGAAACCGATGTAAAATCATCATTTTTCACCAGAAAAGCATTTTTGCGATCAAAGTTTGCAAATTATACATGAATAGAATGCTTTTGTGACGAAAATAACTTTGGTGACAACAGGAAAAATTGAAATTTGAAAGAAACGAAGAAAAAAGCGAAAATCCGGAAGATGGGAAAGCCTGTTGTCCATAGAGCAACTTTACTGCAAAGTGCCCTTTTTGCGGGAACTCAAACTTTCCTCTCTCCGACTTTGAATTATTTTTTCTCCAGAAGTAGGAAGTTCGGTACGTTTTCAAGTTTACCGTTCGATTCGCAATGAAAAACTCTACAAATTACTGCTTTGAACTGAAACACCGTTTTTTACTGCCCCTATGCCTTTAACTATCTAGAAACAACGAAAGCTGAGGGAAATCTTAAAATTTGACCTTGTCCATAGATTTTCTTCTCATAGAGCTCTTTTTATATGGCTTCAAAAAAACATGAACTAAGAAGGAAAAGGTGAAAATATTGGTTTGAAAAAAAATTGACATGTGAAAAAACGAAACAGAGCCTTCTCGTGCTGTTTAGAACCATTGGAATCGAAATTTCACCAGAATAGTTTTTCGAATTATTTTTCCGAAGCGTTTCGAAGGTACTTATATTGTCGAAATATCATTTTCATCAGATTCCAAAAGTTTATCAGAACTAACATGAGATATTTCACAACCAGGAGAAAATTATCAGTCTCTTTAGAATAGGAAAAAGCTGCGCAATCATTAAAATTTGAACTTTTCCCGTTTTAAGACAATACGGAGATGCTTTTTTCATTCGAAAATGTGGATTTCGCGCAGTTTTTTTCTTCAAAGATATTATAAATAAATTAATTAGGGCTGTGCGTGAGTCGGTCTTTATGCGCGCATTGATCCAGGAGCTTTTTTAAGATCTCATTTTAAAATTTACATGAAACTTTGAGTTTCGATCCCTAATTGTTGAAATTTCGAGACAAAAAGTGAAAAACTGAAAAATTTTCGACCTCTTGGCGGCCGCGTTGCAACGCTATGGCAAATCCAGCGCACAGCTCTAAAGTTAACTACCTTAGAAACTTGTGAATTTCAGAAGACATTGTTGGGTCCGCAAGGAACAACGGAGAAGAGGCCCGCGGGCGAAGAATTGGAAGGCCCAGTGCCAAAATGGCGCTGTGTGGATCCAGCGAACGTTGGTTTTTTTTTCTTTCAAAAAATATTGTTAGTCTAGTTTTTAATTTTTCCAAGAAATCCAAGAATAAAGCAGTGGAGAATTGATTGTTGCATTTTATGATTTTTCTCACTAAGGAAGCTCTAACTTAGGGAATATTAAACTAGTTTAAATATAGTGGATTAAAAAAATAAAAAAACAAAGCCTGAAATCAGTAATTTGTTTAACTTGATCAATCTTTTCAATCAGAAATTTCTTAAAATTTAAGAAATTATTGAAACAAATATTGAATTGAAATGAAGCCGCCAAAAAAAGTTAACAAAAATTGAATAATATTTTTCACTACTCAATTTGATTTTATTTTAAAAATTATACATTCGAAAAATAGCAAAAAAATCTAACTTTACGTAAGCGTAATAACTTTTTCCAGATCGCTCGATTCAGCACAGTATCAAAAATTTTTGAAACCAATCGAATATGGATTTTCAACATGTCTAGTAAACGAATGAACAAAAATTAGAGAAATAATAAGAGGAACTAACCTTTCATTTATCGTTTCTCCTTTTTTCGATTTTCTCTAAGCTTTGTGCAAGTCCTGAAAAATGAAGTGAATGAAACAAAACAAATGTGAAGAATAAAATACACTTTTTAATAGGAAAATTTGAATCTTTCTAATTTTTTGAGTATGCGCCTACTTTACGTAACATTGCGACCAATACACGCGCAAAAATGACAGACTCTATGAAATGAACTTTAAAGTGTGTTGATTTAAAATCATCGGTATTCAATGAAAACCAGAAGATTTTTGATATATTTAGTTTTAACTTTAGCATAATTATTTCAAAACTTGTTTTTTAATTTTTTCTTCCAAAATATATGAATGGAAAAAATTATAATTTTTGATTTTCACCTACTGAAACGGAAAAAAACTCATTGGAATTCAACCTATTGACTTGGAGATGATTGAGAAAAAGAGTGCAGAGTGTAGGAGAAGCTTGAAAAAAAGAGGGGAAATTATTTTTTCTCTTAGGAATTTTTCAGATCTCTCTTAACTAGTTAGAAAACTACGAAGCAGATTGCTATCCATTTCTAAACGAAATGATTCAGGCCGCTGCCGAAGAAAGTGGGGCCGCAGAAGGCCGAACAACGGCGTCGGTAGAAGGAGGAGAAGGAGAAGAAGGAAAAGATGGAGGGTCTCTCGAAGACCTTGAGCCGTGGGAGCTGGAGTTGCTGGAACTGGAGCGCTCCGAAGGCTCAGTAAGTCTTCTTCCTCTAGTCATTTTACTTCATAAAAACTCTCTAAAAATAATAATTTGCTGGAAACTTGAAAAAATCTGGTTATTTGCTTTCTCTTTGTTTTCATTCCTAGCCTTGGTGCTGACAAAAAAAAGTAAAGAGGTCAGAATTTTTCCGAGCTCTTGAATAAATCAGTGCTCAAAATAAAAGATACAAAGCCGCCTGAAGACTTTTCACGCCTTTTTTGTTAGTGGAAGAAGCCGTGTTCATAATGATTCCGCGAAAATCAAAATAGCCATCAGGGAGTGAAAAATATAAACGAAATTAGGAAGTTCACAGATTATTTTGAATTTCGCGAAAATTATTTCTAACACCGCATGTACGGGAGCGCCGCAGTGCATGCACACAACACGTTAAAACTTACGATAAAAAATATGGGCGGAGCGTCGTCGAAAAAAAAAACGGAGTGGTTTTACCTTGCAAAAAAGCGGTTTTCGCGAACCTGATTGGACTTTTCAAAAATGATCGGTTTAGTTTCGGACGGACGACTTCTCCTCTTTGCTGGAGAGCCTCGGAGGGAGCGGCGGAGCTCCAAGGGAGGATGGGGACGAGGACCCAGAAGTTTGTCTTTGAACTTTATTCTCACTAATAATTTGGTTGCTTCATTGAAAAATTTCTTGAAAGTTCGATAAAAAAATTTCCAAAAAAACTAAGGTTTTCCTTGAGAGCATTTAAAAAAAGGAACGACAGAAATTTTGCTGATCTAAAAAAATATTTAGACGGATTTTTGTGGGCGGCGCCTTGGCCCCCAAAACGTTTCTGGAGTGGATGAGGACGACGACAATTCCTCATCCAGTGCCTCGTCACCGGTGATCTCAATTCTCATATAACTGTAGTTTTTCTCTTACACGGGAAGTGCAAAAGGTCGATGTATTGGAATTTGATGAAACTTGGTTTTTTTCGGACATCCTGAATTCATAAAAAGTTGCAAAAAAAGTGCGCCTTTTTGGTTCTAGTCGAGTTATTATACGCAAAAAAAATGAATTAGTTAGACGAAGGGAATCTCAGCTGTCAGCATTTGGCGTGGTGTAGTGGCTAGTAGTCTAGCGCTATGAACCCTATGACGCTGGCTCGGATCCTTCTTAGTTGCATTTATTTTTTCCAATTTTTTTCTCTGTTAGTTGTGAAATTCACGGATAACTTGGGACGCTGAGGGGGCGTGGCGTGTCTGCGCCCTCCATCAAACATACACTATCTCTTTTATTATCGGGTCAGGACCCTTTTTTGATGGTTCAAGCCAGCCGTGAATCAACTATAAGTGCTATTAACTTCAATATATGATTCTTGAACCTTCTTTTCATGATCAATTTTCTAGAATTTTTGGAGATTAGATTAGATATAATTTTTTCAAACGACCCAACCGATACGCTACGAATCAAAGAACGTTTAGAAAAAATGAGATTTTGAAGCCGTAGATATAAAATTTCTCAAATTTTAAGCTTTGCAGATCTAAATTTTTTCCAGTCGTTTGCTCTTTGACTAATCAGATTCTTTCAGGCCTCCCTGAGCGATGAGCTCAAGGAACTCCAAGCTCTCTTCGAGCTTGAGGCGGCCCAAGAGTTCGACTTGTCGGTTAGTTTTATTATTCCTTTCATTTTTCTTTTTTGAAAAATAATAAAAAAATTCACTGAACTATCACAGTCCTTTTTGAAAAAAACGTCAAATTTCGAAATTTTCAGTGATTTCTCAATCGCTAAAAATTTATTGAAAGGAACAAGAACCAGATAACTTCAAAAATATCTAGAAAAAAACTCCATGACTTGGCAAAATTAAAAAAATAACCTTGAATTAAAAAAATTGATTCAGGACGAGGATGAGTCTTCGGACTCCTTTTTTTCCTCTCCGACAAGCGGCTGGCCGCCTTCAGGAAGGCCTACGCCGAGATGTATCCGGCTGAGGTTATTATTCTGATTTTTTTCTTCCATTTGTCGTCAGCTTCTTCTAGACCTAAAATTTTCTATCAAATAATCAAAAAAACGTTTTTTTATTCGAAAAAAATAAATAGCAACAGTTAGCGAATAAAAAAATAAAAAAAGAAACAAAAATATAGAATTTTTTTCAGTTCACCAAGTTTGTTTCTGTAGAATTTCATCGTCATACTAAGTGTAAAAAAATTGCAATTATTCGCGAATTCTCGCAGAAATTGAGCCGAAAATTGATGGGAAAAAGGGCCAATTGTAGACACCCCAAGCGTATTTCTCAATACCATCGAAACCGTATGATTTCAATTTTAATCGACAGCTCGAATCGTCTAATTCATAGTAACAATAGACTGAAGAAACAGAAAAACTTCAAAAAACAATCAAAGAAAAAAAATTGGCGCAAAAAAACGAAAGCTTTGGCAAGGATCTGGAGTTCTCACAGTTTTTAGGGCGTGCCCGTAAAGCCAATGCGGCGCGGTTGCGAAATAATGTGGATTTACGCATCTGAAAAAAAATTGCTTTTTTTTTATTCATTTTACAAGAAAAACTGAAACCAAAAATTGAATAACTTTTTTGTGTTCCAGTTGCACAAAGACAGTATTTTCAATGAAGTAGATTAAAAGCGTGAATTTTTGAAAATTCTTGAAATTTGATTGGTTGGACTTGGATATATCATATTGAGTGTGAAAAAAAGATTATCAGAATTTTTTTAAATATTCGATGTTATTCAAGTTTTTCATCAAATATTTTTTTGAATTTATGAAGTGCGTTTCATCTTGAAGGTTTCAGCTTTTTGAAATATAACTTGAGAATAATTATGTCGAATGATGAAATTAAAAAAATAACAAAGAGATTTTTTTGAAAAAAAGCTTCAGCAATTTCCTCAATCAGTCTAATACGGCGTGAACTGGAAAAATTTTCAGAATGTCCAAAAATTTCGAAACTTGAAAAAAAGTTCAAATCTAGAACATTTTAAGAAACCTTTCTAGTGAAATAGATTCCGCCTCTTATCTTTTTTTTAATGTTTCTAAATTTGGATTTCAGTATAACGAAGAGGAGGAGGAAGTCGAAGACGAAGAGGAGTATGAAGAAGAAGGAGAAGATGAGGAAGAAGGCGAAGACGAAGAAGAAGACGAGGAAGAAGCCGAAGGCGAAGAAGAGGCCGAAGGCGAAGAAGAAGACGAAGGCGAAGAGGAAGATGAGGAAGAAGGCGAAGACGAAGAAGAGGAAGACGAGGAAGAAGAGGAAGAAGAGGAAGAGGACGACGATGACCAGTCCGGTCCAGCCGTCCAGCCTGCCGCAGCCCCTCCACAAGCTGCGGCAGGTGCTGCCGGACCTGGTCAAGCCCTCCGTCAGCCCGCTCGTCAGGTAACTAGCAAATTTAGTGAAGAGAAAATGATTATAAAGTTTTTTTCCCTTTATTAACTAATATAAAAGTTTTAAAAAAGCAAATTCCCGTTTAACCGAGAGTTTTATTGCGCATTTTCGAAGCAAATTTTCGACTTGAACTACAAAAAAAGCAAAATTTTCTTAAGTTGCAAATAAAAGTCGAAAACAGAAAAATATAACGGATATCCGGAAATTCAAAGATGATTTTGAACTTCGCGAAAATAACTTTGAACACATCATGTGCGAAAGCGCCGCAGTGCATGCACACGACACACTGAACTTTACAGAAAAATATGAGTTTCGTCAAAAAAACGCCGTGACTAAAATAATCCTTGATGAACCCGATAAAAATCCGAAAAGTTCCAATTTCTCCAGAATTTTTGAGAGTAAGAGCCCTTTTTTCTCGGAAATCAGGGTCTAGTGTGTGTTTTTTTAAGAATACGCTGTGCCATATTATTTTTTTCGAATTGACGCATAAAAAAATGGACCTGTTTCAGCGCGCCAACCCCGTCTTTGGCCCCTGCTCAGCGTGCCTCCAGACGGCAGAGGGGCTTGGGCGTTGGCCAGGCCGTCCGCCGGTCGCCACCAACCCTGGCCGGTCTTTTCTCCGGCCCAGCTCCTTGAGCACATCAGAAAGGAGCTGGAGGACAGGCTGGTGGATGGGGGCACCGGCGACGAGGAGCTCCGGAGGATCGAGCGGCTATCCTCGGCGATGACGTCGCTCACCGCAATTGAAAATGGCCGCCGGGTCAATGGAACGCAGATGGCCAGGATTTTGCGGAAGATCCAAATGGCATACTGAGTTAGTTTGCACACAATCATCTAGTTCAATCCAATAATTACTCGACCGACTTTGATTTCAAACGTCTTGATCACTTCGTAAATGACTTTTAAGAATTTTCCAAGAGGATGGAAAAATTGTGGCTCAGTATTGGAGGAAAAACTGTTTTGAACTCTTTTTTGGGAATCTTCGCGAGTCTGCGACCGAGTTAAAAAAAATTTCCCATATTTTCTCCATCGAAAAAATTGAACTTGAAGTGTTTCTATGCGTGAAGGTTACTAGAAGTTTTAGCAATTTGAGCAAATTAAGCTTCTAATTGGTTTGTTTTGGAGCAAAAAGAGTCAAAAGCTATTTTCATGGAGCCAAAGATGTTAGAAAGAAGTGTGTTCGAATATAAAATATTCGGAAAAAAAGATTTCTCTCGAGTTTTAATCACTTCAAAAACATGTTTCCTTCAATTGGAATCGCTTAAAGTAGTTGCCAAAAACTAGATTGAGTTGTGAAGATGTCCTTTTTTTGCATAGTCAATCCATTCCGCCCTGAAAGGCGAAGGAGGCGGAGAAAATAAGCGGGAAGCGAAGCGTGTGCGTACGCGGTTCTTGGCACGAATTCCTGAAATTCGATTGTATTTTTCACTATCTGGCGCCTATTTTGAATTTCGCGAAAATTACTTTGAACACGGCATGTGCGAGAGCGCCGCAGTGCATGCACACGACACACTAAACTTTACGGCAAAATATAGGGGGCGTCGCAAAAAAAAAACGCCGTTCTGCCGTTTTCAAAGTAATTTCGCGAAATGCAAAATAGCCGTCAGAGAAAGAAAAATATAACTAAATTTTGGAGAGTCAGAGATAATTTTGCATTTCGCGAAATTACTTTGAACACGGTATAAAAAAAGCCAGCGAATTTTTCATGTAGGGAAAAATTGGCTGTAAAATAACTCATATTTAATTCCGGGCTAATTAGACACGAATTAGAGCAAATTTACCTAGGTTCCCTAGCTGTCCTCGCCAAACTCCTCTCGTCAATGGAAAATCCGCCCGGAAGGCTTTTTGGAAACCCGTTTCACCCACCTTTTTTGAATTTGTATCGTCGAACTTGGAATTGATTTTTTTGTTGTCACCTCTCATCGAGGCGAAATATTGTGTTTTTGTCTCCGATTTTGTGTGTTTTTTTGATGTCCAGTTTTATTCTTGAATTGTTTTATTTTTTCTTTTCAATTGTTCTCATTTTTGTGTTTTCCACGGCTTCTCATCGAGGCTTTTTGTCCGTTTTCGTGTTTTTTTTTTTTTGAATCTTTGTTTTTTTTTCATGCCTCTCATTGGGGCGTATATTGTACTTTGTCCGTTTTCGTGTTTTTTTTTTTGAATCTTTGTTTTTTTCCTTGGCCTTTCATTAAGGCATTATCTTGTACTTTGTCCGTTTTTGTGATTTTTTTTGATTTGATTTCCAGTTTTTTTTTGATTGTTCTGTTTTACTAATTTTTTTTTCTCAATTGTTTTCTGTTTTTTAACTTTTTCTGCATACTTTTCTTTCTTAAATCATCTTCCTTTATAAGGTATTCGAAGGTATATTTTTTTTAGCTTTTTTAGTTAGTCAATGTTGTTGTATTAATTAGGGAACTCCCGGCGCGCGCGAAAAAATAAAAAAATAAAAAAATAAAAAAATAAAAAAATAAAAAAACAATAAAAAAATAAAAACCAAAAAAACGTCTTCTTCCTTCTTTTTTTGTTTAAATTGTTTTTTTCCTTTTTTTCTTTCTCTATCAACCGCCTTCGAATACCTTTCCAGTAAGGGTAATTTTTCCCTTACTGATGTTCTCTCCGTAGGTTCAGTTGATTTTTTTTTGACTCGTTCTAAACGAGTTTCAGCTCTTGATGGACGGGCTTAAAAAATTCCCGTCAGAGCTTTGTTCATATCATTTTTTTGAACACTTTAGCTTCCTCATGGTGAAGTTCGAGTGGAGAAGAGGTAGCCTCTTCTGAGAATTTTTTTTTCTTTTTGCTTCAAGGAGCCGTCATTTTTCGGTCTCTGGCTTTCCGTAGGGTTCATTGAAAGAATATTTCAAACTCGCTCCTTATAGCGAGTCTCCAAATTTGACGGACTAAACACAGTCCTTTATGAAATTTTTACACTTTTTTTTCCATTTCAACTACTTCATCTTCATGAAGTAGAAAAGAGGCTCAAAAGAAGCCATATTTGAATTCTTTTTTTTTTACAATTTTTTCTATCATTCTCCGCTGGCTAAAAACAGCCGCAACCAAAATTTCAAATAATTTTTTTTTACTTCGTCATGGTCGGCTTTATGCGCAACAGTGGTAAGTTTTTTGGTGAGTGAATTTTTTTTCTTTCTTCTTTTTGCCTGATATGGCTTGATTGTGGAGGTTGGAGGTCATTTTTTCGAGTTTTTTGTCCATTTTTCAAAACTTTTCAAAATATTTTTTTAAAAAGGGTGAAGCTTAGATGCTTTACGGTTTTGTTATTATTGATTTGGAACCAAAAGGATATTTTATTTTCATTCAAATTGAAACGATCGATTTTTGTCTGATGCGTTTCAGTTAGAAACTCGAATTCAGTTTTTTTTTTTCAGTAGTGAATCGTTTTTTTGTCCTTTTTTTTCTCAAAAAGGCTATTTAAGATTTTTTTTTTCGGTCATTAACCTCTTTATATTGACGGGTTTTCAGCTAGGAGCTCGACCGTTCTTTTTTCCAGGCAAAAATGCCTTTTTTCAATGATTTTTTCAACCTTTTTCCCAACAAAAAGGCTGCATTACAACTTTTTGCCGATTTTTTTCTTTCATTCTCCGCTGGCTAAAAACAGCCGCAACCAAAAATTTCAAATCATTTTTTTTTCATTTCGTCATGGTCGGCTGATGCGCTACAGTGGTAAGTTTTTGGTGAGTGAATTTTTTTCTTTCTACGTTTTGCCTGATAAGGCTCATTTTTTTGGGTTTTTTGACCATTTTTCAAAAAAAAAAAGGGTGAAGCTTAGATGCTTTGCAATTTTGTTTTTCTTGATTTGGAACCAAAAGAATTTTTTTCAATTTTTTTTTCATTCACATTGAAACGATCGACATTCTCTCAGATGCACTTCAGTTGGAAACTCGACCGCTTCTGTTTTCGGTTTTTTTTTCCAATAGTCAATCGTTTTTTTCGTCCTTCTACTGAAAAAGGCTGTTTCTGTTTCAAAATTTTCTATTTTTTAAAACTTGCCTTTTAAAATGGGAGGCAGAAAGCGCCTTCACCGTTTTTTTTTCCGCAAAAAAGGCTGTATTTATGATTTTCTTTTTGGTCATCCACTTCGTTAAAACAGTGGAGTTGTTTTTGGAAGTTTGTCGAATTCTCTTTCTTTTTTGAATCACGATTCTGAACTCGTCGTCCTTTTTTCCCGACAAAAAGGCTGCATTACAATTTTTTGCTGATTTTTTTTACATCGATTTTTAATTTTTTCTCGATATTTTGGCTTGGAATTCGACCGTTTTTGTTTCAAATCAAAAAAAACGTTACTTATTTTAGTAGTCGATTTTCCGCCAATTTTGGAAAAAAAGAGATCACTCTTTAACGCTTTCGTCGAAGCGCAATTACTTGAAAACTTGCTGGAAGTGTTTTTTGTCCTTTTTTTCAAAATGAAAAAGGCTATTTCGATCATTTTTCTTAATGAAGTACCATGAAAATCACATTTATTCCATTTCAAGCCATGGTTCTTCAGTCGGGAATTTTTTCACGTAAAAATGTTTTGTCTTCCTTTTTTTTCGCAAAAAAGTGTATTATTAGGATTTTTCCGCTCCCTCGATTTCATGTTTCCATAGTTAAAACTAGTTTTTGGTTTTGAAATAGAAAAAGGCAAAATTTACTTTCGAATACCACATTTTCGTATTTTTTTTAAGCAAAAAAAGGGCTATATTCATTGATTTCCGGTGTTTCTTTCGAAATTACTCGAAAAATCTGCCTTTAAAGTTTTTTTCCAATTTTCATAATATTATATTTGTTGAAAGAGCTGTGTAATTATTCTTGGTGTGATTTATTCAGCTCGCCTAGGTTTCTTGTGATTTTTCCAAAAAGAAAACTTAATTCAAAACTTGTTTTTATTGAGCTGTTCTTTTTTCATCGCGTCTTTTCAGAATAGTTTCTGAACGAAAACTGTTGTTTCAAAGATTTTTATCACATCGTTATCAAGTTTTCTTCTTTCTCTAGGCCTAAAAATGGGTCAGCCAAGTTTTTGAACAGTTGATTTCTGTTCATGTTCTTAATAATAGATAGTTTATTCAATAATAGATAGTTTATTCACTGCCATTATTTAACATAAAAAAAAATAAATGAAGAATAGATGATCAAGTGAAGGAATAGGCAGAGAAATAACAATACACGGGAAAGAGTCAACCCCAACGAGTTGACGGGTACCCGGAAATATGGCAAATTCATAGGAGACGAGAGGGGATATTTTCATGAAAGGCTTCAAACGGAAGAGCATTCAACTTTTTACGCAGAGTTTCTGGGGTAACGTTAAAATCTAAATAAGAAGTTAGTTTATTCCAATTTCTTGATCGTTAGTTGAAAAAAAAAATTAGTTCTTGTTAAATTTTTTTTTTCCTAAATTTCAACAGTTCGGATCTCAACCGAAAGCTATCGTTTTGATAATTTCACATTACTCTGTTTTTTTCCAAGGATTTGATCCCCGAAGCGGCTAATTTTCCTTCTTTTTCGAGGTGCTCATCTATTTTTATTCTTCATCGGCTTTTGAACATCTCGTCTTCGAAATCCGTCGACGTTTTTCGCGATTGATTTCTTCGCCTGGTGACGCTTTCAGTTCATCATAGCACATTCAGGTTTATAAAACAGTTTTTCGTGATCATTCAGCATTCTACGACGTCGGAGCACAATTTCCATTGAAATTCTTATACCCCTTCTCAATATCAGCAGAGCTTCTAGAAGTTTTGCCGATTTTTCTGCTCGACTTCGTATTTCCAACCTGTTTTTGGGGCGTTTCTTGATTTTTTCAAGTTTTGAGGTTTCAATTTTCTCCATGTTGAGCTCTTGGAATGGCAGGCGAAAAAGCTTCTTTTTGAGTTTTCAGATTTTTTTTTCCCGGAACTGCGATCTTTGAAGTTCGACTGTCGGCTCGAAAATATGTTGCTTTAAATTTTTTCTCATCTTTTTACAGATTTTCCGTCCGAAGGTCTTTTTCTTGTTTCACAACGCCAAGAAGCTTCGATTAAGTGTATAACTTGGTCTACTTGCGAGATTTCCAATTTTTAGTTTTTCGAAATTAGTTTGTTCCCGCCTTGGTCTGCTCTTTTTCCGGAAACCGATCTTCTTTTCGTAAGGAGCATTTGGAAACGTTTTTGAAGCCTAGGAGTTCTTCAGTTTTGGCAAAGCTCCTAGTAGTCTCTTCTTCTCGTCACGTCTCCTTGAACGTTTCATAATTTCGGTTTTCGAGTTCAGTCCGCTGCTTCATTTGCTCGGTATTTCAAGGCTTATCCCTAGGTTAATTTTCGGAAGATGTTGTGAAGATAACCAGCAGGATATTGGAAGGTGAATAGAAGCTAGAAGGTCTTGAGAGTTTTTTGTTCATGAAGGCCTTCATTTTTTCTCCAAAGGTCTCGACTTTGATCCGGAAAGTCGAGATTTTTCTCTTCGAGTCAATCTCAGTGCAGCTCATACAGAGCTGGGGATGTTTCGAGATGTCAGGTAAGTTTACATCCAATAACCCACAAAAAATTTACTAATCTCAAGCTTTTCAAAAAAAAGTTCTTTGAAAAAAAACATACAGAAATCAAAAAAAAGAACAGCCAAAAATTAATAGAACGTTTTCCAATCAACCAAAAATAAGGGGGCTTTCTCACGGGGTGGGGAAAAAATATGTTTAACTTCCCAAGTAATCTTTTTATTTTCAGGTCGGCGACCGGTAGAAGGCAGCGAAGATGAAGTTTCAGAGTTTGGGGCCCGTCGGGAGGTATTTTTACCTTTTTCCTTTTCTAGAACTCAATTTTTGAATTTAGGGTCGGGCGCAGTCGGAGAAGACTAGGGAAGAAGTTTCAATACCTGCGAAAGGTAAATTTTTAAGTAAATCACAAAGGCTTCTGAGAAAAAGCTTCTTGGATAAACACAGAAAGAATCCTGTGCGCGCCTGAACCGTCCTCTCTCTCTCTCCGAGGCGGCTTGGCGCATTGGTTAGAGGGCCAGTCTCATGATTAACTTTTTTGAGTAGGTTCGATTCCTGTCGAGGGCAAAGCTGTTTTGCATTTTTCTTAAGAACAATAAACTTTTTAGAAGATAAAAAATCGATTAAAGAGCATTTCTCCTGGTTCAAATGCTTCTCAAAAAAATGATTCGAGTGAATAAAAGTCTTTTGCAAAGCAACTACCTCCATCTAGAGAACATTTTTCTTGAATTTCTTCGAAAATATGAAACTATATTGATGAAAATTCTAAATCTTTTCGAATTTCGTATCTTTACAAAGAGCTTTGTATTTAAGATAAATGGAAAAAGATTTCCGCTCAGGAATCGATCCTACTCAAAAAGTCAATCATGAGACTGCACAGTGTTCCCAAACAGGCGGCAGATGTGGTCATTGGGCGTGGCTGTATGCAATGGGGGCGCGGCTTATTGCAATAGTGGCGCGACATTGAGAGCCGATTTTTGTGCATTTACTGGATGAAAACATAGCGTTGAATAGTGTTTTTCAAGGCCTCCTTGAACTTTTATAATAGTTTTAATATAGTCCAACGCACAATGAACCTATTGAAAATGGAATATGAACGGAATCGCTTTTGCCAAAAGATTTATCACACGAAATGCCTTTTTTCAGGAGAATTCTTCGCGTAAAGTCCTAAAACATTTCTTGAAGGAAAAAACCCATGACGGTTCTCTCAAAAAACGCATTCTGAATATTCTGAAACGAAAAATCAATTAGCTTCGGCACAAAAAAATTTATAACTCAAAAAAAGTCATTTTAGACAACATATGTTTATTAAAAACGTCAAAAAAATTTTTGAAAAAAAGCTCTAGGCGTTTATCTTGAGAAACTCATTCTGAGCATTTTAAAACAAAAACATGAACCAAGTAGCTTCTGCAAAAAAAAAGTTACAATTCAAAATGTCATTTTAGTCGAAATTTCGGGACCACCTCGATCAAAAAATTGACTCAAGTACCTCTCAAACGCATCCAACACGGTTATATTACACAACAGAAAGTAAAACGATTCAAAAATCTAAAAAAATACGCGGGAAAAAAAAGGAAAAAACTATATTTAAACTGAATGAAATTTTGATAGGTTGACACGCGCCGCACCGCGATGCGTTAGAATGAACTCGCGTTTTCGCCCCATTGAGACGACCATTGTTTTCGCCTGCGCTCGCCTGTTTTGAAACACTGTGGACTGGCCCTCTAACCACTGCGCCAGGCCACCTCGGTGAGAGAGGAAGGTTCAGGCGCGCACAGGACTCTTTCTGGGTTTATCCAAGAAGCTTTTACTCGGAAGCCTATGTGGTTTAGCAGATATTCTCTCTTGTTTCCAAGAGCTCCTACCTAACCTGGTAAGTCTATAAGCCACCGTAGTTTCAACTTGATACTCGTAGCCGAGCCTGATTAGTTCCCTAGTTAGTATTTTCAAAGTTGTTTTCTGATTGGCTGGTCACGCCCTTTTTTTTTGAGATTCTAAAGCGGAACGAGCCAATCAGAGAGTTGAAAAACTTGATATGAACGAACAAAAAGGCTGAATGTGAAATAAATTTTTAGAATTTTCTTCAAATAGGAGTAAATTTCAATAATTTCGATTCAAATTGTCACTTTCAGAAATGGAAATATAATTTCTAAATGAATACCTTCCAGAGGTCGCTTGACTACGGTGGGACTGCTCCATGAACGTCAAAGAGGACGATGGATTCATCGAGGATTTGAAGAATACTTGAAACTGTTTCTTAGCTTGTGATTTTCCAGAACAAGGAGTTGACGACCGTTGGTCGAGTTGGTCGCAACTTTTTGGTCAAGTAAGCTCCACTAGTTCGACTTCAGCAACGGAAATATCCTTTGAAAGACGCTGGGTCAAATTCCACCGTGGAGTAGTCGATAGGCCTTTTGGTTAGTGGAATCAATGATGAGGTTTCACGGCGTTTTTGTCAGTGGAAGAAAAGGCAAAGCCAAAAATGAAGAGGGCGTGGTCAAAGCCTCCGGCGTTCCCATGTGACGTCATGAGAAAAAAGCGTAAACAACGGAATATTAAAGGCGCATGAGACAAATAATTTTCTTATTTTGAAAAACACAATTTCTTGATTTATCAGGCTATCCAATAGTTCTTGTCCGAAAATTTTCAAAACTTCATAATTTTCTTTAGAAGTGTTTAAATATCAGGCAAGTGTGAGAACCTTCTAGAAGGTTCTCCAGTGTTCCACGCTAGGGGCAGGCTTGTGCGAGGGCCGGCCCGTCACCCTCTCGGCCCTCCGACCATTTCGTAAGCCCGGCCCGGCCCGGTCTTAGCGATTCGGGCCGGGCGAGCCTCAGGAAAAAAATGGCCCGCCCGGCCCGAATCGCGCAATTTTTTCCAGTCGGATATCAAGTTTTTTTACGACAAAAAAATTACGTTTTTTTGCTCATTTTTTTCTCTTAAAGTTTAACAAAAAAACTATGATTTCAGAAGTAAAAAGTCACATTTCGGTGAAAAATTTTTTTAAATGAAATTTTTAAATTATTTTTTTGAAGCCCGGCCCGGCCCGAGCCCACGCGGGCTTTTTTTCCTGAAAAATGAGGCCCAAAGCCCGGGCGACCCGACCTGTCGCACAAGCCTGGCTAGGGGTATATAAGGCGCAGTCGCAGCGTCTAGCTACCAGTAGAAGCTAAAAGGGACCAAGGTCAAATTCGTACGTTCGTATACTACGAGCTGCTGCTGATCAACGACACGGGCATCGCGGTCGCCAACATCTGCAGAGCGTGCAAGGAGGATGCAGTGTCTCAATGCACAGTCAGGCGCTGGTTTAATCGTTTCGAGAGCGGCGACACGAGCCTCGAGAACAGGGAGCCCAGCGAGAGGCCTTCTACAGTGGATGATGACGAATTCCGTCGCTGTATCAAGGAGAAGCCAGAAGTCAACATCCGTGAACTGACGACGACGCTCGGCCGCACCAAGTTCACCATCCACAATCGACTCAACTCACCCGGCTACCACAAAGTTCTGCCCTGTTGGATCCCGGCCGTCTGACGAACGCCAACAAGCAGAGCCGCATGGCCGTCTGCCAGTTTCTCCTTCTTCGTCCGCATCGCAAAGAGTTTATCGAGGACCTCGTCATTGGAGATGAGACCTGGGTCCTCTACGACAACGACGCCCGCCGTGCCGCTTAGATCCCGCGCGGAGAAGAGCCGCCGACAACGTCGCCCGCCGTGCCGTCTGGATCCCGCGCGACGAAGAGCCGCCGAAAACGTCGAAAGCCGACCTGCTCCCACTGAAGATCATGCTCTGCTGCTGGTGGACGCCAAGGGCATGCTGTACTTCGAGCTGCTCCCGCAAGGCAGGACGGTCGCCGCCTCCATCTTCACCGATCAGCTCGAGGAACTAGCCGCCGCCATCTGAGAAAAGCGTCCCCGACGTGCCTTGGTCTACCTTCTGCATGACAACGCGCGCCCCCACGTGGCGAAGGAGATCCAGCAGAAGTTGGCGACGCGCGGCTGGGAGACGGTATTCTTCGGACCTCGCTTCCTCCGATTACCACTTGCTCCGCCCGCTCGAGCACCATTTGGCCGGAAGAAAATTCACCAATTACGACAGCCTAAAATCCGACTTCGCGGACTTCTTCGAGTCGCAGCCCCCGGAGTTTTGGGCGAAGGGCATCGGCGACATGCTCAATCGTTGGGCCATTGTCGTGGATAACTGTGGTTATTATATTGTTGATTAGACTTTTTTTTTCATTGAGATTAAAAGAAAAACTAAAAATGGTGAAATTTTGTGACGAATTATTGGACAACCTGATATTTTTTGAAAGCACATCACCGTGTTCAAAGTGAAACTCAAATTAGCCGCCAAAGAATGAAAAATATAACGGAATTTCGGAAATTCAGAGATGCTTTTGAATCTCGCGAAAATCACTTTGGACACGGCATGTGCGAGTGCGCAGTGCGTGCACGCAACATACGACTCTTCACGGAGAAAACGTGGAAGGGCGCCGTTGGAAAAACCTCGAATCCTCGTGACGCATTCAATTTTTGTCGGTTATCACAGTTTATATCCAAGTTCACATAAGTTCCATTGGTTAATGAATCAGGCAAGTTCTCAGTCATCACAAGGACGACACTGGAACTTGCGAGTGACGATGGCTTTCTCTGACCCGGCACAGCAAGTTTGGCGAGGATAGAGACAGTAGTCGAAATTGCAACGGGCCAATCGCTCCCGTGTGCCTCTGAAATTTTTTTCGGAAGTTACTGGTCTAGTTCTATCAAGGAACTCACTGGCAGTGCTTGGAGTTGCCGCCTAAGCAGGTTCTGACTTGTCTGATGCTTCCGCAAGCGCCGCAGGTGTCGTTGCACCTTGCTCCGGGCTTATCTGCCCATTCGGACCAACCGGAGTTGTGGGAATTAACCTGGATAAAAAGAATATGTGTTTTAAAAGAATCAAAATCAAACGTACCACTACTGAGAAAATCACAATTGAAACGAGAAAAGAGAGGAGCTTCATCGTGAAAGTATTGAATCACGCTAAATGTGCAACGTATCGCTTTATTGCCTTTGAAGAAACGTTTTATAACCCTTTTACAGCAAAATTTTAAAGCGAATTCTTTTTGAGATGAAAAGATGGACCAATACATCAATTCATAAACCATTAATTTTGTTGTTTCAGTCGAAGTCAAGCAGAACAAAAAATGTTAGATTTTTAACGAACCCTAGACGAACTAGAAGTCCAAACTTGTAGTTGATCAAGTTGAAAACATGGTCTCACGGTCCTTCGCTAGTTCTTCCGCGCATAGTTCATCCAGTTACGCCCTGAAGAGCTCAAAAAAAGCGGACTTTGAATCGTGTTGTAGGTGGAAGCCTTAGTATAGGAGCGCCACTTCGAGGTAAGACTTTCCATGGAGTTTGGGGATTTTCTTTAAGTCCTCATAGGAGCGTTTTTCGACTGAGGCGAATCATGGGTAGTTGGTTAGAAGGGAAATGGAAGCTAGAAGGTCTTGAGAAGTTGTTCAGAAGGTAGTTGGAAGGTCCTTTGAAGGTATCAGGCTGTCCAATAATGTCCGAAATTTTTCAAAATTCTATAATTTTCCTTAGAAGTGGTATAATATCAGGTAAGTGCAAGAACCTTCTAGAAGGTTCTCCAGTGTTCCACGCTAGGGGTATATAAGGCGCAGTCGCAGCGTCTGGCTACCAGTAGAAACTAAAAGGGACTAAGGTCGAATCGTACGTTCGTGTACAACGAGCTGCTGCTGGGCAACGACACGGGCATCGCGGTCGCCAACATCTGCAGAGCGTGCAAGGAGGATGCAGTGTCCCAATGCACAGTCAGGCGTTGCTTTAATCGTTTCGAAAACGGCTACAGGAGCCTCGAGAGCAGGGAGCCCAGCGAGAGGCCTTATAGAGATGATGACGAATTCCGTCGCTGTATCAAAGGGAAGCCGGAAGCTACCATCCGTGAACTGACGAAGTCGCTCGGCTGCAACAGGTCCACCATCCAGAATCGACTCAACTTACCCGGCTACCACAAAGTTCTGCCCTGTTGGATCTCGACCGTCTGACGAACGCCAACAAGCAGAGCCGAATGGGGCCGTCTGCCAGTTTCTCCTCTTCGTCCGCATTGCAAGGAGTTTCTCGAGGACTTGGTCACGGAGGTGGGAGCTGGGTCCTCTACGACAACGTCGCCCGCCGTGCTGTCTGGATCCCGCGCGACGAAGAGCCGCCGACAACGCCGAAAGCCGACCTGCTCCCGCTGAAGATCATGCTCTGCTGCTGGTGGACGCCAAAGGCATGCTGTACTTCGAGCTGCTCCCGCAAGGCAGGATGGTCACAGCCTCTACCTACACCGATCAGCTCGAGGAACTAGCTGGCGGCATCGGAGAAAAGCGTCCCCGACGTGCCTTGGTCTACCTTCTGCCCGACAACGCGCGCCCCCACGTAGAGAAGGAGACCCAGCAGAAGTTGGCGACGCTCGGCTGTGAGACGGTTTCCGGACCTCGCCCCCTCCGACTACAACTTGTTCCGTCCGCTCGAGCACCATTTGGCCGGAAGAAGATTCACTAACTAGGACAGCCTAAAATCCGACTTCGCGGACTTCTTCGAGTCGCAGCCCCCGGAGTTCTGGGCGAAGGGCATCGGCGACCTGCTCAATCGATGGGCCAATGTCGTGAATAACTGGGGATTATATTGTTGATTAGACTTGTTTTTTATTGAGGTTAAAAGAAAAATTAAAAATGGTTAAATTTTTGGACAAGAATTATTGGACAACCTGATAATAAATGAAAATGCCTGCCAGAAGTCTTTCAGCAGGCTTCTAGAAGGTAAATAGAGGTATATTGAAGGCATTGGACCATTTACTAGGAAGTTTCCAAACGCCTTTCGAGGAACCGAAAGCAGAAGCTACCCAACGTGTACCTGAGAACATTTTCGGGCTCGACCACACACATGAATTTCTTAAGATTTGCGAGAAAAGTGTTGGCTTTATTCCCAAGCACGAAATTTAATTCATATGGGTTTGCAGACGAAGTGCATGTACGGTATTCGTGTTCCTCTTTTTACGTAACCAGGGCAGCAGCTTATGCGAGGGTGGAGGCAGACTTGAATGTTGCAAGGGACCTGGCGCTTGCTCTTGCCTCTGTAATTGGAAAGTATTTGATAAATTTTTGGGGTCCCGTGTGTGACTGTGTCACAAGTTCGATCCCGTTGGTAGCGGGAAAACCACGGCTTTGAAACCCCCAGCCGTTACACAGATGAACGGATAAATCACTAGAGCCGGTCCACTTATTATCACTGATATCAAGAGGAAATCTAGTCTCTGGCAAAGTCGGAACAATGGTTAAAGGCTGCAGAAAGGCAGCAAAAAGGTAACGAAAAGAGCCCTTTTATGGAGTCTTCCATTTTTCCTGTCTTTTTCACCCTACAAGGAACACTTCTCAAGAGCCTTTTCCCATCTTTTCCGACTTTGCCTATGGTCTCATCGGCTTGGGCCGCCGCCAAGCGGTACAAAGGCGTAAGTAGAAGGAAAAGTTTGTACGTATCAGTTCAAAAAGGATCTTGCGTGTTCCGAAAAACTCCCCTGCACTCCCTGCGATCGCCCTCGCAGAATCTCTCTTGTTCGATCCGACCACAGCCTCCGCAGTAGTCACTACAGGTTTCACCTTCCTTGTCGGCCCATTCGGACCAGCAGGACTCGGAGCTGTGAGAACTCACCTGGAAAATATGTAGTTTGAACTCTACACTGTGAAAACTCACCACGAAAAAGAATGCAAACAGTGTCACAAGGCTTAAAAGAAATTTCATAGCGAAGGAAAATGTATGCTTCGAGAATCGCTTTATTGTCCTTACATAGGCGTTTTTTATCCTCCAAGAAAAAAAGGTTTTTGAGAGCCCTTTCACTGTTTTTATAGTCATATTTCACTTTTTTTTTGATAAAAGAAGATCCATATTCAAAGTTGTTAACTGCTGGTGGTACCAATAGAATGAGTAGGGACCGCAAGCCATTTCCTCAAAACTATTCAAAAAATATGTTTTTCACACTATTCGATAGCGAAGACTGTCAATTTTAATAAACCGGTTAGTTTTCGAAAAAAGATCCATTAAGAAAAAAGTTATGACGAAAAAACGAGCGCGCGCGGCGTTCAACTGGAGGCAAAATCTCACGGTTGACCCGCTGCCGCACGCTTTCTTAAAAAAAAGAAAAGAAAAAAGGAGTTTTTGGTAAAACTCAAATATAATTTGATTCACTGTCCCAGTAATTATTTTCATTTTGAATTTTTATTTTTGGACACATCTTTCATGTCGTGTCGCTAAAGCTTCAAAGTTTGGTGTCACTTTACAAGCTTAGATATTTTTTTCGCGTCGGTAGATTTTTTTAAATTTTCACTCAAAAAATAAAGAAAGTCTTAATGTATAATATACTCAAAATTTAGAAGCGTTCCTCACTTGGTTTTCAAAAATGCGACGATTTTGTGAAACTTGTCAGTTTTTTTTTGAGTTAAATCTTACTTTTTCACTTATTTATGAAATAAACACAGTTTCAAAAACATTCAGTCTTGTAGAGCGTTGTCGATTACATAGGTTAACAGAAACAGTTTATTTTTTTAAGTGGAACTTTAGCTAGTATAAACGCCTCAAAACATCGTCATTTGGTGGCGTGAAGGGGCGGTGCTTTGCGCTCCCTAAGAATGAGCGAAAAAGTCATACTACTTACTTACTTAGATACTTACAAGGGCTGTGTGCGCGGTGAACATCGAGTTATGAATTGAGGCTTTTATGGTAGATGGACGAGTGTAGGACAAAAGCGCCGATTCCAAGAGCGCCGTTCAAATTGAGCGCCAGTCCGCAATGCGCCGTCGCGTGTATGCGCCGTGTATGCAGACGCCGCTTTCTTTTGCGCCGAGTCCGTTTGCGCCGAATCGTTTTGCGCCGTTATTTCAAACTTTTATTCTTTCGCTCTTTTTCTATCATTGTTTATTGATTGTGTAGTACACACTCATATACAATTCGAATAATTTTCGCGCCACCTGTTAATATGGACTTTTCTGCCGCATTTTCGAAAAAACTCGAACTATTGTTTCAAGAAAATGAGTTCAACGTTACGAAAAACGATTTTCTGCTGTTTCACGTCTGCTAGAATTGAAACTTTGCCTTACCTAACGCAGAAAGTTTGCAATCACAAAAAAAAATCACTAATATGTCGTTTAAAGCTATAACTTTTTTTATCCATTCTCTTTTCCTTACGTTTTCTGTATTTTTCGAAATCAGAAAAGCATATTTGCTTTTTTATTTTTACTTTGAAAAGAAAAAAGGGGATAAAATATTTTACCTGGACCAAAGTGGACCTAAAACTCATCATTAACGGATGGCGCGAAAATTATTCGAGTCGTATATGAATGTGTAGTAAACAGATATTAAAAAATAATATAAAAAGAGCGAATAAATAAAAGTTTGAAATAACGGCGCAAAACGATTCGGCGCAAACGGACTCGGCGCAAAAGAAAGCGGCGTCTGCATACACGGCGCATACACGCGACGGCGCATTGCGTACTGGCGCTCAATTTGAACAGCGCTCTTGGAATCGGCGCTTTTGTCCTATACTCAGATGGACGTAGGGGAGAGTGCTCCAAAACGAAAAAGAAAATCTGCTAAGCGCCATAGGGTACCGAGAAAAAGTTCGTCAAAGTTTTGCCGCCACGTATATCTCCGCGCTCGGAGTGCTCGACTAGCAACTGGTAGCGTAGTGAAGTGGCAGTGTTCTTGAATGCCGCTGACGCTATGCTGGGTTCGATTCCTTTTGACGTAAAACTTTTTTTGCTCTTGTTTTTTCAGTTCTTCTCCACTCTGTTATTAAGAAAAAACAGCGAAAAATGTTTGAATTGAAGGAGATGATTGAAAATTGGAAAAGAAGGAAGGAGAAAGCAAAAAAAAACTTTTTTGGCGTAATATTTCATTTTTCCAACGAAAACTTCTGAAAAATTGTTCAAATAATTGATGCTTGAGCGGCTTCTCGAGATGACAGCACAATAAAATACAATACAAGGTTAGGTAGCTTTTGTAAAAAAATTTATAATTGTGAATAATATCACACCTGGCTCCTCTGGTCTTATTCAACCATTTTTAATGTTGTTTTTCTTCATACTGTTTGGAAATCTTTCATCGCAAAAATTCCACCGACTGCTCTATTTTCCCTTTTTCGAATACCAAAAGTTTTGTTTTGTTGTTCACCGAAACTTCTGAAATTTCTGAAACCTTCAGTTCTAACATTTTTTGCTGTTTTTGTTTAATAATAGATTTTAGAAGAACTGAAAAAACGAGAGCCATCCATGGTGTTGAACGTGTTATAGCATAATTATGGTCTGATTATCTTTTTTTGCCTTGCCAGGGCTAAAAAAGACCGCCCATTCTGTCAGCAGAAGCAAGCCGAACTGCGTGACCGGTGTACCGTTAGCCGCCATAAATGGCGTTGTCTCCCCGTCACCGCGTAGAGGTGTTACTTGAAAGGGAAAGTCATCAGAATTTGAAATTATTCAGAAAAAAAAGCGTTCTCGGCGTTTTCATCGAACTTTTAACAAATCAAGAGAAAAAAAAGAAGAAAAACTTTTTATTTGCGTGTGCAGATGTACTTTTTGCCTTTTATCACTCTTTTGAAGCCGGCGCAGCAGACCAAGCGAGGCAAAAGGCAGACTTCGAAATTGCAACGGACCTTCCGCTCGCTTTCCCCTCTGTAAATGACGTTTGAAGGTTTGAGAGGGCATTTTTGATCATTTCGATTCGAAAAGCTTTCCGATAAACTAACGTGCACTCTCTGTCATCACCGTCACAAGTTCTCACCTGCTCGATCTCTCCACAACCTCCACAGTCGTAGGTACAGGCGGCGCCCTCCTTGTCGACCCATTCCGACCAACAAGACTCGTCGGAACTGTCCTAGAAAGGTTTGAAAATGTTAACTGGATACGAATCCATCCTTTCGAGAAAAAATAAATTTGAAAATTTACCGAGTATGACCGCTGTTTGTGGCTTGTATGCCGCCAATCCCTCACCCCGGGGTTAGATTCAGCCTAAGTATGGCAAAGTATTTCGAAAGTTTCACAATCAGAGCTCACCACCACGAAAAAAACTGCAATCAAAAAAGCAAGGCAGCTTGAATCGAGTCTCATCGCGAATCACGTTTGATGTGCCCTGCTTTATTGTTCATAAATAGGCGTTTTTTATCGCTTTCTTCAAGAATTGTAAACGGATTTCAATGAAAAGCTGGGAACTATCATTTTCTTCTCCACTTTTATTAAGCATTTCATCAAAAGAAAAATTTTGAAGGTTTATAAAAAATGTTCACGATCAGTTTGATGTTCAATAGCCCACTAAAGTGGCCACTTCAGAGGTTCATGGTTAAGGTTTACCTCGAGTCGAAAACCTTTACCCTGCCAAGCTGCGAAAAGTTTGGTGGCTACTTAAGGGATTTTAAGTGGCCACTATAGTAGTCGAATCAGTAGCTGGCAAAAATTTAGTGGCCACTTTAGGAGTCTGAGGGGGACTTCTAGACCACTAAAACTACTTCAGTGTGCACTAAGACACTATCCAATGGCTTATGAAGTGGCCACTTTAGCGTCCTCTTCAAGTAGTCCTTGAGAAACCTCTTAAAAGGCCACTAGAGATTTTTTCATCAGAATAACAGAATTTATGAAATCAAATATTTAAATGTTTTTCAAAATTCGAAGCAGCTTTATTCTTACAACAACAGAAAGTTCATTCATCGGGCTCACAAACGAATTCCTTGTTTTCCTCATCAATCGTTTTTTTGTAGCCATCGCAGCAGTTTTCGCGGGGGAAGAGGCAGATTTCGAAGTTGCACGGCGCCTGACGTTCGCTATCGCCTCTGGAATCGGAAGGTTTGCTGGTTTGAGTTTGGAAGAAATTACTGGGAAAGCTCAAGTGACCACTTGAGGGAATCCTCAAGGACTACCTGGGGGAGGAAAACTCTATAAAAGCCACTAAACAGCGCCTTAATGGCCACTATAGTAATTTCTAGTGATCTAGTTATACCACTAGGCTCCTAAAGAGGTCACTAAGTTTTAGTCACTTAAATGACCACTATTTCGACGACTACAGTGGTCACTGAAAAGTCAAAACCCTAAAGTGGCCACTCAAATTTGCGCAGTCCAAGGAAAATGAAATACTGAAAAGAACTAACTATTTTTCCCTGAAATTTTAAGAAAAGTTGAGTTTTTCGGGTTTTTTATTGATAAATTTCTGTAAGTATTCCTTAATGTGACTGCTTCCATTTCTTTAAAGTCTTTAAGGTTTGAAAGTAGTTGAAATTATTCTTTATTCGGCATTTGATATCTTGGTCGCAATGGGAATGGTTCAATGCGTTGCGGTTATTCGTTTTAAGCTCAAAGAGTTGCAAAAAGAAAACTTAAGTGGCCACTAAAACTTCAAAACTTTAAAGTGACCAGTAAAAATTTCTACTGAACTGTTCAGGAAAACTGACGGGCACTCTCCGTTGGGAGAAAACTTTATAGAAGCCACTAAACAGCGCCTTAGTGGCCACTATAGTAATTTCTAGTGGTCTAGTTTTACTACTTAGGCTCCTAAAGAGGTCACTGAATTTTAGTCACTTAAGTGATCACTAATTCGAAGACTACAGTGGCCACTAAAAAGTCAAAACCTTAAAGTGACCACTAACAATTTCTACAGAACAGTTCAGGAAAACTGACGGGCATTCTCCGTCCCCGCCGTCGCAAGTCCTCTCCTGATCGATCTCGCCACAAGCTCCGCAGTCGTCGCTACAGCTTGCGCCGTCCTTGTCGGCCCATTCCGACCAACTTTGGGATCGAACCTGAGACAGGTAGCCTATTTGTTAGGCCCTTTGTTCACCTAAGCTCGTAATTATACCAAAAAAACACTCACCAAAGTAAAAACGGCGAGAGAAGTGAGCAGGACGAGCTTTCCACTGATGCTCATGATGTTTGTCGGTTTCCCATCTCTTCTCCGTATTTAAACCCATTTTGGTCATTGTATATTCCAAAAAAAAAATCGTCTCGTTTTCCCACATGCGACGATCTCCGACCATTGGATTTATGAATCGAAGGTTGGAATTTGAATGGCCTTTTTTTGATGCGAGAGAGAAGAATGGTTAACAGATCGGTGATCAAAGTTTTATTATGTTAATAGTTCGATCCAAGGTTTTTCAATCACGGGGAATGCAGGTGAACTCATTCTTCGTGACCTTGGGCTTCAAGCCAGGAGCGCAAGACGAACGGGGAAAAAAGCAAACTTTGAAGTTGCAAGCGGCTAGTCGTTCACTTTCGCCTCTGGAATGTATTCTTTAGCTTCTTAAAAAAAATTGTCCTGGACTTTTCTGCGCCCTCTTTCTTTAACGCGCTCTTTTCGCGTTTCTTAGGAACCTTATAGTGGTCCCTACAGAGGTTAGTAGCAACCTTTATAGAGACCGAAAAAGTGGTCCCTATAGGGGTAAAAGAAATATGCTCTCTATAGAGGTTCAGGGTCTGACCCCTTAGACCCTATAGCTTAAGAGGCCCCTATAGGTATTATTCAATTTGATTTGAAAAAGATTATTTTTCTAGTTTTACGCATAGAGTCCATAATAAAAACCGAACATGATGTCCCCTATAGAGACCATTTTTGTGAGCTTTAGTGGCCCCTATAGGGGAGGTGAACTAGCCCCCAGAGAGGAACCTTCAAGAGCTTTAAGGTTTCCCCTAGGGGTCTTTATAGGGGTAAAATAAAGGTGGTCTTTATAGAGGTATCGGCTCTGACCCCTTAGACCCTAAGGCTTAAGTGGCCCCTATAGGGATTATTCAATTTGATTAACAAAAGTTATTTTTCTAGTTTTTCGCATAGAGTCCATAACAACAATCGAATATAATGTCCCCTATAAAGACCATTTTTGCAAGCTTTAGTGACCCCTATAGGGGCAGGCCTCAGAGAGGAACCTCCATTTGAGTTTGCCTCTAGAGGGATCATTCTGGCGTTCCCAGGCTGACTTTCGCCGGTGAGAGAACAGACACTCGAAAACTGGGCGGGAAACTGACTGGCAGTCCTTGGAATTGCCCCCTTGGCAAGTTCTGACCTGCGCGACTCGCCCGTAAGCCCCGCAGGTGTCGTTGCACCTCGAGCCAGGCTTATCCGTCCATTCTGACCAGCTGGAGGCTTTCACCTGTAAATATTCCTGTACCAGAGTTTTCGAAACGAAACTCATCACCACAAAGAATACTGCAAACGCCGACAGAATCACGTAACTTAAGAGGAGTTTCATCGCGAGGTGTTGGAAAGACTTTGAATGTGCCTTGAAGCACCAACAATGTTTATAGCCCTCTTTTTATTGTTTTGTCGCTTATTTATGATTCTGGTGTTACAAACAGTGAAGGGCCTTTTGTACGATTGCTTGGAAAAAAGTTCGAAAAATACAGCAAGCATTTTTGGGGGAACCCAACTGGTCCAGGAGGGGTTGGCTTGGCTTTCAAAAACTTTCAAAAGTTTGGTATAAAAATCAGTTTTGAGAGCAAGAAGGTGGTGTTGACAAGGATGATATGAATTTTAACTTTTTGAGGTAGTAATCATTTTAATTTTTGAAAAAGGGCTGTCGGCCTTTAATTCTGTCTATGTATTTCAGAAAGTGATTTAGTTCGAAAAATCTATCAAAAAGTTTTATTCAGAAGTCAATTCGGAATAATTCAATTTTTCTATAGTCTGTGTGCCAAGACTTGGAATTTCACCGAACGACATTCCGCTGTTCCGCTGCGTGCGTTCGCGGAGCGTCTTTCGAATCTAGGTCACGCTTTCAATTAGTTGTTATTGCTGTGAGAGCACAGGAAAGTAGAATACCTTAAAAAAAGAAGAAAAAAAAGTTGAAAACGCGACCAAGGTTCGAAAGACGCTTCGCGAACGCACGCAGCGGAACAGCGGAATGTCGTTCGGTGAAATTTCAACTCGTCTCACACAACCTAGTTTTTTTTTTTCTGGTCGAAAGCGATGAAAAGAATATTATTATCTTAGCAAAGTCGCTGTTATGATTTTTAGAAAAAGACATTTTTGGTCCGAGGGATGAACTTTTCAGGAAAAATTGAATTTCTTTTCATTTTTTTTATAAAGTTAATATGATTTTTGTATTTTTTTCTCTTCTAGCATTCAGTTTGAGGTTGTCTTAGGAAATCGTTTCAACGTTTTTTTACGTTTTCCGAGTCGAATAAACTGAAATAATATATAATAATTTATATAGTGTTTCAAACAATCCGGTCGTGAAAAAGAATTTATTTCGCACGAACTCTTATTCTTGGGGCGTGCAAATTCGCTGCTTGTCCTTGACTTCGTAGACGGTACCAGGTTGACAAGCAGGCCGAGGAAAGAAGCAAGATCCGAAGTTGCACCTCGCCAGACGCTCACTTTCGCCTCTGAAAACTCTTTTCAGTGTTTCAGAAGGGGAAACTAACTGGCATTTGTTATTGTTGCCGCCTAGGCAGGTTCTAACTTGCTCGATCCGACCGAAAGCGCCGCAGGTGTCGTTGCAAACCGCGCCAGGTTTATCGGTCCAACCTGACCAGCCTTGAGATCTCACCTAGGGCAAGAAAAACCTTGTCAATTTTCCCAACTTGATGCCGTGTTCAAAGTGACCAATGGGTCCCGAGACGAATCTATTTCTCATTTTTAAAAAACGCGATTTTTTTATTTTTTTTTGTTTTGTTTTAAAACACATGCCGTGTTGAAAGTAATTCCGTGAAATTCAAAATAGCCACCAGAGAGTGGAAAATATGACTGAATTTCAGTTCGCGAGAATGTGCCAGAGCGCCGCAGTGTATGCACACAACACACTCTACTTTACGGAAAAAATATGCCGTCGCCAAAAAAACGGCGTGTGTTGGAGCCACTGGTTCGCGTCTTAGTGGTCACTATAGTAGTTGGCCTAGTAGTACTACTTAGACTTCTAAAGAGGTCACTTGATTTTAGTCACTTAAGTGACCACTAAAAAGTCAAAACCCTGAAGTAACCACTAAAAATTTTCGTAGACTGGCCAGGGTGGAGCGCTGCGTACGCGACGCGGCTCTTTGGCGGGAAAATCGAAGTCAAACGCAACCATTATTTTTTTTTATACTTATATTCGTTCACTGCATTTTTGCAAACTATAAAAAATATAAATTTATCGAAAACTATCGAAAAAGAGAAAAATAGAAACATGTGACTCGCGTCTGAACTCGATTTTCCCGCCGAAAAACGCGTCGCGTACGCAAAGCCTCACCCTTCCCAATTTACCCATGCCGCCTTTAAAGTCACGATGGATCGACTATAAACGTGCAAATCAAACTTACCACTATGAAGAAAACTGACAGGAGGCCGAAACTCGGAAAGAATTTCATCGCAAGAAAGTTTATTGTGCCGCAAATCACCGATATTTATAGGCCTGTTTTAATAGTTTTCTGTTTTTATGACCTGGGAAAATCCTTTACGAAATGGTTACTGCTCAAAATAATCGTATCAAAAATTTAGCAAGCAAAAAAAATCACTAATAAAGGGTTTCATTTTTTATTTTTTCAGGGTCGAAATTGAGGATCAGAAACTTCGAACCCCTTCTCCCGCGAAACGACTTGTCAAAAGACACCGGGGCTTCCGATGAATGTACTTCTGGGCAAAATTAACACAGGTTTATTTTTGAACATTCTGTTATCAAGTAAATATTGCTCTTATTGGCTAGTTACTTTTTGACTGGCGCTTCTAGCCATTCCAAATGCGACAGAGAGGTCCCAAGATATTGCAAAAAAATATACTTCAATCGATGATTTATTTCGTTAGTCTCAAGCCTCTTCGCATAAGCCTTTTATTTAACCTAACAGTTTCCTTGCAATTAAAGGCGCATGCCCACAGGCAGACTACGCGCATCGAAGGGAAGCTTCCCGGAAGGGTTCTGTAGATCGGAGAAAAGTAAGAATCGTGAGAAGTTGGTGCGGAATGAACTATAGTGAAAGATGTAATCGACTGAGCGATGGAGAAAAGGCTTTTGGAGCCATATTGAACCTTTGACGAACTCGAAGTTCATTTGTAGTTGATTAATTTGAAGTCATGGTTTTACGGTTTTTCGGCTCGTTGTTCTGGGCGTAGTTCATCCCCTCGACAAGTTCAGAATGAAGCCGAAAGCCGCCCCCCTTTGGTGCTCGAGCTCAGAGACCGTGATCTGAGAAATACCGTATTCTTCAAATTTTTGTGTACAGGGTGGTCCAAAAGTATTGTCGCAAAGAAAAAAACTACGTAACTTTTAAAAAGGAACAAATGGAATGAAACCATGACCTGTGGAGAGTGTGCAGCTTGTTTATTCATTCTACCTTTTTCATTGGCTTCCTGAGACGCCTTAGCAAGTACCCGACGCTTTTTGGGTTCAGCTTGGGTGAACAGCTTCTCGTCGCTGAAAAAAGTTCTGAGGTGGCTGTTTTGGTGCAGGCCGGCAAGCAGCATCTTACACCTCTTCAGTCGGGCTTCCTTGTTTCTTCCGGATAGAACGGCTGCCTTCCGAACACGATAAGGGGTGAGTACGAGAGGGCTCGTATTCATTCTCTGGCGATTTTTCGAATGCTTTGATGTGGATTTCGACGAATCCTTTCCCGAACTGCCTTCGTTCTCTAAGTGGTGACGGAGCTGTGCGGTCTTCCACTTCTAACACGGTCCTGGACACCTCCTGTCTCCTTTCATTGCTTGATAGTTCTTTTCGCCGTTCTTCGCCCAACGCCGAGCAATTTACAAATAGTCATTGTCGATGTTCCTTCTTCCCTCAGCTTGAAGATTGTAACTCGATGAGGGCAAGAGGTTTCCGTAAAAATGAACCGATCATTACGAAACTTTAAAGGTATGCCTATTCTGTTCAGATTTTGAATGTCAAGTCGTCGCTCAAGCTCCGCCCCTAATGGTTCGATGAACCAATCAGAGAGCGAGCCATCCACAGAGTGTTTTTCAATGAAGTCATTGCACTTGACATTAAAAATCTGAACAGACTATAGAAAAAAAACATGATGAACAAATAAAAATATTTAAAAAATCACGGAATATGCGTCAAGGTACACCACCTTGGCGCAAACTTTTGCGACAATACTTTTGGACCACCCTGTAAACTCTTACTTGACTGCTCCGAACGAACATCAACAAGTAGATTTATAATTGTACAGCTTGAAATAAGTTTGCTTTGAAGGGAAATTTCATGGCTTCTCAGTGCAGATACGCTTGCTGTCCTTGACTTCTGGGCTGTAGCCAGAACAGCAAAGGGGACGAGGAAAGGTGCAAACTTCCAAGTTGCACGCCACGATTTGCTCATTCGCTCCTCTGAAAATCTTACGAGGTTTCAGGAGTTCGAAATCAACCTAATGGGTTTTGAAACTAACAAGCAGCCATTGGCGGTTTGGCAAGTTCTGATTTGTTTGAGGCCACCGCAAGCGCCGCAAGTGTCGTCGCAAGCTTCGCCAGGCTTATCAGTCCATTCGGACCAGCCGGATTCTTGAGATTCGACCTGAAATCATGGATTTTCATGATAATTGCTTTGAGACAAAGCCACAAAGAAGACAGCAAAAGCCGACAGAAGACAGAGGAATTTCATGGCCAGGATTTATTTTGCCGAGAGTATTCTGTATTTATAGTCATTTTTTTATTGTTACCGTACGATTTGTGAGAAAAAGCCCCCGCAAAGGTGATCTTTGAATAGTAGGGAATGTCTAGACTTGACAGGGCTTGTGGTTAAATCGGCCAAGAAAGAAGTCTTGAAATTAGTCCGAAAGTTCTTCAAGAGCTTCGAAATGCCATAGGTATATTCATAAAGGTTTTTCGGAAAAGACATTTGATAAGACTTGGAATGGAACCTGTCTGCGTCTCTTTTCCCTCATCGGGAAAGCATAGGGACATGAAAACAACCCTTAGAAACTCTAGAGTTGTTACTATAGGGGTAAATTTAGGATAGATATACTCATAGAGGTCTTGCGGCGGATTTATAGTCTATTCCTCACGACTTTGAACATTCGAACGTATTTGGGTCTATTTTCTTTTGTAGAAAAGACGTAGGGACATGAAAACAACCCTTAGAAACTCTAGAGTCGTCCCTATAGGGGCGACCATAGGATAGGTATGTTCATAAAGGTCTTACGGCAAATTCTTAGTCTATTCGCCAAGACTTGAAAGGAAACCTGTCCGCGTCTCTTTTCTCTTATCGGGAAGACATGAAAACAGCCTTAGGAACTCTGGAGTCGTCACTATAGGGGTATAGATGGGTATATTCATAAAGGCGCTTCGGATTTATAGTCTATTCGCCATGAATGAACTATTCGGACCTGTCTGCGCCTCTTTTCTCTCACCGGGAAGGCAAGAAAACAGTCTTAGAAACACCAGAGCCGTCACTATAGGGGAAAACATAGGATAGGTATATTCATAAAGGTCTTGCTTCGGATTTATAATTTTTTTGCCAAGACTTGAAATGAAACCTGTCTGCGTCTCTTTTCTCTCTTTGAGAAAGCATAGAGACGTGAATACAGCCCTTGGAAACTCCAGAGCCGTCCTATAGGGGCAGCCTTAGGATAGGTATATTTATAAAGGTCTTGCGGAGAATTCATAGTCCGTTCTTCACGAATTTGAACATCCTAACTTTTTTGGGTCAACTTTCTCTTCGGGAAGAAATAAAGACATGGAAAAAACCCTTAGAAACTCTAGAGTTGTTACTATAGGGGTAAATTTAGGATAGGTATACTCATAAAGGTCTTGCGGCGGATCATTTTTTCAATGAAAAATATGAACATGGGCTGGTCACGTTTTGAACAAAACATTTGAGGACCCTCTAGAGAGTACTTGAGCTTTAGGGGATAAAAGGTCAGATCCTAGCCCCCTACAGGTACCACCAATATTGTATCCCTATAGGGGGCACTTTTTTCCCACTACAAGGCATTTTTTTTTCCCGGACCCCTATAGGGACCACTCTGGCGTTCCTTACGTGGGAGGTCATTTCACTTTGCAGTTGGGGACTTCACTAAATTTGGCCAGAACACTTCTTGACAAATCAGAATAAGATTCTTAAAGTTTCAACCTGAACAGTTCTCTATTTTTCAATAAATAAGGGTCCAAAGCCTCAAAAAAGTTTTTTTTTAATGAGTTTTGAGGGCTCCTTTTCTCAAAAACAAAGGTTTTGTAGGTTGAGACTTTCAGAATATTTTTCTGGATCATCAAGGAGGGCTCTTGCCAATTTTCAGGAAAACCGTGAAGTAAAACGACTTGTTAGGTACGAAGTGAGAAAGTGGGCATGGTATGAGAGGGCCCAGAGATGTCAGACAGTTCCAAGTTTTTGTGAATGTGTACAATGCTTTGGCCAGCTTGACTTTTATCTGTATTTTTCGTTTTGAATTATTCTTATTTCTGAATCTTCGGTTAACAGTGTCCATGAATCAGATTCCAGAAAATAGTTTTATTATTCAAAAAAAAAAAGATCTTGTTAGTACAAACTAAAATTTTCATTTTTCAGGTTAAGCGCAAAGAAATTGCGTGCCCTTGGTCGTGAGCTTGAGACCGTCACAGCACTTTTCACGCGGCCAGACGCAGATTTTGAAGTTTCAGCTCGCCAATTGCTCACTGGCGCCTCTGGAAAATGACCTCTTACTGACTTCAGAGATCAAGTTCAAAAGACTGACTTGCAGCTTTTAGACTTTCCTCCTGTGCAAGTTCTGACCTGCTCGATCCGACCACAACCTCCGCAGGTGTCGTTGCAAATCGCTCCAGGCTTATCCGCCCATTCGGACCAACTGGATTGTTTGGCTTTTGCCTGAAGAAGAATCCATTTTGAAGTTGTCAAGAATAAAGATTCACCATTGCAAAAAAGACGGCGAAAGCCGCCAGGAGACCAAAGCTCAGTAGGAATTTCATAGTCACGTTTTTCCTGATGCAGATCACCTATATTTATAGCCATGTTTTCACCTTGTTTTATTATTTTTTTTCTGATATTACGAACTGTGGGAAGATTGCCGTGCACAATGGGGTTCATGGTAGCAGCTTTATTTTTTTATATTTGCACCGAATTGTTCGCAGGAAATGGCAAAAATGGTTTTTTTTTTTGTAGTTCTAGAGAACGCCAGAGTGGTCCCCATAGGGGTTAGACGAGAAACAGCCCCTCCAGGGGACGGAAAAGTGCTCCCTGTAGGGATAGAATTTAGATGGTTCCTGAAGGTTTTGTTGTAATTCTAGTTTTTTTGAAGCTTCTTCATGAATTAAAAAATAAAAACGTAAACCTTGAGAATTTTCTACGTGTGACGAGAATTCAGACAAAGTGGCCCCTCAGGGAGAAAACAGCCTCTCTAGGGGACGAAAAAGTGCTCCCTCTAGGGGTAGAATTAAGCTGGTTCCTATAGGTTTTATTGTGATTCTAGATTTTTTAAAGCTTCGTACTTGAATTGAAATAAAAAAGCAAGGTTTGAAGATTTTCTAAGTGCGATTAGAACTCAGGAACGGTTGAGCGGCCCCTATAGGGGTTAGGGAAGAAACAGCCCCTCTAGGGGACGATAAAGTGCTCCCTCTAGGGGTAGAATTCAGATGATTCCTATAGGTTTTGTTGTTGTTCTAGCGCTTTTTTTTGTAGTTCTACAGTTTTTTCTTGTAGTTCTAGAGAACGCCAGAGAGGCCCCTATAGGGGTTAGGGAAAAAACAGCTCCTCTAGGGGACAAAAAGGGCTACCTCTAGGGGTAGAATATAAGTAGTTCCTATAGGTTTTATTGTAATTCTAGTTTTTTTGAAACGTTCTACTTGAACCGAAAAAATGACGTAAACCTTGAGAATTTTCTACGTGTGTGCAGAATTCAAGAACGCCAGAGTGGTCCCTATAGGGGCTAGGGGAAAAAAGCCCCCTAGAAAGAGGAAAAGTGCTCCCTCTAGGGGTAGAGTTCAGAAGGTTCCTATAGGTTTTATTGTAATTCTGAATTTTTTGAAGCTTGTTACTTGAATTGAAATAAAAACGTAAGCCTTGAGAATTTTCTACGTGCGATTAGAACTCAGGAACACCAGAGTGGCCCCTAGAGGGGCTAGGGAAGAAACAGCCCTTCTAGGGGACGAAAAAGTGCCCCCCTCTAGCCGTAGACTTTAGGTGCTTCCTATGAATATTATTGCAATTCGAGAGTTTTTGAAGCTTCTTACTTGAATTGAAATAGAACGTAAGCCTTGAGAATTTTCTACGTGTTGCCAGAATTTAGGGACGCGGACTGGCCCCTATAGGGGCTAGGGAAAAAACAGCCCCTCTAGGAAGCTGAAAAGTGCCCTCTCTAGGGGTAGAATTTAGTTGCTTTCTATAGGTTTTATAGTATTTCTAGATTTTTCGAAACTTCCTACTTGAACCGAAAAAATAACGTAAACCTTAACGATTTTCTACGTGCGATTAGAACTCAGGAACACCAGAGTGGCCCCTAGAGGGGATAGAGAAGAAACAGCCCCTCTAGAAGACGAAAAAGCGCTCCCTCTAGGGGTAGAATTTGAGAGGTTCCTATAATTTTTATTGTAATTCTAGAGTTTTTGAAGTTTCTTACTTGAAATGAAGTGAGAACGTAATACTTGAATTGAAATTTTAGAACTCAGGAACACCACAGTGGTCCCTATAGGGATTAGGGAAAAAACAGCCCCTCTAGGAGACGAAAAAGTGCCCTCTTTAGGGGTAAACTTTAGGCGCTTCTTATAGGTTTCATAACCGAACCTCTAAACAGAAAAAAAAAACAGTCCCTCTAGGGACAAAAAAAAGAGCTCTAGAGGTTGAATTTAGGCGCTTCCTTTAGGTTTCATAACCGAATTCCTGAAAAGGGTAAAAGGGCTCTTTAGGGTACAAAAAAGGGCTCACTTGGGGTGAAATTCAGGCGCTTCTTATAGGTTTCAGAACCGAAATCCTGAGCTTCTAAATGTTCTTATAGGGTTCCCCTACATTTTGATCCAGATTTTACAAAAACTTGAAGATTATAATGAAATTTTTCGACTGTTCTGAAATTTTCCAGTTAAAGAAGCGTTTATTATTGAGTTTCTTGCATGGAGTTCATAACAATAAACGACTAGCAAGCTCCTCCCTGAAGTGGCCACTAACCAAAAACCCTAAAGAAGCCACTTTTGCGAGATGCCTGGATAGCAACCTTAAAGATGCCCCCATAGGGACCCCTCTGGCGTTACTAAGAACTTGAGTATTTATTCAATAATATATTGAAAGGAATGATCTCTTGGTCTTGACCGATCAAAGAAAAAACGCTGATTCCGTTGAAATCGGCTCCTTATCAAAGCGTCATCTGAATGCACTTACGCTAAAAGCATTTCCAGACGCGACAGGTAAACGCCTCGAGCGAAGGCCCCCTCTGAGCCTCCGCTTCTGTACAATCTCTTACCACATCCTTGTTATTTCAAACGTTTTAGAGCTTTCAGACGTCGCCGTCCTCCACCTATAAAAGATGGCCAGGACTTTCTTCTATTATTTGTAACTTTGTTATTTTTATTATTTTGAATGATTCTTCTTGACTCTTGAGTCTTGTTCTGCGTTTCACACCAGAAAAGGATCAGGCTTAGAACAGCTAAGATCTTTTACTGGTAGCGGTTTCATGGTTCCGTCCATCTGGGAGCCTCTGAAGATGATTCCATCCGCTTCCAATCAACTCTGCCCTGCTTAGAATCAAAATTTGTTTCCCTTTCATTTTTGCCTCCACCGTCCACCACAAAATATCGCTATCCCAATCGAAACCTGAGTAATATCATCATTTTTCACCAGAGAAGCATTTTTGCGATTAAAGTTTACAAATTATATATGAATAGAAAGTTTTTGGGGCAAAAAGAACTTTGGTGACAACAAAAAAAAAAATTGAAAGTTTGAAAAAAAGCGGAAATCCGAAAAATGGCAAAACGTGTTGTCCATAGAGCGACTTTACTGCATAACGCCCTTTTTGCGGCAACTCAAACTTTCTTCTCTCCGACTTTGAGTTATTTTTTCTCCGGAACTAGAAAATTTGGTACGTTTCCAAGTTCACCGTTCGATTCGCAATGAAAAGCTCTACAAAGTACTGCTTTGAACTGGAACACCGTTTTTTACTGCCCCTATGCCTTAAGGGATGATGATGAGCCCACAAAAAACTTCTGCCGGCCGGTCCACAGGCTCTGAATCACTCAAAAAAAAGAAGTCAAAGTTTTTTCCCTCACTTTGTCCTTTGCAACCACGTCCATTCGCAACCTTTTCCTTCTTTCCAACCGCGTCGCTCGTCGTGTCGCCAGCGTGGCGTGGCCTCCATTTGCGACTTTGAACAAAGTTCGAATTACAGAAAAATTTCAGATTCAACTACCAATCCCGCTCGCGACATCGCGGACGCACGAAAGAACGGTGTTCAACGCCGCAGCAAAAATATTCGACGTCAAGGACCTCAAGCAGGCGGACCCGACTTCTTCGTCTCCACGGTCGCAGGGGGAAGAATTTTCCTTCGCCATCATCTTGACTTCCAGAACGAGCGGAGAAGATCGTTCGGAATTCTTCTGCTCGCCCAAGCGAGCCAACGTCAAGAAGGAAATGCCATCCACGGGAGAACCGCGGTCCTACCTGGGCACCCATATTAAACAAGATCAAGGAGCGTCAAGCAGACCTCAACGCCCGCGGAACCAAGCAGGGCCTCCCCTCGGTCAAGTCCCTGCCGAGCGCCTGGTCCAAGTGATTCGGCCCCCAAAAGGTATATTTTGTTCTATAGCCTATTCCGCGCCAGCTTGTCACGTTTTTTCTTCCGCCAAAAAGACCGTATACCAAAATTTCTGCTTTTATAACGGCAAGAAACAAAGGTCTCGAAGCGAAGTTGGTCAAATTTGACCTGCCCTTTTTGCACAATGAAAAACGTGACAAGCTGGCACGGAATGGCCTATACTCTTTATCTTAAGCGTTTTCTTTCAGTCAAAAAAGGACATAGACTATTAAAAAAAAAGCTCTCAGTCAAGCCAGCAACACACTTCGCAAGGCCTTTAAACCCCCAGATGATTTCAAATAAAAAAGTTTCTCGCTCCTCTTCTTCTTCTTCTTCTTCAAAAAACCTCTTATAGGCGATGTGACACCACTTGAAATTTCATGGAACGATACTCCGATGTTCTTGTGGTGCTGTCGCGAAGCGCCTTGAATTTGCGGATTTCGGTCGCGATTTCCATTTTTTCTTTTATTTGGTGTTTTCACTTTTTTGAAAATGTTTTAATTGTTTTTTACGTGCAAAAACGGAACTATTCTTGCTTTTGCACAGAAAAATAGTCAAAATTTCAAATGAAAGAAAAAATGGAAAGCGCGACCGAAATTCGCAAAGGCAAGGCGCTTTCACGGCCACAAGGCCACGCAGCGGAGTGTCGTTCCATGAAATTTCAAGTCGTGCCACATCGACTATAACAACAAAATTTTCCGATTCTAACTGAACTTTCAGACGTCGCCATCCACGACCTATGAAAGAGGGCCAGGAAGGAGCCGAAACAACATCAGATCCGACAGCGAACCTCTTCTATTATTTGTAACTTTGTAACTTTTATTATTTTAAATGAATCTTCTTGACTCTTGAATCTTGTTCTGCGTTCCACACCAAAAGAAGAAGCCGCCAGGAAAGGATCAGGCTTGGAAGATGTTTTGCCCGCAGGTGGCCAGTGAAGACGTTGTAGTAGAAGATTTATTAGTAACAAGAAACTAGACTATGCTAGCTTGTTTACAATAACAAACAAGGGGTTATATAGTGCTGAGGGAAGAGATCCCGAAGATTATGGAATGTTCCCGAATAAAGGTGGAGTTTAGATAGTATTGAGATTAAAGTAAAAGATGGAACATTCCAGAGTTTTAGAGATCTGTCCCGGAAGCATTAGAACATTCGAGAACAATGTGGAACCTTCTAGAAAGGTAGGGAACAAATGAGAAGATTATGGAACTTTCTAGAAGGGAAACCTTTACAGATGATCCCTATGACGTAATGAGACTAGAAATGTATGGAAAACTATAGAACATTCTAGAATCAGCTTAATATAAGCGTTATGCTCCAACAGAAGAAATAAGAACTTTTACTGTATCTAGTTTCAACCTTTTCAAAACTTTTGGAAGGAAGTTCTTTAGACTGAAGGCTTTAGTAGCCTCATTTTTTAAACGAGGTTGTTGAGAGGTAAAATGGATAACCTGGTAAACCTGTCGGCCCCTCTACCGTTCCTAAGTATTATTTAAGTAAAATGGAGAAAGATAACAAATTAGTATAATCCGTGTGCGACGACTTGAAATTTCCATGTACGACATTCCGCTATCCCGCTGCGTGCGGTCGCGACGCGTTTCTGGCTTTTCTGTCCCGCTTTTTTTTTCTTCTCTTTTTTTCAGTATTAAATGAAGGCCGTAGATTTAAGAAATCACTACATAATTAAAACCTGGTTTCTTTAGGGTCCAAAAATCCGAAAAACCTCAAAAAACGGCGAAAAATGGTAGAAAACTATCTTTGCCGATCTTGTAGGCCCTCTTTTACCATTCAAATAACGCTCAGTTTTAAAAAAACCGCACTAATTGAAGACCGTAGATTCAGGATTTCGCAACGAATAAATTAATTAGTTTCATTTTAGGGTCCAAAAAGTCGGAAAATAATGTAGTAAGTAGGAAAAGAGGAGATTGGCAAAGATAGTTTTCCACTAGTTTTCGGTCTTGTTCGCCGTTTTCTGCGGTTTTTTCGGTTTTTCGAAGCCATTAAATGATGATAGAATGTTCTTTAGTAGCTTCACTTTTTAAAAAATGGTTGAGTGGTATATAAAATGGATAACCTGGTAAACCTGTGACCATGAGTCGATCTTCTTTTCAAACTTTTTTCAAAAAAAAAACTTCGATTAAACTATTAACAAAGGGTTCCTTTGATAATCCCACCTATCGTCTAAAAATACGTTCAGTTCCGCTGAGCCTTTAGTCGCATTAAAAATGGCTCGACCGATAGAACTCGGAAAATCTGTATCTTGGTCCTCAAACCTTTATTTTGTATGTACTCTGGAACTTTAATAATCTTTATGAACAGACATTCAATAAATAATTCCATAATGTCATAATAAGTTAAAGTATTTAGAGTTCATTCTTCAGTTTCTTGGCAGACGAACAATTTGTTTTCCAAGTCGATGGCCTTCTTGGTTCCTTCACAGCAAGGGTGACGCGGGAAGAGGCAGATGTCGAAGTTGCACCTCGCCAGTTGCTCGCTCTCGCCTCTGAAGTGCACTTTTCCGTTTTTCGGGACTTTAATTTGGCTGAAGTTCACTGAAAAAGACTCACTGGCAGTTTGTGGCCGGGTCGGGGTCTTCGCAGGTTCTGATCTGCTCGATTCGACCACAAGCCCCACAGGTGTCGTTGCAACTCGCGCCGGGCTTATCCGTCCATGCCGACCAGCCAGCTTCTTGCGAATCCACCTGAAAGTTCACACAACCCCCTCTCGAAACCTTGAATCAAAACTCACCACCGCGAAAAGGACCGCGAACGCCGAGACGACAACAAGACTCAGGAGGAATTTCATCGCGTGAGTTTTGCACCGGGTTTTCTGCACCGCTGTTTAATGTTCCTCCAAACTGCTGTATTTATAGTGCTCACGGCGCATTTTTATCGTTCTGAGCCGTTTTTTTTCTCTCTCTGCCTTGGTCTTGCGACCTGTCGAAAGTCCTGGCACAATGGGGCACTGATCAGTGGCCCTTGGACGAAATATGCAGTATGCAAATACGACTCTTTTGCAAAAGAATTTTTGGTCCCAGTGGTTTCTATAGTTCAAAAAATCGAAAAAAAAAACCTGAACGACTTGGGAACGGGAATGCAAGAAAGAGCAAAAGATTAAAATTTTGCACGTTTACTGTGTGCAAGTGCAAAAGTCCGTGAACACTCAACCAGCATTTCAAATTTTTTTTTTTTCAAATTTTTCTTGCTTATTTTGTCTTTTGATTTTGTTTTCAACCTTCTTTCAATTAGATGTTGTTATGAATGTGAATTTGATCACATTTTGATACTTATCACTATAGGGAATGTGCGCATTTACTAGAAATATACCAAAAAATGAGTTTTAAAATTTTCAAGCCGTCGGAAAAAAATAAGTAAAGAGGAGTGTTAAAGCCGAGTTAAGACTTTTCGACATTAAAAATTTTTTTCAAAATTTGAACCTGAGTTTTTCGCAACAAATTTGTACAATGTTAAAATGCACTTTCAGATTTTTACGCTTACCCATGGTTTTCCCGGATTTGTTCTTTTGGTTGAAGGGCTCGGCGGTTGACTCGCAGGATACTTCAGATGATGTCAGTTTGAAATAATTGAAATGAGAAAAATCCAATTAATATCAGGAAGTTGAACGGACGGAAGAGATTTGCGAGGAAGAGGATTCGCACAATGAAACGGTAGTTTTGAATGATTTTTGACAGGATGAAAATAATTTTTGAGCTTCAGAATGATGCAGAAAAGTCTGTGACCTTAGATTTGGATGAAAATTTTACGGATGGCGTTGAAAAATTGAATACTCCGGAGCCACGCGTAAGCAATAATATTTAAAAGAAAAATGGTTGAAAAAAATGATTTTTTTCAGCCGGATTCGCCGATTCCACCGGAAATCGGCCAGGAAACTGAAAAATTGAACACTCCGGAGCCACGCGTAAAAAATAAAAAAAAAAAAAAATCTTGTTTTATGATTATTTTTCAGCCGGATTCGCCGGTTCCACCGGAAGTTGGCCAAGAAAAGGAGGAGGAAGATGAGCCGACGATGATTGAAGTGGTCCCTCTAGTGGAGCCAAAAAAAGTCGCTCTCCTCGTCTTTTGACATTTCTTCTAATTCACACGAACAGGCTTTCGAGTGATTTGAAATTTATATTTTATTTATAATTTTTTTCGGTTTTTTTCAGTTTCGGATCCGATGAATCTTACTCGGAGAGTAATAATGGAAGTGATATTGGACAGGTTTTTTTGAATATTATTATTTTCTGATTTTTTTGTTTGAAACAACGCTGGTGAAATTTGAACTTTGAGGTCTGAATTTGCTATTTTTTATCGTTGCTAAGTACTAAGTTCCATTTTTCATATTTTTTTTTGACTTATTCCAAAAATTTTTCACAAATCCTTTTTTTTTCTTTTTGAGTCTTACTTTGAAGTTTTGAGAATTTTTTTCAAACGAGAAAATTTCGTTAAAAATATGTTTTTACAGGTTTTTTTAACCGTTACAACTTATGAGAAAAAGTTTCGAAATTCGAAATTTGGTTTTTGTAGAAAAAATATTTCTCCTTTTTTTTTTCAAGTAGCACTGTTATTCAAGTTGTTCTATTGAATTTGTTTTTTTTTAATGGCTTCCAAAATTTTTTTCGTGCTTATGATGTACACCAGGCTTACTCCAAAGCGTTAGGAGAAAAATTTTTTTTGAAAAGGTTTTTTTCTTGCTTTTTATATTTTCTGGCGTGTTCAAAAAAAGGAACGCAAAATGTTACGAAATGCAAAAAAATCGTTAATTTTTTAAAAAAAAGGTACTGTTTCGGGGCAACTTTGGCTTTTGCGTTTCGAAAAAAATGTTCCGTTTCTCCTTTTTTTTGGGTGTTGCCCACAAAAAGCTTTTTAGCCCCCCCGTTGAACTTCTGATGAAAGTATGCTAAAGAGTACTTTAGGACCTCCTTATTCCAGAACAGGAACGGAAGTTGTCACAAGTTATGAAAAAAGACGATATTTCGAGAATTCTGAAGCGTCTTCACTTGAAATGCCGGAATTTTTCTTGTTTTGAAATCAGGAGAACCTTGAGTACACATCAGAAAATCAAAAGTACAACTGCGGGCTGAAAAAGTTTCCTAGTAAATCCTTAAGGTCTTCCCCGTGCCTGATAATGCTGAAGCGATCGCATTTTTGGATTTTCAAGAGGAAGTTGTCTTCACCGACTTCTCTTCCGACTTCCAGGCACCTCCAGCCAGTCCGATCAGGCCTCAGGTTCAACATTGACAAAAATTCAAGAAAAATCCCCTTTTTCCAGTTTGATTACACGCCCCGAGTGACGAGGAGCGCTTCGAAGATGACTCCTCAAAAGTACGGATTTTTCATTCTCTTTAAAGTTCGGTACTTTCAGATCTTCTGCGAAATCATCTCGCGATTCGGTCATTGTACTCGGGGTTTTTAACTGGAGAAATTGAAAAGTAAAAAAACATTTTTAGGAAACTCCGGATAAGAAGTTTGATGACGTGGCTTCGCAGGGTTCTGACCGCTACCCCATTAGGAAGTTTGTTGTGTTGGGAAAAAACTCTAGTGGTCACTTGAGGGGTGCCTCAAGGGCTACTTAGTGAGGACACTAAAGTTGTCACTCCAGAAGCCACCATTTTGCGTCTTAGTGGCCCTTTTAAGAGCTTTTTACAAAAGAACTCGTAGAGAACGCCAAAGTGGCCACTAAAACTGCCTATTTAGAAGTTTTGGCTCTTAGTGACCACTATAGTAGTTTTGAGGGGCCTAGTAGTACCACTTAGACTCTTAAAAAGACCACTAAATTTCAATCACTTGAATGGAAACTGTTTAGTCTACTATAATGGCCACTGAAACCTCAAAACCCTTAAGTGGCCACTCAAGCTTTTAGCAGTAGAAAAAAAATTCACTTATAACGAACTCTCTTGACTTGAAGATTACTTGGAATTCAATGAAAATTGAAATTTTTCATTTTTTTTCTTGTTTTGTCGTTACACGTTTTTCTGTGTGACAAGCAACGAAAAAAATTGAGATTTTTTTGAACAAAAATTAATTTTTTTTATCAGGGCGTTTCGAAATGACCTCAAGCTTCCCTAGGAAAAATTAGCTTTTTTTGAAGATTTTATAGAATTAGAAGTCTTTAGAAACCTTACTCAGGACATCAAAAATAGGTGGAAGGGAATTTTTGTAATTTTAGCGGAAGAAACTGTATCAAATTATTTTTTGGATTTTTTTCCCAGTCTAAATTGTAATGAACAGTACAGCTGTCCGATTACATAAACTTTTCTCGCGTCAAATTTTTTTTTCTCAATTCTTTTTCTTCCGCTCCTTCCGCCTATCATGCATTTTCCAGGAAGAAAATGATGAGTCATCTTTGGATTTTAGGAAAAATCGACCGAATTATTCTGACAATTTCGTTACTCCTCCGCCTCCCATCAAAACACCGTCCAGACAGAGGAAAACGTCGCGAATCCCTGGTAAAAGTTTGAGGAGGAATTTTGGGGGAAAATGAGAAATTTGAGTGGAAAACGAGTTGAATAAAATGAGGGAAAGTTGACATTTTTTTTAAATCGGGTAATTTTGCAGAAAATGAGCTATTTTGAAGGGTTAAATTTTCAAATAATGGAACTTTTTTTCAGATTTGTATATGTCCCAGGTTACATTGAAGAATTTATGATGATCCTGTAAAAAAACGTCTTTTTTAAGCTTTATGGAAGTCCAGTTTTTGAAAATATTGAAAAATGTATTTTTTTTGAAGAAGAATAGTACTTTTTGGGCTTGTGTCTGAAAAAGCCCTGAACTAGAAAAAAATTTTTAGTTTTTTTCAATTTTAGTCAGTTTTTTTAAAAGAAATAGACCTTTTCCATTGATGAAAGTTTGAAATTACGTGGATTTTTTCCCAATTTCACTAGATTTTTCATATTTTCATGGTGAAATTCTAGGATTTATAAATGTTTATTTTTTTTTTATGAATCATTGAAGCTTCCTGAAAGTAATCGAAGTTTCAGTAAGTTTTTGTTTTTTCATTTAGGAACTTTTGAAGGATCAAGTCATTTTATTGGTTTATAGCAGAATCAATTTTTTTTTCAGAGGTTTTAGCGCAATCAGAAAATCATCAAAACGTGCTGGGAAAAATTCTAGTGGTCACTTTAGGGTATTGACGATATAGTGGTCACTACTAGAGTTCTCAAAATGACCAATTGAAAAAAATGACATTTTTCAAAAACGAAAAATTTTCTTTTTGACATTTCAAACGAATGTCGTTTTTGAAAGATCAACCAAAATTGATCACTTTCATTCTTTTCATTTTGTGACTTTTCAAATAATGACTGAAAAATAAATGGTCATTTTCTAAACAATCATATTCTGACTAGTAAATAAATGTTCGTCCTAATGACCAAATTTTTCAAAGTGAACTTTAAATGTTTACTTTTCTGACCAAATTTTTCAAAAGTGAAATTTAAATGTTCATTTTTTTGACCAAAATTTCCGAAATGAATTTTAAATGTTTACTTTTTTGACCAAAAATTTCAAAATGAAATTTAAATGTTCATTTTTTAACCAAAATTTTTTTCGAAAAATAAGTAATTGTTCATTTTTTTTAAATGCTCAGTTATGAAATTTAACCAAAATGAAATTTTTAACAAACGGTTCATGTGAAATTTAACTAATTGGTCGAATTCATCAAACGTTCAGAAAATGTTTGGTTGAACGTTCGTTCAAACATTTACTTTTGAGAACTCTAGTCACTACAGTAGTCAAAATAGTAACCCCTAAAGTTTCTGTAAATTAGTGGTCTCTTTAGAAGACTATTTGGTACTACTAGAGCACTAAAAACTACTATAGTGGCCACTAAGACGCGAAATAGTGGCTTCTATAGAGGTGGCTTTCAGTGGCCCCTTTAGTGTCCCCTTGAGTACCTTTTAAGTGGCCACTAGAGTTTTTATTCCAGTAAATACCAGGATGTGTATGGTCAAGTCTAAGAATGAGCACATTTTTTCATTGTTAAAACCCTTTAGTGGCCACTTAAGAGGCCCCTTAAGGACTAGTTGAAGAGGATATTTAAGTTTTTACCAGTGAACTTCGAGAATCGGGCATAAATGAACTATTTAAGGGGTCCAAGCCTAGATCGAAGTGAACTCTTTAGGGTTCATGCTGATCTGTCAATAAATTATTAATATTAGAGAAAAAAATTCTAGTGGTTATTTTAGGGTATTGACTAAAAACTATTAGAGGAGTGCTTCGAAAAAAACTTTCCCTTTTAAGGAGTTACCAGTTCAACGGGACCCAAACGTCGGCGTCTTGAAGAGGCCGAAAATTATGTCAATCCTGTGGTTCTCAAAGAAGAATCGATCACTGTGTGAGATTTTTTTGAAGTCATCAAAAAAGCAGCTTTCCTTGACCCTTCCTGCGCCTTTAATAAAACCAGCAAGCTTCCCATTTTTCCAGAAAACTCTCGGTTAGCGATGTCGACGTGGCCCAAGATCGTGCTGAACTGGAATCGGACTGAAATCTGTCAATTTTTGAACATCCCCCCATTGTTTCTGTGAATATTGTTGAACCTTCCCGATTTGTATAGAGTATTTTATGTTGTTTCCTTTTTTGAAATAAAGTTTTGTTTGGAATTTTTTTTGGATTGGAAGATTTTGACAGTTTCTTTCTGTTGTATTTCGTGAAATTTATCTTGAAATTAGTTTTTGAGCTTTGAGATTGAGGAAATTGGGTTTTTTCGTCATTGTTGATGTGAATTGTAGATTCAAATTATGTTTTCTAAAGTTGAAATAATACCTTGAAAGTTCATTTTTGGAAGCTTTTTATGACTTTACAGTACTGGCCATAAAGGTATTTCAAAGTTGTTATTCGAGCATAACTTCTCTGAAAGTGGCTCGAATGACTCGAAATTTTGCAAAAAAATTTCAAATAGCTACGCAGTAACTTTTTTTCACGGAAGAAAAACTCATTTGCTCAAGTCAGACCGGATTTGAGAGCAAAAAACCAAAAATCGTGAAAATCAAGATTTTTCTCTTGAGATTCGAAAAATCATATCTTCAAAGAAACTTGGTTTTCGAACCAGAAATTTTTTTCCCTACTAAAACAAGTCTTCGGCTTTCCAAGAAACCTAATCAGCCCCTCACCAACCCGATAGTAAGAGCGTAGTGACTTTTTCTTCGGAAGACCTTTGCGTTTTGACGCCTCTACGTTCAAAATGGACTATACGAGGTCATTTTTTTGTTTGAGAACACCCTGTATTATGTTGAAAAACTTTGAAACACCCTCAAAAATAGTTTTACACTGATTTCTTCAGCTTTCTCACTTTATCTGCTCTCCAGAACTCACTAACTTCACTAGGACCGATTTTGAAACCTCTGATTTGAAGCAGTTATGCTCCTTTTTCAAAATCAGAACATTCTCGATTTCTCATTTCAGATTTCAGAGCTTCTTCAGGACCTTGACGAATAAAAATAAAAGGAGACCTACTGTGTTTTTGCTTACTTATTCAAAAAGATATAGCGAGTTATAATGAGTTTCTTAAAGTTCTCGAAAACTTCGTTTCGGTAAGTGTTGCTTAGAGGGCTCCAAATCTTGTGGAAGATGATAAAAAAACCCCTTCTTTTCATACTTTTTAAATGTTTTTAGATCATGAAATAAATTTGTAACTCCTCTTTCTAGCTCTCAGGTCGAAGATAGGCACTGTAAAAAGTTTCTTCAAATTTTATGTGAAAAATAAGTTTTTTTGATCTTGTGAAACTAATGCTTTTAGCAAAAAATTAGCAGTCTTCAGGAACTAAGAGCCTGCAATTTAGCCAATATTTATTTTCAAATTCACGATCGAAAAAGCGATTGATCAGATAAAAAAACTACTTTGAACGCCCGAAAGTCCAGAAAAAAACTGTTCAAATCAGAGGTTTCAAAAATCGGTCCTAGTGAAGTTAGTGAGTTCTGGAGAGCAGATAAAGTGAGAAAGCTGAAGAAATCAGTGTAAAAACTATTTTTTTGAGGGTGTTTCAAAAGTTTTTTTCAACATAATACAGGGTGTTCTCAAACAAAAATGACCTCGTATAGTCCATTTGAACGTAGAGGCGTCAAAACGCAAAGGCCTTCCGAAGAAAAAGTCACTACGCTCTTACTATCGGGTTGGTGAGGGGCTGATTAGGTTTCTTGGAAAGCCGAAGACTTGTTTTAGTAGGGAAAAAAATTTCTGGTTCGAAAACCAAGTTTCTTTGAAGATATGATTTTTCGAATCTCAAGAGAAAAATCTTGATTTTCACGATTTTTGGTTTTTTGCTCTCAAATCCGGTCTGACTTGAGCAAATGAGTTTTTCTTCCGTGAAAGAATTACTGCGTAGCTATTTGAAATTTTTGCAAAGTTTCAAGTCATTTGAGCCACTTTCAGAGAAGTTATGCTCGAAAAACAACTTTGAAATACCTTTATGGCCAGTACTGTATGTAGCCCATTCCTAGCTATTTTGTCACTATTCCTGCGAGCTACAGAACACTTCGCTTCGATGAGCGTGAGCTGTTTAATCCCATGCGCCTTTAATTTGGCCTAAAATTTTTCGTATATTAAAGGCGCAGACAGATCAGTAGGCCACGCGCATTGATTGGAAGATTTCCGGAAGGGTTCTGTAGCACGGAGGCAGATAAAAGTCGTGACAAGCTTGAGCTACAGCTGATTCACGGCTAGCTTTTAACGTTAAAAGGCTTTTCCTGTCTGCGCTCTCCACCATTCAGACGCTATTTCTTTCCTTTTCGTGTCAGGACCTTTTTTTTTATGGATCAAGCTTAAATCGGCTCCACTTAAGCTATTTCAGACGTTAAATATTCGCATAATAATAAAACGTATGCATTTCTGCGCTCTCCACCAGCCAGAAATTTCAGAGTCATTCCTATAGGGGTAAGGGAGAAAAATAGCCCCTATAAGGGTAAAATCAAGGTGGTCCCTATAGGGATTTCGGGTCTGACCCCTTAGCCTCTAAAGCTCAAGTGGACCCTATGGGGGTATTTCAGTTTCATTTAAAAAGGCTTATTTATTCAGTATTTCCCATGGGAATGCTTAGAGGTCATAACAATTATCAACTAGCATGTCCCCTTTAGGGACAACTTTTGCAAGCTTTAGTGGACCCTAGAGGGGTTGGAAAAAGGTCCCAAAGGTTGCCCCATAGGGACCACTCAAAGGCGTTGGAAAAAGGTCCCAAAGGTTGCCCCCATAGGGACCACTCGTTTTTCTGAGTTTAGAAAAAAAGAATGAGTTCCTAAAGGACAGTCATTTTTATCGTGTCAGGACCTTTTCCCTATGGCTTAAGCCAGCCGCCAATCAGCTATACGTCCAGCTGTTCTTGCCCGATTTCTCAAAACATTTCGTATAGTCAAACTCTCGAGTTTCCAGAAAATTCTTAACAGCTGCTCATTTTCTCCGTCAAACTTCAGACATTTCCCACAATTTTCGAACTGCAACTTTCAAAGTTTGTCAAACAAATACACGCCGATTGTTTGCCCCTTCTCGAGAGGCCATTTCGGACGGTTCTCGCCGCGTTTCGTTCCTTTTTAGCTTTTCGACGGTTTTAGAGACCTTTTTGTTGATTTTGTGGTACGTTTTGGTGTTTCAGTTGTATATAGTTTGCTCCAGAAAGGATTGATTCGGAGTTTGAAGGCTGCAATTATTCAGAATCCTCTCCCAAATTAGTGCCTTCTCTTACGAATTTAGCAAGGAATACTTGAAGGGGCTATTTTTAGGCGTTTCTTGAAAATTTGACGACTTTCTTTCGGATTTTTGACTGAAACTGCGGGGTTTTCTCGTGTTGGTTTCAAAAAAAGTAGTGAGATGGCGAAAAAAAATAGTTAAAAGTTTTTTTTTCGCAGTTTCTTCGGCTTCAAAATCCGTATTTTTACGTATCAGTGATATTTTTAAAAGCCTGGCTTGAAATTCTCGAACAAAAATTCACGTTTTTGACGATTTAATAATGATCCTTGAAGTGTGTGGCTATGTTCAAAGTGAAGGAAATTTAAAAAAAAAAAGTCTATCGATAGAAAATTTACTGACGTTTTTCTCTCTAAGTCTTTCATAGTCGATTCATGGCTAACTTGGGACGCTAAAGGGGGCGTGGCCTGTCTGTGCTCTTCACAAACCAGACACTATATCTTTTATCACCGTGTCAGGACCCTTTTTCGATGTCTCAAGGCAGGCGTGAACCAGTTATATGTATAATTTTTTGAGAAGAAGAGGCGGATCTCAGGAAAATTAAGAGAAGGGTGGAGCTTCCTTTTTTGGTAAGTCTAGTGCCTGATAAGGTTCCAGAAAAATTTCCAGTATAAAAGTGCGTTCGAAACAGTTTTATGGGTAGTTTAAAGGCGCAGTAGGTCTTGAGAATTGGTACCTTTTTGAATTTAAAATATTCATTTTTCAGAACTTTCCCAGCTTTTTGTTAGTTCAAGTTGAAAATTGCTTAATTGAAAAAGATTTTGTGAATCTCCTGAATGTAGAAAAATGTTTCTTAGGGTTCATTTTAGTCCTGATCGATTGCTTCGCTTTGAACCTTTTTATATGAGCTAAAAATAGAGCTCGAGTTTTTTTTAATGCGACAGTGACTTGTCTGAAGTTATTCGCTTTTTTTGACCTTGATTTTCTTTTTTTTCACAAAAAAATTCAGCAAGCTGTTGTGAAAAGAATATGAAGCTTTCTTAAAATTGAACTTAAAATTTTTTTTAATCGGTCCTTTTTGAAAATATTCACGTTTTTTCACGTTGATTTTTTTTCCACGCTCTTCCAAAAGCTTCAACGATGTGTCGTGAAAAGAATATGACGTTTTTTTCCGACCAAAAATTGAGCTTGATTTTATTTTCATTGCGAAAAGTGACCTTTTGAAGGTGTTCCCATTTTTTCACATTTATTATTTTTTTTTCTCGCGGCTACCACTTTTTTTTTGAAATATCTTTTCTCTCACTGTAAAAGATGCAATTTCCTGCACTCTGTCAATATAGGTCAAGCTCACCTGTTGATTCGCCTTGTTTTGATTCCCACAAGTGGTCTCCCAAGATGTTTTTCGGGCGATTCACCGCTTTGGTTCCGCCGCGCGCGTTCTGTTTGTTGATCGGCCCATATTTTCCGTCATTTTCAAAGATGGGCCGTCGTCGTCGACGCCTCCCCCTCCTCTCTTCCTTTTTTCGCGCCCAAAAACCTTCCTCTCTCTCTCTCTTGTTTGCAAGGCAAGACTTTTTCTCTTTTTTTCTCCTGCCCAGCTGTTGTGGTCAACAGCTGCCCGCTAGTGGAACGTGTTCCGTTTCTTTTTGGCCTTACTTTAGTCGGCTACTTTTTGAGCTCTATTTCATTAGTTCAAGAAGCTCTAAAGTTCATAGGCAAAGTCGGAAAGGTGAAAAAAGGCTCCATAGAAATGTTCCTTTTTGCTGCCTTTTCGCGCCATTTCATCGGCTTCTATGCACCATTTTTGCTGCCTCTCCTCTTTTCCACCATTTCTTGAGCCTTGAAACCGGAAAAAGGTCGATAAATGGACCCTTTTTGCGGTCTTGCAGTCGCTTTCCTGTGGCCTTTTTGCTGCCTTTTTGCTCCCCTTTTGCGGCCTCTTTTGATCCGTTTGGCGACCACTTTCCCTCCGACTTTGCCCTGGCTCTAAATTGTTTATATTTAAAAAAATTTCTTTGAACGAAATGGAAATAAAAGAAAATAATTCTCTTGTTCATTTTTTTTTTTTTGACCTTATTTCAGTCGGCTACTTTTGAGCTCTTCTTCTTGATTAATTACATTAGTTTAAAAAGCTTCAAAATTGTTTAAGGATTGATATTATTAGTTCGAGAAGCTCTGAAGCTTTTAATATTTAAAACGTCCAGCTTTTTTTCTCTCTGAATGAATAAAATGGAAATAAAAAAATTAGATAATTCTCTCTCGTTCTTTTGACCTTTATTCGGCTACTTTTTGAGCTATACTTCATAATTAATATATTAATTTAAAAAAGCTTGAATATTGTTCAATGATTAAACATATTGGTTCAATAAACTATGAAGCTTTTTATTTTTCAAAACTTCTTTTTTTCTCTGATTGGACGAATTTTAAAACGAAGTTCATAGGTAAAACTGAAAAATTCTACTTTGAAGCTTTGAAAGTTCCCGAAAATTATGCGAGAAAAAATATTTTGAACCTCTTTTTTCATAGCCCCAGCCGCTGAAATATTTCTAGTTGCTTTTCAGCATCTTTTGATAAAGCTTGTGAAAAAAGTGCAAAAATGAACTGAAAAAAAGACTTGTTGGGGACCTTTTTAAACCCCTGGAGAAGCTTCTTCGTTTCACCTGAGACTTGAAAAGCAAATTTATAAATAAATTATTATTATTAAAGGGAAACAAATATTCTGGTTCTCTGTATTTTGAGAATGTTCATTACAAGCTTCAAATTCTCGCCTTTCTATCTATATTTCCAGTTGCTTCTTGATCGTTTAAACAATTTACTCACCTTTGTACACGCAGTTTCACTTTTCCCCAGGGTATCTAATTACTCTGGGAAGAAATCCGATTCCAATTAACTCGCTTGACACTCGTTTTCCATTTTTCGCCCATTTTATCCTTGACCCGAATGGCTGGAAGTAATTTGATTGATTTTCCCAATGTGTGAAACCATCGGGAGGTTTCGAAACTTCAAAATATTCCTGTCACATAATCAATTCTATTTTCAAAAGTTCTTGCTCTTTTTTCTCACATTTAGAGTTGTTTTTTTCGATTTTCTCGATATTTTTTGCTCCGAGATCATTTTGGCAGTTTTATGAGATTTTTCATGAAGTCCTCATGCCGTGTCCAAGGTGTTTTCCGTGGAATTCAAAGTTATCTCTGACTCTCCAAATTTTAGTTATCTTTTACACTCTCGGCTTTTTTGGCAGTGAAAAAAAAATGCAGAAAAAAGATCAAAGATTAATTTAAAATTCAAAATTTTGAAATTGAAAAAAAAAAGTTTGGAGTATGCGATGATGCGTCTCGGTGTGTTTACACCCAAAGCATGATAATTCACGGAATTTTTCGACTGACGTACTAAAAAAAAGCCGTGAAACGGTTTTCGCGGAACGCTTTGGTTCACACATAAAATCGATAGGAAATTTTAAAATCTGACTAAATCTCAAAAATCAAAATTTTAATCACCTATCTTCCGCATTTCGATTGTTTTTCACCGAGTTTCATCTATATTTTGTGATAAAACGTCTTTGGTTTTTGAAGTTTTGAAAATAAAACTAAGAGTTCCTTTTTTCCAGGTCGTTAACCAATAATCAGAAGAGAAGAAGCCAAATGGATTACAATCATGGTGGGTTTTGGGACTTGGACATGGAACTACATACAGGGGTACTTTAGAACCTCTTGGATCCAGTAAAATTTTAAAAAAAAATGGTTCTTTTTGGTTCCTGTTGAGTTATGGCACTTTAAACTACATACAGGGGTACTTGAGGACCTCTTGAATCCAATGAAATCTTGAAAAAGGGCTCTTTTTTGATTTTAGTAGAGTTTTAGCACGTCAAAGTTTGCACGCAAGAACGCGTTTATTTATGAATTTCTAGGGAAAACTATAATTTCAACGATTTTTCAGAAATAAAGCCCATGAATCGAGTGATTTTAGGTTATCGGCGCCGAACCGCAGAATGGGACGAAATCGAAGAAGCGCCGCAGATCAAACGCTTCCGTGATGACGTCAAAATTGACGTCGCCGTGACGTCAACGTTAGTTTTTTGGATTCCTTCTAATAAATATTGATTTTTCAGCATCTCCGCCCAGCCGGTCGTACAACCACAGCAGCAGGAAAATAATGTCGAGGTGAATTTTTTTGAGAATATGGAAAATTGACGTGGGAACAAGGGAATGTGCGCTCAGTGGCCAAAAACCTTCATTTTGGCCTTTTTGCGAAATTTTGAAGTTTTTGAATATCGATTGGTTGATCCTCACCAGGTCAAACACTGAAAAAATGAAAAAAAAAGTCGAAAAAGTCAGAAATTCATCGATATTTCTTTACTTACTGAAAATAAAATTTTAGTGGCCACTTTAGGGTACTGACGATTCAGTGGCCCCTATAGTAGGCGAATTAGTGGTCACTTAAGTGTCCGAAGTTTATTGGCCTCTTTAGAAGTCTAAGTGGAACTAGATCTCTGAAAAACTACTATAGTGACCACTAAGACACATTGTAGTGGCTTCTCTAGAGGTGGTTTCAGTGGCCACTTTAGTGCTCTCTTCTCTTCCTTTTTTTTTTCTTTTCTGAAAGAAATGAACGTAAATCATGTTTCAGATGCATCAGGAGCCGCAACAAGAGCAAGCCCAACCACAACAAGAACAACAGCAGCCCCAAGTCGAAGCAGTTCAGCCGAAATTTTACATCTCGGCGCCGATCCAGGGCTTCACTTCGGACGGCCACGGCGGCTGTCGTTACTTGTTTTTTTGATGACCACCGCTTCTTCTCCCGATTTTAAACTTGTACGATTTCCCCTTTTTTTTGTAGGAGACGCGGTCCCCCTTTTTTTGTAGGAGACGCGGTCCCCCTTTTTGTAGGAGACGCGGTCCCCCCCTAATAATCACTTTGTCAAGTATCTGCCGCTCACTGGTCGGACCTCTAACTTAAACGCATAATTTAATAGTTTGTATGATAAAATTGAATGTTATAAACGTTTATAAAATTTTCGTATGGATTCTTTTCCGGGGGTAAAACGCCTCTTTTGATTACTTGATAATCATGGAAACACGAATAAAACGAATGACAATGATGATAATACACGAAACGAGTAAGTCAATAAATTACAAGTTGGTTTAAAGAGCAATGATCCATTCCAAATGCGACCAGGGTTCATAAAAACAGAAAAATAGGGTCCCTAAATGGTCAAATCGATGATACTGACACTGTTCCGAATACACTTGGGGTCCATCTCGAATTGGCCGTCGATTTCGACGACTTCACCCTTGACGTCATCAGATGACGTCACGACATCCTTGACGTCTTCTGGAACGGTAGGCGTCGAGTACTCATCCAAATACTCGACGACGACTCCAGGCTCTCCATCGACGTCTTCTCTGCCGTCGTGCTTCTAAAGGTCAAGAAGACGTCAATGATGACGGACGCAGTTACCGTCTTGACGTCTTCGTCTTCGTATTCTTCTTCCGATGACGTCATGTATTCGTCATCCTCATCGTCGCTATTCGCGGCCGGCGGTTCGACGTCTTCTTTGGCTTTTTTACAGATTGGAATCTGAATAAGTTAAGGGCGTAATCTGGAGCTTCGTAGTGGAATTTAGAAGAAATGAGTCTATTGATTTTTAAGAATTATTGATTAAATCGTTAATTTTTTAATTCCATGGAAAGCTTCGAATACTGCCTGTTAAGATTTTGAATGTCAAGTTTTTTTTAAGCTCCGCCCCTATTGGCTCGACAAGCAGAGAGCGAGCCAACCACAGAGCTTTTTCTAATGACGTCACATAAGCCACGCAGAGAGCGTTTTCTAATGACGTCATCTGACTTGACATTCAAAATCTGAGCAGACTACAGACGATTTTTGAAGATTATCTCAACAGACAATTTTTTCCTTTTTTACCTCCCCCTTCTCGGAAATTTTCTGCTTCCACCTGGCCTGTCTTTTCCGTTTCTTGTCTTCGATCCGTTTCCTTATCTTCTGCTCATAGATCTCCAATTTCTCTTGATATTCCGAAGACTCGATTTTTTTCTTTAAACAAAATTTTTTCTATTAAAACGCGATCAGAAACTGACAAATTCTTCGTTCCGTTCCTCGGAAGCTTTTTTTGCCTCCCGGAGTACAGAAATGTCGGGGTAATCGTGGATTGTTACCTAAGAGAGACATTTTGAGGCGATGAAATGGGAATAAGTGGCTACTGAAGAGGTTGCTCTAGGATACTAAAGTGGCCACTAAAATCCCCTCTATAGAAGCCACTTTTTTGGCTACTGTAGTAGTTCTTAGTGGTTTAGTGGTAGCACTCAGACTTCTAAAGAAGGCACTAAATTTTAGTCCCTCAAGCGGCCACTATTTTGACCACTAGAGTGGCCACTAAAACATCAAAACTCTAGAATGACCACTGAAGTTTATCCTAGAGAACTAGTTGTGTGCCTTTCCATGATCTAAAAATAAATCTTGTTTATACATCGGGAAAAATTCTAGTGGCCACTTAAGAGGTTCCTCAAGGAGAGAACACTAGAGTGAGCACTCAATAACCTTGCAAGAAGCCACTATTTTGCTTCTTAGTGGCCACTAAAGTAGTTTTTATTGGTCCAGTATAGCTGATCTACGGCTGACTTGAGCCATCTAAAATTGGGTCCTGACACGATAAGAAAAGAGATAGTGTCTGGTTGGTGGAGAGCGCAGACAGGCCACGCCTTTTTGCGTCCTAAAATATCCGTGAATGGGCTTTAGTAGCACTTCTATAGAGACACCTCGACTCCTATAGTGCTCACTAAAACACCAAAACCCTTAAGAGGCCACTGAGAATTTTCCAGCTGAAAAGCACCTCAGAGCTGACGATTTCAATATTCCGCGGGTCGATTCGATAAAAACGCCAGCCGGCTCGCATATCATAGCCGGATAACTGGAAAAAGCCGTGTGGTGGATTTAAAATTTTCTCGACTACTGACACGATTGGTCTGTTGGAACTGGCGGGCGGGGATCCGAACCGAAGGAACCCCGGTGAACTTTTGCATGAGGATATGGTTGTCGACGCGCCAAATCTCGTTGCTCCGATTTATTGAGTCGATATCGCAGAGGCGGATAACGAAAGAATCTTTCTGGAAGGTTCGAGAAATGGCTTGAAATGATCCTTGAATTCAGTTTTTTCAAGCGGAGAAAAACGCATAATAAAATTGAAAAAAAAATGGATAATTATACTATGAGATTTAGGTCACACACTGCGCCTATGAAAAATTTAAATCTCCTTCAAAATCATTTAAAACGACTCCAAAAGCCTCTAAACACCGCTAAATGTAGAGCGGCTTCGAACGGACTTTACTATCAACCCAATTCATCTGAAATATTCGATTCGTGCGCCTTTAAATTAGTCTAAAATTTCCGAAATATTAAAGGCACGTGGCCATGGGCCTTTAAATAAACCTAAAGTTTCCATTTTATTAAAGGCGCATGCGCAAAAACGGGCTGCGCGCATTGAAAGGAAAGCTTCTGTAGCTGGGAGGAGAATGAAAATCTTGACAAACTTGTGCGGACTGGGCTCAATAAATTTTTTGAGCGGTAAGAGAAATTTTTTTTTGATATTCCGGTTGTACCCCAAAAAAATCTCATGTAACCTATAGTTTATTCCAGCTACAGAACCTTTCCCTTCGATGCGCTCGGCCTGTCTATCGCCATGCGCCTTTGAATTAGCCCGAAATTTTCGTAAAATTAAAGGCGCATGAACAGAAACAGGCTGAGCGCTTCAAAGAGAAAGGTTCTGGGAGAAATATAAAAATCGTCACAAGCTGGCTTGGACATAATTTTGATGAAAAGCTCAAATTTGAGCGTTAGGAAGATTTTTTTTTTTTTTGAAATCTTGTTTTTAGCCAAACAAAGTCCTCCATTAATGGATAAATTTACAAATTTTCAATTAAAATTAGGTTTTAATGCAATTTTCTTGAGATTCTGACATGATAGGAACTATCTAAAGGAACATTTTGTGAGCTTCGTTTCAAAAAGAAATCAAGAGTAAAAACATTTTTTGTGATTTTAAAGATCAACTTCATCTCTTTCGAAAGCGTCTATAAGAGAAATTATGGTATTTTATACAAATTCTAAAAAATAACTCACCGGAAATGGCATTCCCGTTTTTCTGAGTCCTTTTTCTGGAAAAAATTCCATTTCTGAAAATTATTATTTGATTTTTTACCCCCTTTTTCAGCCTCCTCTCCTTCTTCCACATCGTTTTGAGCTTTTCTAAACTTTTTTTTAAAATACGATTCAATTTTTTCTTACGGTTCCTGAGGGGCTGAACCTTCTTTCTGTTGTCTCATCCGTCTCTCGCGCAACTCGGCTTTTGCCACTTTTTCTCTGGAAGTTTTCAAGTTTCTTCCCGGATAGGTTATAAGAAGAAACCTAACAAGCGCCGCGGCTTTTTCCAGTTTCAGGGCTCTGACTCGCTCCGACCGTTCAAGTTTCATCACCTGGGAGATCCGCATTTCCGGTTTCTTGTTGTATTTCTTGAAAAAAAGGGGATTTTTGAGGGATCATTTTAGGGTTTTGAAGTTTGAGAGACCACTTAAGTGGCTAAGAATTATAGGCCTCTCGAGAATTCTTGGTGGTACTACTAAATCGCTAAAGACCACTGTAGTGGCCCCTAATACGACTTCTATAGGGGTGGTTCAAGTGGTCACTATAGAGTCAAACTAGTGGCCACTTAAGGGACTAAAATTAGTGGCCTCTTTAGAAGTCTAAGTGGATTGGGAAGATTTTTAAAGACCACTTTAGGGATTTGGCCGTTTAGTGACCACTATAGTGGTCAAATTAGTGGCCACTTAAGGGACTAAAATTAGTGGCCTTTTTAAAAGTCTTGGGAAGGTTTTCAGAGGCCACTTTAGGGTTTTAACGTTTTAGTGGCCACTGTAGTAGCCAAATTAGTGGCCACTCAAGCGGCTAAAAATTAGTAGCATCTTTAGAAGTCTGGTCTTTGAGGAATCCCTTAAGTGACCACTTAAAAAAAGGGTCCAAGCTTATAAAGAATTAAAAACATCAGGATTTTAAACTTGCAAAAAAAAATTCGGTTTTTGTGTTATTAGTTTTGACAAGAAAGTTATTAGACTTGAATTTTTCGGGAATATCTTTAGAATACATTCGAATTTTCTCCAGCTTCTCGAACGTTGCTTTTATTAACCGATGCAAGCCGATCCATTGGTTTTTTAGCTGAGTTTTCTTGATTTGAACCGGATTTCGAGGCCTAAATTGTCTATTTCAATTTCGAAAAATGAATAAAAACAACCTTTGTTTTTTTTCTTTCATGCGTGAATTGGAAAGGGATCTGAGGGAGCTGGAATTCAAACTTTATTATTATTTTTTCTTCATTATTACCGTTCGAAAATCGATGACTGGTGGTGGTAAAGGCGGTGGAATGAACGGTAAACTACTTAGAATCCGTTGAGAGGCTGTATCTGGAAAAAATAACTTCGAACTTACAGTAATCAGGAAAATAAAAACCGATTCCATTGTTAGGATGGCTGATGATAAAAGGTACACAAATAGGTACAGTAGGGAACTGAAGAACAAATTAATATTTTCAAAAAACCAAATAAGAAAACCTTATGAGGAATCGGAGGCGGTGGGCAAAGAACCTGAACCTTCGGTTCAATTATTGAAGTTTGAGGCTTCAGTTCCTGATAAACTGGAGCCTGATATTCCTCTGAGTAAAATTGTTGAGGAACGACGCCTGTAACTCATTATGGATTAATTTACCAATAGGTAAACCTGTGAAAGTGCTGGGAATGCTGTAAAACTCTGGCGCATAGTTCAAAGTGTTTGCTGCGCAAAAACCAGAAGCCCCGAGCTGCAAATAAACTTTTTAAGCAATATATTTTATATAATCTCGATAAAACTGATTGTGTTGGTCCGAGCGTTGCAGCGAGAGGCGTGTATTCATCTTCGTCACTTGCGGAGTCTTTTATCGTCGGCAACATGCGAATCCGCACTGTCTTCTGTGATAAAAGGGAATATTAGAATATATTTCGAAAAAATAAGTTTCAGCCAGAAACGCTTCCGAATTTGTTTTCAAATGTTTTGAGTGCCTTTTAGTTGCAGTTCAAAATATCGACTTCATTGAAAAGCACTGGAAAGCTTGAAAAAAAAAGAAAAAATTAGCCAAAAATCATCGATCCATTTTTGACACGCGCGTAAAAAAGCTAGCACTCGGACGCACTTCTGCACAATTCCTCACCGTAATCCAATATTTTTTTTTGAAAAGCAAAATCTTTTTTTTTGTTCTTTGTTTTTTTTATATGTGCTGTGAGGGATTGTGCATTTCAATTTCAATTTGTACGAAAATTTGTTAAATAAAGAAAAAATTTGAAAAACTTTTTTTTTCGATTCTGCTAACTTTCTGATTCACTTTTTCCGAATCATTTTTCTGAACATATTTTTCTTGATATATCAACAAGATCAGCGAAACAATCCAACTTCAAGGCATCAAAGACCTCTCGGGCGTTCCGAACAATAGTAAACAACCGACAAACATTTTTGCGCGCGTTTCTTTTTCTTGCTTTTTCGGTTTCTCTTTAACTTTTGAATGTAATTTTGACCTTATTTCACGAATTTTTCAAAGAATAAATTGCAGAAATGAGTTGCTGTCATGGTAGCGGACCCGGCTACGCTTCGCCGGCTGAAGCGATCAAATCTGAAAGAGAAAAGGTTCTTTTTTCCGTCAAAATTTGTGAAATTTTCGCTCAGACTCTATTGGTGACGTCCCCGCACGTTGCGAATGGCCCAGATGCAATTTTTAGCATTGATGTGGACCCGAATAGTCCCAATTTCATGAAAGTTTCATGCGAAATTTTGAATTAAAATGAAAAAAAAAAATTAATTTAGGTTCTCTCACGCGTAGACATGCCAAATATTAATGATGAAGTTCATCATACCGGCTGGAATTCGTGTTCTTCTTGTCACGGCGATTCTTCATATAAGCGGTTAGATTTTATTTTTGAAAAACAAATTGATTTTTGATTTTTAGAACCCATCTCATCGTTCCTTGTCTTTATTCGGACCGCGTTTATATCGTTGACGCCAGGGATGCGAATGATATAAAATTGGAAAAGGTTAATAATTAATTTGAAAATTAATGAATAAATTATTTTTCTAGACAATCGAAGCCGAAGAACTTCATAAACATGACGTCAGCTTCCCGCACACTTCCCATTGTCTAGCCGATGGAAATATTCTGATCAGTACCCTTGGAAATAATGAAGGGGATGCTTTAGGTTTTGAAAAAGGCTCAGTTTTTTTGATTAAAAAAACAAATTTAGGAAATTTCCTGCTTCTGGACGGGAAAAACGTTCAATGTGAAGGGTCGTTGGACGTCCGGGGGCGTTTCGGTGCCGTTTAATTACGGATTTTGGTAATTTTTTTCTGAAAAATTTAGTTGAATTGAAGTGATGGCAGTGACCAGCCTAAGCCACCGAAAAAAATGTTTATAGAAAAATTTTCTCCACTTTTTAAAGGATATACAGATTTAAATTTAAATTTTTTTGACGGATCTACTGATTTTTTTCCAAGCCAAAATGCAATGAAAAAAAGAAAATGATGATTTTAGGGAAAAATTCCATTATAGGCTGAGAATTTTGAAGATTGTGAAAAAAATACCAGATTTTTTTCTGGAAAAAAATTTTGAAAAAGACCAGTTTTTCTAGAAGAAAAAAAGATTAATCTTTTTGAAAAAAATGACGAATTTGCTTTTTTTCAAGTTTAGAAATAATATTTATAAAAAAACTGATCAGATAAATGACCAGAATTTGGAAGAAAGTGACGAAAAAAAGTGGTCCCTAAAGGGGTAAATTTAGGTGGTCCCTATAGGGGTCTACGGTCTTATTCTCCTAGGGAACGTTTTTTACCCCCCGGTTGAACTTTTGACGAAACTTTACAGAGATGTACTTTGAGGTCTCCTGAATCCAGAACAAGAAAAAAATTTCTCGCAATATAGTCTGTTCAGATTTTGAATGTCAAGCAGCTCGCTCCTCCCACAAGCTACAGTCAGTTTTCGCGTCGATACATTTCCGCGCGTGAAGATGTTCCTTTAATAGTAGCACATTTTGTTGATTTTTTTACACTATTAATTCATTTTTTATTTTGCTGTTTTCTCGATATCCCTTAATTTCTTAGCCCTTTTTTATATTATTTCCGAATATAGTGTACCGCATTTCAAAGATGAACAATTCGATTTGTGTAAATGCGACCGCATTAAAAAATTTTTTTTACTGTTCTAAAGAAGTGAAAGATTCTACCCTGTGATAATTTATGGGCATTTTTCTTCCGATGAATTCAAACGAAAAATTTGAATTAATAGTGTAAAAAAATCAACAAAATGTGCTACTATTAAAGGAACATCTTCACGCGCGGAAATGTATCGACGCGAAAACTGACTGTAGCTTGTGGGAGGAGCGAGCTGCTTGACATTCAAAATCTGAACAGACTATAGACCTTGTTTTCGAGATATGCAGCCTCGAAGTTTGCACGTGAGATCTGCGGAAGCATGGAAGAGGGAATATGTTGCGCGCAGTGTCGGTTGAATGCCAGGTGATTCGTGGCAGAGTGGTATGAGGGCGCGCACTATGTGCGAACTGTAGTGGGTTCGGCCCCATTTCGCTGCCAAATTTTGCAAAAAATCTTTTGCCGAATGTTTAAAGAAGGATGATGCAATTTTTCAAACTCTTCGCAACAGTATTCCTTTATTCATTTGAATTTTTAGAAAGATTTTTTTTTGTTTTGTCATAAGCGCTGAAATTTTGTTTGGTTTGAATGTATTGGTTGTGTTTTGCATATTGTTATACTTCAGACGGGTTGATATTCAATCATCATTTCAAAATTTTTGAGAATGGAAATTTTTTTTATTCCACAAAGTTAGTTTATTTCAATTCGTTCCATCCAGGTGAATGGCTTTGAATGATTGGAGTTTTGGCAAAAGATTTTTTGCAAAACTCTTCACCAAAGGGGTTTCGAACCCACCACAGCTCGCACATAGTGCGCGCCCTCATACCACTCTGCCACGAATCACCTGGCATTCAACCGACACTGCGCGCAACATATTCCCTCTTCCATGCTTCCGCAGGTCTCACGTGCAAACTTCGAGGCTGCATATCTCGAAAACAAGGTCTATTGCGAGAAATTTTTTTCTTGTTCTGGAATCAGGAGACCTCAAAGTACATCTCTGCAAAGTTTCGTCAAAAGTTCAACCGGGGGGTAAAGAACGTTCCCTAGTAAGCTCAAGTGATCGCTCTAGGGGTTAGGGGAAAAACAGCCACTATAGGGGACAAAAAGTGGTCCCTAAAGGGGCCGTATAATTTTGAGATCTTTGTGAGAGTTACAACGACACCTACAGGGGCCACTTTTGCAATCTTCAAAGGCTTTAAGTGGTCCCTAGAGGACAAGGGCCCCTAAGGTTGCCCCTATAGGGACCACTCTGAAGTTCTTAAGAAAAATGTATGCCTTTATTGGAAAGGAGAACATTTTTTTGCTCGAATTTTACATTTTTTTAAGGGATAAAAAAATTTCATGAACTTTGCATGAACTGTAAATGTGAATGGAAAATGTAAAAAAATATTTATATAAATGAAAATGCATGGAACCCCTTTTTAAGGTATCAACCAAGGCGCGATATTATGATTTCGAGCGAATGGGGCGCTCCGAACGTTGTCAAGAAAGGTTTCCACATGGAAGATGTAATTGGAGGTGTTTCCATCCTTTTATTCTAAGTAAAAATATTGTTTTTCAAGGAAAATACGGTCACAGTCTCCACGTGTTCCGATGGAGCACACATGAGCGGATTCAGACGATCGAATTACCGGTTGAAGACGGATCGATGCCCCTCGAACTGAAGTAAATAGTTGAAAAAAAATGTTTTTGAAAATTGGATGGGCTGTTTAGTGACCCCTCGAGAGGAAAATGTGATTTTATTTTTAGAGGATATTAGTTTTTGGGAACTTTAATGGGTAAAATTGCAGATAGAAAAATGAAATTGAGGAAAAATGCGATGGCTCAATCTAAGTGACCACTTTAGGAGTCCAAATTGAGCAATGAAACCTAAAAAAAAGATCTTTCCTTGGTTGGGGATCTCTGAAATGTTTAACTACTTTGTCACGGCTTTAGGAGTTTGCCTTTTAGTGGCCCCTATAATAGTCGATTTAGTGTTCCCTTTAGAAGTCTAAGTGATCCTACTATACCAGTGAAAACTACTATAGTGACCACTAGACGGAAAACGGAGCCTTCTACAGAAGTGGTTTAGTAGCCAGTTTAGTGTCCTCTCCAAGTAGTCCTTGAGGAACCTCTTAAGGGGCCACTAGAATTTTTCGCAGGCAGGTCCAAAGTACCAGGATGTGTATACAGTATTTATTTTCAGGCCATGGGAAGGCGCAAAAATAGGTATTCGCCCTGAAAAATTTTAGTGGGCACTCTAGAGTTTTGACGTTTTAGTGGCCCCTATAGTAGTCGATTGAGTGTCCTATTAAAAAGTCTAACTGCCACTACTAGACCAAAACTGCTTTAGTGGCCACTTAGACGCAAAAAAGTGGATTCTGAATAGTTTGTTTTAGTGGCCACTTTAGTGTCCTCTCCAAGTAGTCTTTAAAGATCCACTTAAAGAACGCTTGAAAGCGACCACTAAGGCGCAAGATCGTGGCGTCTAAAGAATGGTTTTAGTGGCCACTTTAGTGTCCTCTCCAAGTAGTCCTTGAGGAACCCCTTAAGCGGCCTCTTTACGGGAAATTTCCGTCGCTTCTCACTGGCGAATTTGTCCTTTCCACGGCGGTTTTTCCATCAAAAACGTCAAAAATCAGCCCTTGAGTGACCACTTGAACTTCTCAGGTTCCTCCATGAGCCAACCAGCGAACACGCCTTTGTGGGATGTGCACTTGGTTCAACGGTTTATCATCTCCATCCCAAATATGTACTTTTTTAAAGATTTTTTGTAAGTCAATTTTTTTTTTCAAGAACAACACGATGGACTACCAAGCGACTGACGTCATCAACATTGCCAGCAAAAAGGTTCTTGGGAAATGAAAAAAAAAGTTGTAACTTTCAAATGACAGGTGGAAGGCTGGATGCTGCCGTTGATGCCGGCGTTGATCACCGATATCCTGGTGTCCATGGACGACAGAATGTTGTACGTTTCTTGCTGGCTCCACGGCGACATCCGTCAGTACGATATTAGTAATCCGGCCGAGCCGAATTTGGTTGGACAGGTGATTTTTTCAGGTTCTGAGCCTTGAACGGGCATTTTTCTGCCATAAATTCACTAAAGAGGTCCCTTGAGGACTTCTTGGAAAGGACACTATAGTGGCCACTGAAGCAACCTCTATAAAAGCCACTATTTTGCGTTAAAGTGCTCACTATAGGAGTTTTTAGGGGTTTAGTAGTACCCTTCAGACTTCTCAAGAGGCCACTAAACTTAGTCACTTAAGCGGCCAATGATCCGACCACTATAGTGGCCACTTGAGCTTCGAATCCTTAAAGTGGCTCCTAAGTTTTTGACACTTAAGTGGCCGCTATGCCGGCTACAATAGTGGCCTCCAAAAAAGCCAGAACCCTAAAGTGGTCACTAAGTTTTAGTCACTTAATTGGCCCCTAAACGTTAGGCACTTAAGTGGCCACTATGTCGACTACAATAGTAGTCACTAAACACCCAGAACCCTAAAGCGGTCACTAAAAAATTGTCCCAATTCGATCATTATTTTTTCGATTTTATCAAACTAGAATGTTTTCCTTAAATTCGTCAGAAAAAATTAGCCCATTTTTCAAAATTCAGGTCTACATTGGTGGATCGATTCATGACGAGAGTGGAGTTACGGTAGTTGGCGAGAATGCGGTTAGTTTTATCCAGAATTAAAGATAGAAAGATAATTTTTTTTCTGAAGAATATGCAGGAGATTTGGTGAATTTTACGTAATTTTAAAGAAATATGAGAATTTTTTTGAACCTATAAAAAAATTAGGTTGAGATTCAGGTAGGAGCACATTCCTGGGAAAAACTAAAATTGAAAAAAATTTTTAAAAAAATCGAAAAAAATAATTTCAGAGGCTTTCCGTGAAGTATAATCAAGGGTATGGGATTTTCAAAGACTTAAAAAAATTTTTTTGAATTGAAAAAAATCAGCTTCAATTTTAAGCGAAGACTTTCTACGTAGAAAAAACCAAAAAGCTTTTTGAAAAAAATGATTTTGAAGGCTTTCTGGGAAGTGTACCGGCGTTTTTCAGAGGCTTTGGGAAGAAATTGAAAAATTTTAAAAATTAACATTTTTGAAAAAAATGACTCTAGAGGCTTTCTGGGAAGTGTACCGGCGTTTTCAGAGGCTTCAGAAAAAAATTCAAAATTTAAAAAAATTAACATTTTTGAAAAAAAGATTTGAAAGGCTTTCTAGACAGTGTACCAGCGTTTTTCAGAGGCTGCGGGAAAAAAATGAAATTTTAAAAAAATAAAAAATACCGACAATTTTTTTGAAAAAAATAAAAATTACTTTAGAGGCATTCTAGGAAGTGTACCGGCGTTTTCAGAGGCTGCAGGGAAAAAAATTCAAAAAAATAAAAAGAGTAAAATTTTTTTGGAAAAAAATTAATTTAGAGGCCGGAATTCCGAGACCCTTTCTGAATTTTTTAAATCAAAAAATGGGCCACAATTCCAGCCGAAAGCCCTCTACGTGAAAAGGACGAAAATCGAAGGAGGCCCTCATTTGATGCAACTGTCTTTGGATGGAAAACGAATGTACGTGACGACGTCGTTGAACAACGCCTGGGATGAACAATTTTATCCAAACCTCAGAAAGTTTGCTCAAAATTTCGAAATCGGACTGATTTTGATCGGGTTAAGAGTTGGAGCGACGATGGTCTTGTTGGATATTAACCCGACCGGCGGAATGAAAATCAATCAAGACTTTTTGGTGGAGTTTGGCAAGCTTCCAGGTGAGTTTAGTACAGTATTAAGGGAAAAATATGGTTATCTATGTTTTAATCAGTTTAAATAGCCTGGTAAGTAGATATTTAAAAAAATTGAAATTTGGCTCTTTTTTTGGACCTTTTTTTGGTCTGCTTATTTTTTTGAGAACTGCTTAATTTTGGTCTACTCATTTTTTTTTAGAAGTGATTTTTTGGTTTTCCTAATTTTCTTGAGATCTGATTTTTGGTCTGCTTATTTTTTTTAGAAGTGATTTTTTTTGGTTTTCTTTGAATTTTTTTTTGCTTGAAAAATTGCTTAATTTTTGGTCTTCTTATTTTTTTGAGCCGCTCAAAAATTAGGGCAGTTCGTTTTCTCAATGAAAACACGGCTTCAAAAAAATAAATACAAATTTTAAAAAAATCAAAAATCTTTCCAACGGCTAAAAAGTTCTGAAAATTCTTTCTTAAGACCAAATTATGAATAATCTCTATTTCCGTAAAGTTTTCAGAAGAAAAACACGCAGAATCCTTACTTAAACTGAAGTTTTATCCCAGAAAATCGAAAAATACGAACTTTCCCTTCTCGATTTGAGCTTTTATCCCTGAAAATCGAAAATACGAACTTTCCTTCCTCAAATTGAGCTTCTATCCTTGAAAATCAAAAAATACGAACTTTTCCTTCAAATTGAGCTTTTATCCCTGAAAATCAAAAAATACGAACTTTCCCTTCTCAAATTGAGCTTTTATCCCGGAAAATCAAGAAAAAAAAACTTCAGGTGGCCCATATTTGGCACATGAAATGCGATTCCCCGGTGGCGATTGTACGTCAGACATTTGGATTTAGAGAAACTTTGAAAAAAAAATTTTATTTTCTCATGTAAAAATGCTTTTCGGAAAGCGGAGAACAACCCAGAGTTCAATCAATAAATTATCACCCATTTGATGAGAACGAATCACAAAGAAAATCTTTACAAAGAAAAAAAAATCTGTTCATATTTTTTAAAGCTAAAATTTTCGAGTTTAACACAGAGTTTTCATACCGGTTTTCTTATGGATTAGATTTAGAGGCTTGAAAGAAACGACTAGAAATCAAATTTTGATGGGGAAATTGCGCTTGGGCCAGGCCCGCAGTTGGTCCAATCGTTGGATTTCGTCGATGTAATTGTGTAGTTTTTCGGAAGTTGGGCCAATATTCTCGTAGATGAACTCGTCGATAGTGTTGTCGAAAAATAGAGGCTTCATCGCGTTTCTGTAATTTTTGATTTATTGATTTTTCATCATAAATTTTGATTCCTCAATGACAAAAATAAATCGATAAGTTGAAGTTTCTTATAGTTTTCTAGGTATAAACGGAGCTGCATACATAGGCAAAAAAATTTTTTTTTGGTTCAAATTCTTTTTAAAAATTCGTTTATAAATGAGATAAAAATACGTAGATAACGGGAAAAAAATAATTTTTTTGAGGGGTTGCCCACGTATGATGGAGCTGGGATTATCGAAATCAAGTTTTGGGTTTTATAAATTCCGCTAGGGACTCTACGTATATGCATGTATCAACTGAGTAAAACGCTCAAAATTAAATTCTGTAATTTAGAATTGTCAGACGAAGTTTTGAAGGTTTTTGAAGCTTGAATAGGAAAATTTGAAAATTTAGGTTTATTTTCAACTTCACTGAATTGAGAAGTTTCTGAGGGACCCCTAGAGGGGTCAGAATCCTGGAGATCCCTCATAGGGCTCTTATGAAACCGTTCACTAGAAATATTAATAAAAAAATAGAAATATTAATTTCATTCTCTGAAGATCTCACCTCAAAGAAGTTTCAACCTGGTCACATCGGCCGGCCAAGTTCCTAACAAATCCCAGCATTTCTCTGTGATACCTAAAATATACCTTTTTTCAATGTCCTTCTCCAAAAAATCCTACCAATTTTGCGAAATGTTGTATCTCCGATTATATCGGTTTCCCCAACCCATCATTGGATGGTTTTTGGAGAGCTCCTGCTCTACGTCCTTAATCATGTTTTGCGCTTGGCCCTGGTAGATCGCGTAGACATCGAAACCTGAGAAAATGATCAATAGACATTGATTAAAATTGATAAACCTTTGAAAGTGCACTGATTACTGATAAGGCCAGTTCCGGCGACGTTGAAGCCAGGACAGCCGAGAATTTTTGCAGCTTGACCTCTGGTCAAGGTTTGGTCCTAAAAGATAATATAGTAGCTTCCCCTTGACTTTGGTCGCATGGCTCAGAGCGTCGCTTCTGTTTAAAAGCGCGCCCGACCCAAAACGAGTTGCGCAAATGGTCATCAAACAGCATTTGAAGGAACTCAGCCCGCGACGATTTGAGCCATTCCAAGTGCGGACATTATATTACCATATTAGGAGCATTCAAAGCGGTTTGAAGGTTGAGAATCAGAGAAGCTGTTCCCATGGGTAGAATCTCACAGAGCATAGCCATATGATCGTACCTGAAGATTATAGTGGTCACTTCAGGGTTATGACGTTTTAGTGGCCACTATAGTAGTCGGTTTAGTGGGCACTTGAGTGGTTTCTTTAGAAGTTTAATTGGTATTACTAGGCCACTAAGACGCAAAATATTGACCCCTTAAGAGCCCTCTCCAAGAAACCCTTGAGGAACCACTTAAGGGGTCAATAGTTTTTCCTAGTAAGTCGCCACTTTAGCGTCTTCTCCAATTTTTTTTCGAGGGACCTCTTAAGTGATCACTTGAGCTTTTCTCAGTTACCTCTGCCATCCGGTGATGATGATCCCACGGAAGCCATTTTGGAATTTTCCTTGTTGTTGCTGAAAAAAAGCAAATTTTTCATTTTCATAAATTTCTTCGAACCTTTTTAGTGCCTATCCAATTCCTATTATTCGTCTCATAGTGTCGAACATCGGAAAAAGTGGCCGCCGGGAAGTTGGCGCCTTTGAACGCCGACGAAGCCCACATCGTTGGGAAGTTCTCGGCGATCACCGCGAAGGAGTGATCTTTAAAAAAATTCTTTTTTGAGTAGGATTTTTCGGACTACCATTCATGGTGACAATGTTCTCGGAGTAGTCCCAAACGACGGGCTCAATAATCGCCCCGAGGTCCAGTTTTCGGATCAAGCTGGGCTGGAAGTCTTTCAGCATGTCGTGCCAGGCGAGAACTCTGGAATCGGTTGAGAATCTTGACCTTTTGGAGTTAGGTATAGCTTTTTTGAACTGGGATATTGAAATATTGGGCGTGGCGTAGCGCAACAGGTTGTGTGCTTGTCAAGAGTCAAGGGGTTGCAAGTTCGGTTCGCGCCAAGGATTTTTGGTATTGGAGTTTTATAATCACAGACAAGAATGGATATGCCACCCTGATTGTTACTAATATCAGGTAATAGTTGAGAGGCTTCTGCTTTCGGTTCCTCGAAAGGCGTTCGGAAGCTTCCCAACAAGTGGTCAAACGCCTTCCACATAGCTTCCCAACACCTTCTTCTTAGAAAAAAGTCTTCCAGAAGCCTGCTGGAGAGCTTCTAGAAGGCTTTTTTTCTATCTTAAGACCTTCCAGCTTCCATACGATTTCCTACCTTGCAAGGATTTTCCTGAGTAGGACCTTGCCTCATTGGTTTGGGACGCCGAAGCGCAACAAGGACGTAAAAAGAAGAACATCGAACCATTTTCAACGGAAAAGAGCCCCCTCCTCCAACTCCAAAAAGAAAGAGAAACCTGGTGGAATAACCAGCGAGAGCCTTGACATACTGAGCGATGCTCTTCAAATGAGCCAACGCCAACATTTGCTTCCCGCCTTCAGCCCCATTATGACGAATCCATTCCAAAGACTCGGCACAAACTCCAAACTGAACTTTGGAAATTTCAATCCAAACAAAAATCAGATGTCAACCTCAAAGGCTTCATCAGCACCAATGTGAAAGGATGGGATCCCGTAGGGCTTATGAACGTCGATGACTTGCCGAAGAGCTTCTTTGACCAACTTAACGCCTTCTACACTTCCCAAGCATAGCACCTGAAGAATATTGACCTATAGGTAGAATGAAAGCCCACAAACATTTGGATAGGCGTCATTCTCCCGATATTTCCTCGTTTCCTCGTATTTCAGGATCCATTCCAAGTGTCCGAATGTTTGGACCAATGGAATCACGTCCAGTTGAAGGGTTCTAGATTTTTTGAGGTTTTTTTTTTGGGCTTGAGACCTACCTGGCTTCATCTAGAATCGCCTTGACGTCATCTAGAGAGTAGGCGTCGGAGTTTTTGAACTTCTCCAGCTCTCCAGTCCAGGGGAACATGTCTTCCCATTCCAGGAGGATTCCTGAAGTTCTTGAAGTATTTTCAAGGCTTGAAATCAACGGCTTGTGAAAGCTCAAATTGACCGACTTTCTCATTGCCCTCTCAATGAATCATCTCGAACTCACCTGTCGCGCCCCCTTTCGCAATCAATCTCAAAAGGTCCAGGAAATACGGGACCTTTGGCGGCGCGCCCTTCAGATCAAAGTGGATCAAGATGTTCTCGTAGAATTCGCCCTAAACCACGATTTTTGGGCTTCCAAGTGACCGGAAATTCATCGTGAACAGGGTGTAAAAAAAAACAAACCTTCCTACTTTTTCTTGTCGGCATCGGGGATGTCTTCTTCTCGGTCACGGCAACAGGTTGAACGGCTAATTTTGACTGAAAATCAATATCTTCTGAAGAGATCACTTGAAAAATACCTCTTCAACTTGTTTCTGTGAGTATTCAACGTCCTTATCGGCTTCACTTTTCTGATTTTCCCGTTTTGAGACCGAGATTTGCTGCTCTGTGGCGATTGAAGGCTGAAAATGAGAATATTTGATTAATCAATCGATAAAAATTTACCTCTTGTCTTTTATAACCGCCTTTAGGGTATGACGTCGTCATTTGGATGAAAAATACGATGAGTGTGGTCAGAATGACGCCCTGAATTCTTTTTTTGATTTTTGACTCAAAATCAAACGAACCTTCACCAAAAGGTCCATCGTCCGACGCCTTACATACCTGCCAGATATCATCTTTGCATTTAGGAAATGTTCTGAAGTGAAAAAAGTAGGTTTGATCACGAGAAAATTGTAGAAAAATGCACGAAAATGAAGAGAAATTGGCTTGGAGGAAGGTCAAGTTCTGCTTGGACCTCGGTAACTTGAACTGGACCCTTTTGAGCAGTTCTAGGGATCACTTAAGAGATCTGAAGCAACCAAAGTGGTCACTAGAAATGTTCCGACATGTTCGGTTTACGTTACCAAGGTCCGAGTTGGTAACGCAAACCAAACGCGCCCGGGACTCTTTTGGACAGTTCTAGGGATCACTTAAGAGACCTGAAGCTACTAAAGTGATCACTAAGAAAACTCAGACACGACTGGTTCGAGTTACCAAGGTCCGAGTCGGTAATGCAAACTAAAAGCGCCCGGGACGCTTCTGGACAGCTCTAGGGATCACTTAAGAGGGCTGAAGCTACTAAAGTGATCACTATAATTGCTCTGACACACTCGATAGCGTACCAAGGTCCGAGGACAGAAAAAAAGGACATTTTATCGATAGAGCAAAGTTTATGGGATTAAAAAGGCTACAAATGGCGTTAGTTCGAAAATTTGATAAAACGGATTGAGAATCTGGAACACGTTAAAACATGGAAACATAAAATGGACATGAAAATCTTCTGAAGGCGTCACGAAGAACTGTGAATAGTCGGACCGCCCCGTCAACGCGAATATTCATTTTGACACCGACCATTGCCTATTTCAAGCAAAAATGAAGATCTTTCCACGCCAACGTGCAAAAGTAGCGTGTGTTCGACGAGAAATTATTTTTTTGTGCCGTCGAATGACTATTCTGAAATAGACGGATTCCTGAAGAATGTCTCTATGGAGTTTCACTCTGGAATCCACGTCGTCTAGTGACAATTGGAAGAGGCGTGAGGCAAGGCGACACCATTTCGTCCCACCTTCTCAACGCGACTCTTGAGCATGTCTTTCGAAGACTTGACCGGAGTGAAAATTAGAATCTCGATCAATGAGACATTTTTGGTTCGTTCATATAGATGCTCCAAGCTCGAAAAGTTAGAAGAAATGACAAATCGATGGGCCACTGAGAGCAAGGATTGATAATCAACTTCTCGGAAAATGAATCGGGCATGGAAGTAGACGGGAAAGAAGTGAGATACGTTGAATGCTTCACAATTTTGGAACTTATTTTCATTCTACGGACGGTTTCAAGATGGAGTGACATGGCAAAAATCAAGAAATGAAAAATAAACTGTCTCTTTGGAGCAGGAAGTCCGGCTTGTCGGAAAGGGTTTCAAAATGAAGCTACATCACAGAAATCAATCTGCAAGGACAGTTATCCACTTTGACCAAGAAAACAGCGCAAAGAGCTATTTGGCTACTACCATGATCCAACAGAGTTGATACTTCCTAATTCCTGAATGTGAATGAGTTTTCAGCCCCCGGTTGACTTTTTATGAAGCTTTGCTGTAGTGTATTTCACAACCTCCTATTCCAGAACTAATATAAAATGTTTCGCAAAAGATCTTTTTCGATTTAGGAAGCTTCAAAGTTTTCGAAATACGCAAATTATGACAATTTTTTCGAGCTTTTGAAGCGCCCTAACTCGAAAAAGAGATCTATCGCGAGAATGGAATCAGGAGGTCCTGAAGTACATTTCAGCGAAGTTTCATCAAAAGTTCAACCAAGGAGCTAAAAAACGTTCCATAGTGAGATTCTGATCGATAGAGCGAAGTTGATTAGGACAAAAAAAGCTGATAAATATAAATAATTCATTTTTTTCCAAAGATCGGATCCATAAAAAAATACCTTTTTTTGAAAGTTTATTCATCCCAAATATGAATAAAACTAAGATTGAAGTATCCGATCTCATCAATGGTCAATGGAGCGAAAATGAAGTTTTTGGAAAAAAACAAATTTTTTTCTTGAGGCACGCCATCAGACCGAAATTTTTGTCTAGCAAGTAAAAAAATTCAAAAGTTCAAAGGCTATTTTTTTACCTATAAATTTCATTTTTGGCTCTCGAAACAATCTTTTTTTGACGTAAAAAAGAAAAAAAAACATATAGACGTAGAATTTCTGGGAAATGGGGCTGCGAAGAGATTCCAAGGGATAATCTTGCTTTCTGACCTCGTTTTTTTGTGTTTTTTTGTTTCCTTTCGAAAAAAATTTTTATTTACGGTTTTTTTGAAGTATAAAGGTTCAGAAAAAAAGCTAAAAAAATTGGAATTTGGCTGAGATGAAGCTGAGATGAAGCTCGAAAAATTTAAAAAAATTTTGTAAATTTGAGGTGAAAATTGGAATAATCTGTTGTAAAAAAACAAGCAATTCGGAACTTAGTTTGGTTAACTTTAAAATTGAACTCGGAGAGAACAATAATCCTGAAGAATAATTGGGCAAATTTCAACTTTTCCGAAGAAAAACTTGTATTTTGAAGCAGAAAAATCCGTTTTTCTTTCGGAAAAATGGCTGTAAAAGCCGAAAACTATACACATTTATCTCTCTGAGAAGCCCAGATTCACTCAAAGGAACGAGAAAAAGAAACCCGAAACTTTTTTTGGCGAAAGGACAAAAGAAATGGCCGCTGAATTATTAATGGTTGGCGCAAGAGAAAAAAAAAGCGAACGGATTCCCATTTTTCCTCACTTATTGGCTCTGATCCAAAATTGAAAATTGCGAAATATAGGTGAGAGAAAACATAAAATAAATGACTATGGGAGTAAATAGATGAATAGATGGGAATAGTGGAGTAATCAGGCGTGTGGGAAAAATATGGGCTTTTTTCGACTTTTGAAAATATTCCAGGGCTCTCAATTTCATTCAGAAGTCATATTTAAAAAATTACTGTTCTGAGAAAAATTCTATTGGCTACAGAGAAGGAGAGGACCCTAAAGTGACCACTAAAACCAGCTCTACAGAAGCTACTTACTAGGAAGACTCTATTGACCCCTTAAGTGGCTCCTCAAGGACTCCTTGAAGAGGACACTAGAGTGGTCACTATTTTGCGTCTTAGTGCCACTTAGGTAGTTTTTAGCGATCCAGTAGTACTATTGATGCTTCTAAAGAAGCCACTGAATTATATTGACTTAAGTGACCACTAATTTGACTACTATAGTGGCCACTAAAACGTGAGAACCCTTAAGTGGTCCCTAAAAGTTATCTGTAAGAAAAATGAGGGTTTTTTTCCACAGTAAAAAAATAATATCTATCAGAAAAAAACCGTATGGCTAATTTTTTTGATCAATATGGAGAACAAATTCCTGAAATTATTGAACCTTTGAGATAGAAAAATTAAAAATTCACACCTTTTTTTCAGTATAAGATTAAGAAAAATCTAAGATTTTTTTCGATTGAAAGAATAAGATTTTTTTCAGAAACTATACCACAGTCTTTTTGGAAAAAAAGCAGGCTCAACTTTTTTTCTGAAAAAAGTACATTTTTTTCTCAATTTCTTATTGAACTTTTCTGATAGAAAAATTAAAAATTCACGCCTTTTTTTAGTATAAGATTAAGAAAAATCTAAGATTTTTTTCGATTGAAAGAATAAGATTTTTTTCAGAAACTATACCACAACCTTTTTGGAAAAAAGCAGGCTCAACTTTTTTTTTTCTGAAAAAGTACATTTTTCTCAGTTTCCGAGTTCTCATTCAGAAGTCGAGAGAACACTTTTTGATATTTTTACTGTTTGGAGGAACTGAAATTTCGTCAAGATAGGTTAAAAAAAATTACTAAAACCTATGGATTCGAAAAGGTAACATTTACGAGGACAACAACAAAGTATGCAGAAAACAATAGTGCACAATTTGAAGCCGTGTGAAACTGGCGTAAATAGGGCCCGTTTCTATGGTGAGCCGAGAAACGGAGGGAACTCTCCAAAAATGGCAGTTTAAATGAGCGGGAAATCACTTTTCATAGTGTAACGAACTCTATTAGAAAACAAAAATAGCCTTTTCTACTAAAAAGCTCACAGTGGGACTTTTGAATGAGACTAGGTTTACTAGATGTAGTTTTTTACGCTGATTCAGAATCTGGGCTCGAAAGTTGTCCTGGAGGCCTGTGAAAAAAGTTAGAACGAACGGAACAAGGACTCGATCGGAGACATCGAACTTTTCGACTTTGAGAGCCCCTAACTTTTTTCACAGGTCTCGAGGGCAGCTTTCGAGCAATCGGGGTAAAAAGTTTCCTCATGTTTCTACGCTTCAAAACTCAAGACAGGAGCACTAACACGAAATTTTCGAAAACGGAAAAATTGCAAAAAAAGTTTTTGCAGGGGATGGGGACCGAACCTATGACCTCGTGATCCTCAGTCCGCCGCTTTTCCGCTGCTCTACGCTGCCGTTGCTTCGACGGTCGCCGGCTAGGAATAGGACATCGCGCCCGCATTCCATTACCATTAGCGGGGCTTTGAAAAATTATATCTGGGCTCCGAAATTTTTTTGAAAAAAATTCAAATCATTTTTCGTGACAAGGGGAACAAGGACTATATACCCTCAGTGACATCGAATTTTTCGACTTTGTGAGCCCCTAACTTTTTTCAAAATTTTCGGGGGCAAATTTAGAGCACAGATTCGGAATCAGCGTAAAAAACTACATCTAGTAAACCTAGTCTCATTCAAAATTGCTGAGAACACTCCATGGTAAAACATGATGAAACCTCACAAAAAGCACCTTTCAAACTAGGAAGAAAAGCCAAGAACTAGCCTGAAAACGTCAACAGCAAAAGGGAAGCACTTTTGGTACAACTACGCCCCGAAGAAGCCCCCCGAAAAAATGACATTTATTTCCCAAAGAATAAATGTTCATGTGACTTTTTCAACGTCTACAAAAAAGGAAAACCACCAATTTCCGGCGAAAAATGAAAAATTTCTCGATGGGAAATGTTTTGTGGGGAGAGCTATGTTTTCGTAGGCCATTTTTTTGGGCTGTTGGCTACAAAAAACATTTTTCAAAAACTATATAGTTCGATTTCTGATTTTTTTTTCAGTTTGCATTGGGTTTCAAGAATCTTTAGGGCTCCTTAAAGTTTAAAAAAATGTTAGCTCTGCTTTTTTTGAAGTTTTAAAGGGCTACCAAGTTTTTTTCTGAAGAATTTTTAATGTACTCAAACTTTGCTTTGGTTTTTTTAAAGCTTTTAATTTTTTTCTAAGAAGTTCTAGAGGTTAACTGGTTTTTCTTACTAACTTAGGTCCCAGGTGGATTTTTTAAACGACTTTTGAGCTTTTTTATTATTTTTTTTTCCTGTGACATTAAAGATTCTTCAGGCTTCTTTAGAAAATTCAAAGATCGAGCCATGTTTTGAAGATTTTCAGGCTTTTTCGACTATTTTCAAGGTTTTTAGGAAAAACTAGAATCATAATGAAAAGATTCGATGCGTTCTTAGGAACTCAAGAGTGGTCCATATAGGGGACGGGACCACTTTACAAACCTCTATAGGGGCCACTGAAGCTTGCAAAGTGGTCCCTATAGGGAAAATGATGGTTGATAATTTTGCAAAGAAGCACTTTCATGCAAAAAAACGAAAAAAATTTTTTTTTAAAAAAAGGAGAAAAAAACCCCTACAGGGACAACTTAAGCTTTAGGTGCTAAGGGGTCAGAACCTGAACCCTATAGGGACCCCAATTTTCTGCCAATTCACGATTCCCACGTCCTTCCTTACCAAGAAGTTTACCGATCTTTATCAAAAAATCACGTGAAAATGATGACTAACCCCCAAATTCGAGGACCATCAATATTTGCTTTTTGGCACCCGCGCCAAAAACTTCTCAAGTCTATTTGAAGTAGGTCAAGAGCTATAAAAGATGGCGCGAAACAAGTTATCACTGATAAAAAAAATGAGCTTCTCATCGATTTTTGTAATCTTTTTGGCCTCGGCTGTTTTCACCGTGAACCCTAATTTGATTGGCTGGCAACAGTCGATCGCGGTCTCTGGACGGCTGATTTGTGAGGGAAGCCCCGCGCAGGGCGTTCTCCTGAAGCTCTACGACGAGAACTTGCGTGAGTTTGAAGAGGCAGTTGTGAATATATGATATTTTATTAGTTATCGACACCCTGCTCGCCGAAAGTTACACCAACAGGAATGGGGAATTCGCGATGGACGGCCATCGCCGGGAAATCAGCGACGTCGACCCGAAACTCAACATTTATCATAGGTGCAACTACTATGGGGTTAGTGAAACTTGTCAAAGAAACATTAGAAAGACCTGACAAGGAAGGTCATTTTACTACTTCCTGAAAATCGGCCAGATCAATCCTTGATGTACCAGATCAAGATTCTAGAAGTATCAAGAAAAGACGCTTGATTTTTAGGATTTTCTTTGACTTTGAGGCCGGAAAAGCTTTCAAAGAAGGTTCAGACTACAGATTTTTCAAAAATTCCGAAACAGGAAAGTTTTATCAGAAGAAGTTTCGAAGTCAAAGAAAATCCTAGAAATCCTTTAGAATTGCGACTTGGAGCTCTTATTTTGCAATAACTAGGAATTTGTGCAACTTGAGACTTTCAGAATCTTTTTCTGGTACATCAAGAAGTTCTTGGACCAAATTTCCAGAAACCGGAAAGTGAAATGACCTTCTTGGAAAGCCCTTTAGTTTCAAGAGATAGGAAAATTCAGAAAGCTTCCAGAAACCAAAGAAAGTTTCAAACAGTTTCAATAGGACAAAGAAAAATAAAATCGAGTTCCTCGAAAAAAGTTCAGTGAAGTTTAAATTGATGATTCTTCTGCTTTGCCTCCTTTCCGAAGTTTCAGCAATCTCTAATCTGAACCTCTTTGAACATTTTCCTTTTTACTTCAGCTGAAATCAGAGCCTTCTAGGCTGACAACTTGTCTTACAAGCTTAAAAATTGAAAAAGTCTCTAGATGAAAAAAATAACTAGGTTCAAGTGAAGCTTGGGAAAGAATAGATTCTGAAGCCCTCTAGTTTGAAAAGATAGGAAAATTCAGAAGCTTCTAGAAAACACAGAAAATTTTGACAGTTTCAAAGGGACAAAGAAAAATGAATTCAGACATCGCAACGTGTGGGAAAATTCAAAAGCCGACAATTCTTCTAATAAAACTTCGCTCAATGTTTCCGAATTTTCGAAAAATATGTAGTTTGAACCTTCTTCGAAAGCATTTCCGGTACCATTTTTCTATTTTCAGCTGAAATTTGAGAGTCTGAGGACTTGAAGTTTGTCTAAGAACCTTGGGGACACTTGGGAAAGCTCGAAAAATCTTCAGATAAAAATTATTAGGTTTTTTTATGAGTTAATGAAGTCCGGACGCTTAGAGATGAAGAAAAAAAAATTTATTCAAGGCTACTGGGAAGATTTTTAGTGACCAGTTTAGGAATTCGATGCTTAAGGGGCCACTATAGTAGTCGAACTAGTGGCCACTCTAGTGACAAAAACTTGATGGTCTCTTTAGAAGCCTAAGTGATACTACTGGACTGTTGAAAACTACTATAGTGGCCAATAAGGCGCAAAACAGTGGCTTCTATAGAGATGGTGTTTGTGGCCACTTTAGTGAAAAGAACTTGATGGTCTCTTTGGAAGCCTAAATGATACTATTAGACCATTAAAAACTACTATAGTGGCCACTAAGACGCAAAATAGTGGTCACTTTAGTGTCCTAGTCCTTGAAAAACCTCTTAAGTGGCTACCCACTACAAACTTAAAAAAAAGAAACGGAAGAATTTCAGCCGTGCTCGAGAAAGATTGCGATCCGGATCCCGCATAGCTACCTCTCGGACGGCAAAACTCCCAGCCGCGTTTACGACGTCGGAACGATCAACCTCGGGAATCGATTCAACGGCGACACCATCGATTGCATACATTAACTTTGTGGGAATAAAGAATTCTTTACAACTGAAGTTTTTATTGGAAAATGGTTCTAAAGAAGCCTATGTGATCTTTGAAATTGGTCTTGTTGACTTTAAGAGAATTGGAAGTTTAGATGGACCAAAGAAAAGTTTAAAAAGTCGAGGAAAGCTTCGAAGATTCCGAAAAAAAAGGTAGGCCTTTTTTGAAAATTAACAGCTTTTCCTACTTGATTTCTGCTCAGTACTAGGAAAATTTTAGTGGCCACCATAGGGTTTTGACGTTCACAGTAGTCAAATTAGTGGCCACTTAAGGGGTTAAAAATTAGTGGCCACTATAGAGGACCAAATGCTACTAAAAAATTTTAGTGGTCACTTTAGGGGTCGATGGATCAACATATCTGGTCCAATCTGTTTGTTTTAAAATTAACAGAGTTACTGGAAGGAATACTGGATGATAAACTACTGAAGTGGCCACTTTAGTGTCCTCTCCTTGGCAAGCCCCTAAAGTGGCCGCTAAAAATTTTCGCAGTAAGCTGAAAAACGAACATCAGTAGAAAAATTTCACAATGATCAAATAAAGCTGAAAAAGTCCTCATAGAAAAAAAAGGGGGGGAGTGGTGCCTTTTTTCAGAGAGAACAGCATTTAAAATCTTCGAAAATCCTCAAAAAAAAAAATCGAAAAAATGCACTTTTTCCAAAGAGAACAGCTTCTCCTGGGTGGTAAAATGAAAATTGCTCTTCCAAAGACCTTTTATCTTTGCTTCTTCGTTACGAGGACCAATTATCCCTGAAGCTTTTCCAGGACGACCGGTTGTTAAATCAGAAAAATGGCTTGGAAAAAGGAGATTTTCAATGGGGAAATGGTTATTAGGGATTGTCATAGTTTAAAAATTGTTTTTTGAAGAAGAATCTTTAATTTTTGAGAACTTGAAGTTCCTACAACACTCCAACTAACAGAACGAAAATCTTCAAAATACGATTTTCATCCTTCAATTTGAACCATAAATTTCCAATATTTCGCAACTTTTTTTTTCAAAATTAGATATTTTCAACTTGAATTTCAGTTTCAAAGAAGCTCCCAACGGATTTTTGAAGATTTGAATCATTTTGGGAAAATTTTTTGAGAAATATTCATCAGAAAGAAGGTTTTGAGGTTTTGGGAGTTTTTTCGAAAAAAAAAGTTGATTTTTAAGCAAATTTATCGGTGTTTGGGAAATTCCTAGTGGCCACTTAAAGGGAATACCTCAAGGACACTCAAGTGACCACTAAAACCACCTCTATAGAAGCCACTACTTTTGTCTTAGTGGCCACTTGAGTAGTTTTTAGTGGTTTAACAGTACCAGGTGGACTTCTAAAGAGGCCACTGAAGGCAGTCACTTAAGTGGCCACTAATTTGACTACCATAGTGCAAACTACGACTTCAAAACCCTAAAGGGGCCATTACAGTAGTTTGTGACTTAGTCGTACTACTTAAAGTCCTGAAGGTAGACTTCTAAAAAGGCCACTAAGATGGTCACTAAATCGATTACTACAGTGGTCACTAAACATACCTCTATAGTGGCCAAAATTTTCCGTTTTAGTGGCCACTTCAGTAGTTTATCATCAAGTATTCCTTCCCGTAACTCTCATAATTTTTTAAACAAATAGATTGGACCAGTTATTTTGATCTATTCACCCCTAAAGTGGCCACTAAAATTTTTAGTGGCCTAGTAGTAGCACTTAGACCTCTATAGTGGTCACTAATTTTTAACCCCTTAAGTGGCCACTAATTCAACTACTATAGTGGCCACTAAACCGTCAAAACCCTATGGTGGCCACTACAAATTCACCCAGTGTTCAAGGACAATTTTGAGGTTGATTTCTCAAGAAAGTAATGGAAAATAGTACAGTTACGACCACGCAACAGCCGCGGCACATGCGAGATAAGATCAAACAAGGACGGTTATCACTAATTACCCGTTAAAAACCTTCCAACATCACTTTGTACAGTAGAAAATGAAAGAAAAACCATTTCTCAGCGCGAAAAAACGACGATTTTTGGTGGGACGAGGGAAAATTGATGGGAAATGTTCGTTTCGGCGCGGCTGACAAACGGAAAATGAACCAAAATAGGAATTTGATAAGATTTTCTACTGATACGTTAGACAAATAATGACTTGTAGTTCAAATCGTAGTAGAAATTCGGGAGTCCGGAAAGATATTTTGGATGAAAATGGAATGGAAAACGAGGGTTTCTCCTTCTTGCTTGAGTGCATAATTGACCATTTGAATGGCGCTGATGTGTACTCTTGGTGGCCCCGAGAAAGTGGGAAAACAGGAAATTCAGATATATGTGTTGGTAGAGTGCGAAAAAAGTGAAGTTTCTGGAGTTAGGAGGCTGTTTTTTCACACTTTATCAATGGAGCAACTTTTCACATTTTTGGTTGAAATTCATCTTTTTTCAATTAGATGCGTTCAGAGGTATGAGCTGCTCTACTGATGAGCAGGACTGCTTTGAGTAGTTTGAAATGGAATTTTTTGAGTTAAGCGGCTGTTTTTTCACATTTTATCAATGGAGCAACTTTTCGCATTTGGTCGAAAATAATTTTTTTTTTCAAGTAGATGCGTTCTAAAGTATGAGCTGCCTTACTGATGAACATTATTCATTTGGATGAAGCTGGAAATTGAGAATTTTCGAGTTCGGAGGCTCATTTTCACACTTTATCAATGGAGCAACTTTTCGCATTTTTGATTGAAAGTCATTTTTTTTTCAAGTAGATGCGTTCTAAAATATAAGGTGCTCTACCGATGAGTAGGATTGCATTGAATAGGTCAAAAATGGAGTTTTTTGAGTTAAGCGGCTATTTTTTCACACTTTATCAATGGAGCAACTTTTCGCATTTTTGGTTCAAAATCATTTTTTTTCGAGTGCGTTCTGAAATTTAAGGTGCTCTACTGATGAGCAAGATTGATTTGAGGGAGGCTAGAAATGGAAATTTTTTGAGTTGAGCGGCTATTTTTTCACACTTTATCAATGGAGCAACTTTTCGCATTTTTGGTTCAAAATCATTTTTTTTCGAGTGCGTTCTGAAATTTAAGGTGCTCTACTGATGAGCAAGATTGATTTGAGGGAGGCTAGAAATGGAAATTTTTTGAGTTGAGCGGCTATTTTTTCACACTTTATCAATGGAGCAACTTTTCAAATTCTTGGTCGAAAGGTTTCAATTTTTTAATAATTCAGTTCTAATTTATGAGCTACTATTAAGATAGATCTAACTTTTCAAATGAGGCTTTTTTTCAGAGAGAAAAACCAAGAAATGGAAGTTTTTGAGTTGGGTGGCTGTTTTTTCACACATCATCAATAGAGCATGTTTTCTCGTTTTTTTGAATCTGTATTTTTTTTTCTGAACTCATGTGTTGTGTTTCACTACTACCAGACTGTGAAGAATAACAAAAAAAATCTGTATTTTAAAGTAGAGCGGCTCTTTTTTTTCACACTTTATCCGTAGAGCAACTTTTCCCAAAATATTAGTCGAAATTTTTTTTTGAAAGCTGGGAGTCAAAAAAGTTAAGGAACAAGAGTAAGAAGATCGGAATCGGGAAGGAAAGGCAATTCACATGGTAAATAAGGTAGTAGAAGTTGTTGTATCGGAAGAATAGGGTCAAGGAAGAACGGAAGACCAAAGAAAGGAAGGGAGGAGGAGGAGGAGGACAGTCGACGCCTCTGACCCCCCCTCAAGAGCAATTAGACGTTGGCCGATTTGTTTGTTCTGTTTGTGTCGGTGTCGCACTACCACGACGGAACCAACAAAAAGCCATAAATGGCCAGTGTTATTGATCACATAGTGTCCGCATTTTAAAGACGTCCAGGAGCTGAAGCTCGACAAGGATAGGCTTGAGAGTCGGACTTTTCTGACTTTTTTGAGGATAATTTTGAACTGTCCGTATTTTGAAAGCGTCCGGAAGATGAAGCTCGGAAGGACTAGGTTGGAAAATCGAAGCATTCTGACTTTTTTTGGGGAAAAATCTGGACTGTTCGCATTTTAATAGCGTCCAGGAGTTGAAGCTCGACAGGACTAGGCTTTAAAATAGGGACTATCTGACTTTTTTGGAAAAAAAATCCGGAAAAAAAAAACTGTTCGCATTTTAAAAACGTCCAGGAGCTGAACCTCGACAGGACTGGGCTTAAAAATCGGGATTATCTGACTTTTTTCTATTTGGGAGAAAAATCGGGACTGCTCGAATTTTAAAAGCGTCCAGGAGTTGAAGCTCGACAGGGCTTGGCTTAAAAATCAAGCTTTTCTGACTTTTTTGGAGGAAAAATCTGGACTGTTCGCATTTTAAAGACGTCCGCGAGCTGAAAGAGGCTCTCAAAAGTAGCTATAAAAATTATTTTCAATAGAGCCATTGTACTCATAATGAAGTTCAACGCTTTTTGCTTCAAAGAATGCTCATTTTTAGAAGCACCCGACCTAAAACGGCTTGCGCGCTGTGGCATTTGTAAACATGAAAGGAAGCTTGTCAACCGAATCTAACTTTAGGAGCACCCGACCTGAAACGATTTGCGCACTGGCGCCTGAAAACATCATGGTAGCTTCTCAACCGCTACGCGACCGCGACGCTCAAGCCATTCCAAGTAAGCTTTTTTTTCTTGATGATGGTATTTATCAAAGATACAGGTAGAAAAAGCTACATTTTGTGGATTGCAAAAAAAAGTTGAAACGGAATCGAAATCTCAAAAGTGCAGCACGCGGCAAAAAGGAGAATTTTTTTTCCATTCTCGCTATCCGCCACGTGCTGTTCAAACATACACATGAACACTTTCGATTTCGATTATGGGCCGTTTTGGAACAATTTTATGGGATGTGAATCGAATTTTTTGGCTCTTTGAAACGCTACAAAATTTAACGATTTTCGGAAGGAAGAAGATTTTTTATTGGCGGCTTTTTTTTGACTGCAAGTTCGCTCCATTGATAAATTAAGACAAATTAGCTTTTCGGCTTTTTTTTAACAGTGTAGAGGGATCAAGGCTTTTCCTTGCCTACTATTTTTGCTCCATTGATAAGTTTTAATTTATTCACAAAAACGATTCTTTTGGATTGCTGCCAGATGAGGTCGTGTATTGAAAATTTAATGATTTTTGAAAAACTTTTTCAGTGGCGGCTTTTTTTGACTGCAATTTTGCTCCATCGATAAATGAAGATAGATTGGCGTTTTTGGCTTTTTCCGAAATAGTAGAAGCTTGAGACTTTTCTCACCGTATCATCTGCGCTCCATTGATAAATTTTAATTTATTCACAAAAACGGGTATTTTGGGTTGATGCCAGATAAGAGCGTTTGTTGAAAATTTAACGATTTTCGTAAGAAAAAAATTTTTAGAGGCGGCTTTTTCTTCGCTGCAATTTCGCTCCATTGATAATCTAATATATATTAATATTCCGACTTCTTCTGCTAGATGAGGTCGTGCAGAGAAAAATTCGACAACTTGAAGAAGAAAAAAAATTTTAAGTGGCTATTTTTTGACTGCAAGCTTGCTCCAGTGATATATATTATTATTCCGACTAATATATATTAGTATTCCGACTTTTTCAGCATAGTAGAGGGATGAAGGCTTTTTCTTGCTTATCATCTGCGCTCCATGAACAATTCCATTTTATTCACAAAAATGAGTCTTTCGGATTGCTGCCAGATGACGTCGTATACTGGGACGTCGGCCGGTCGATGTTCCAAATGTGGAAAAACGCGGCCCGATGCTCCTTCGACCGCCAAATTATAACGTAGAACGATTGAGAATAGCAGATCAGGGCGAATATTATCTGTAAATTAGTGAATTGATTCATGGCGCAGTCGGTAGGAGGGTTGTCTATGGCGCGAAAGGTCTTAGGTTCGAAAATTCCTGGTGGTTTTTTTCTTTTTGCAGAGGTTTTCGTACCTTTAAGAAAGCTAATCAAATCATTTTAGACATTTTTAATGAAATGAGGGCCCTCATAATGCTTTTCAAAGCCTTGGCGGAGCGGGTTTTCTTGAAAATTTTACCTTTTTGAGGATTCAGCGATTTGCTGCTTAAAATTTTTCAATATGATGATAAAGGCTCTGGCGAAGTAGTCTAAAAATGTTTTTCCATTCAAAATTTCATACTCAACATTTTCTGCCGCGGGATAAAATCGGGATTAATGCGGGCTAGCCCGAATGACCAAAAAAACCGTAGAAATGCCAAAATTCAAACGTCCGAGCTCCCGAACCCTCATTTTAACCGCGTTACTGCCGAATTTCTCCCCCTCAACATTTTGTGGGATAAAATCGGGATTAATGCGGGCAAGCCCGAATGATCAAAGCAGCCGGTGGAAAGGCTGAAGTTCAAGCGCCCAAGCTCCCGAACTTATACCGCGCTTCTACCGAATTTCTCCCCATTTGAGCTTCTAAGTAGTTCAAACCCTGTCTCATTTTTGAACTCCCCTTCAAAAAGTCCTTTTTTTCACCATAAACTTACAAAATTGGCATGAATGACGCCCTGGCGAAGACCTTGGAACGAAAGAAGAGTCATAAAAACGCCGGCCATGCAAATGTACCAGGAGCAGATGAAAATCCCCATAAGGACGAGAAGTCGACGAACTACTCGTTTTTTACGCTCTTTTCTGATGGCGTCGCCTGAAAATTTATTATTATTATTAGATCACTGTTATAGAGAAGAAATAGCCTCCTAGAATTTTAGTTTGTACGCTCTATCGACTAGGAAAACTCTAGTGGCCACTTGTGAAGCTCCTCAAAGACTACTTGGAGAGGACACTAAGGTGGTCACTAAACCACCCTTATAGTAGCCACTCTTTGCGCCTTAGTGACCACTATAGTAGTTTAAAGTAGTCTTGTGGTACCACTTGGACTCCTAAAGAGGCCACAAACATTTAGTCCCTTAAGTGGCTACTAATACGTCAAAACCCTAAAGTGGTCACTAAATCTGTTCTAGAATCCATGGAGCGTCTTTGACATTCTCAAGTGTGCTTCTACTCTCTTTTTATTTCCTTAAGAAATAAAAAATTAGAGTCTTAATAGTTTTGGGCTTTTGCGCTCCATCGTGATTTGATAAAGCTACTCGGACCCCGGACATTTCTAGGGATCCCTTAAGAGTGCTGACGCCGCTAAAGTGGTCACTAGGAAGGCTCCGACATATCCTAACCGTGTCCTGTCAGGGTCCAAGTCAGTAACGCAAACCGGACAAGCCCGGGACGATTTCGAACATTTCAAGGGATCACTTAAGAGTACTTAAGCTACTAAAGTGGTCACTAGAATACTCGGAAACGTCCAGTCCCAATTTCGAATAAATTCCTTTGAAACGAACCTCTGATTTTCACCATAAGTATCAAAAATATAAAAAGGGCCAATACGACACTGTTAATAAATACATTGGACATCATCCAGTTTTTGGTGACGGTTGGGTGAAGACCTGTAAAATTCCCAAAAAATCAATAAAATAGTCAATAGCTTACCTGTCGGTGGATTACAAAAATCGATCGGGTCGTCGTCCATTTTGACGAAACCCCAAACCATGAAAAAGGTTGAATAAATGACCGGTCCGATCATCATGACCACGATGTACTTGAAGGTTCCTATGTTTCGGTACCTGGAAGCCAAAAAATCTTTTTTTTGTGAGCACTTCTAGGGGTCACTTAAGAGGGCTGACGCTACTAAAGTGGTCACTAGAAAAGCTCCGAAACATCCTAGCCGTTTCCTGTTAAGATCCGAGTTGGTAACGCAAACCAAACACGCTCGGTAGTTCTCTGAACGCTTCTAGGGGTTACTTAAGAGGGCTGACGCTACTAAAGTGGTCACTAGAACTTCTCCGACATGTCCAAATCGCGTCTGATTCAAAAAAATAGAGGAATTTAAAGAAATCTTCATTTTTGAAACCGCTATCTACTCGGACCCGCTCCAGAAGGTTTCTGAGCACTTCTAGGGATCACTTAAGAGGCCTGACGCTACTAGAGTGGCCACTAGAAACGCTCCGACACATCCTAGCCGTTTCCTGTTAAGATCCGAGTTGGTAACGCAAACCAAACACGCTCCGGACGTTTCTGAGCGATCCTAGGGGTCACTTAAGAGTTCTGACGCTACTAAAGTGACCCCTAGAAATGCTCCGACACGTCCGGTTCGCGTTACGAAGGTCGGAGTAGAGCAAACTTCAATCTTGAAACTCACTTATGAGGAAAAAGAATGGCGAAAAGAATGTCGGACGGCAGGACCAACATCAGAACCGCCTGAGCGCAAATGCAAAAAATGTACGGCGCTAGGATGGGATAACACTGTCGACGGGTGAAGTTCATGTCGAATAAGATGAACAGCGCGTTCGCCAACGTGCTCAGAAGGCAAAGCGAGTGAAACACGGAGAGGATACATTGTAGATAGGCTGAAAACGAAAAAATTAGCATTTTTATCATTGGAGCGAAAGTGTAGCTGAAAAAATAGCCGCTTTGATTTTTTCAGCTTGAAGTTTCGAGCATACCGAAGCAAGTTTTTGATTATTTTAAAAAACGGCCATTTTTATCAATAGAGCGAAGTTTCTGTTAGAAAAATGACCACGTTGATTTTTTTTAGCTGGGAGGTTGAAGTTGGCAAAAAAGTCAAATTTTTTCGAAGAACGGTCTTTTTATCAATAGAGCGAAGTTGCTGTTAGAAAAATGGCCGCTTCGATTTTTTCTTAGCTCGCAGGTTGAAATTGACAGAAAAAATCGACAGAATTTCTGAGGAAGATCATTTTCATCAGTAGAGCAAGCTTGACATAGGAAAAAATAGCCATTTTGATTTTGTAAACTTGGAGGTTCACGTTCACTAGAAAAATCTCAATCATATCGAAAAAGGTCATTTTTATCAATAGAGCGAAGATGGTGTTGAAAAAACCGGTGCTTTGATTTTTTTTAGCTCGAAAGTTGAAGATAACAAGTCCCAATTTTTCAAAGAACAGTCATTTTTATCAGTAGAGCAAGCTTGACGTAAGAAAAAATAGCCGCGTTGATTTTTGAAGCCTCAAAAAAGTCGAAAAAAAACCCAATTTTCTAACAGAACGGTCATTTTTATCCACAGAGCGAAGTTGTAGCTGAAAAAACGGCCATTTTGATTTTTTTTTTTTCAATCGATTTTTCCAAGGAAGGGTCTTTTTATCAACAGAGCAAGCTTGACATAAGAAAAATAGCCATTTTCTTTTTGAAGCTTTTTGGAGGCTTGAAATCCGAATTTCGGCAAAAACAGACACCTAGAAATGAAAAAATATTCAACACTCCTAATACTTTTTTGTTCACCACAATGAACTTGATGAACGTAAAAGCATTTTTAATCAGTTTTTCAGTATTTTTTCAAAGGAGCTAACTTTCCGCAAACTAACATAAGCTTCAAAAAATATTTTCAAAAGCTTGAAATTATTTGTACCTACCTGACTTAGCGCGTAGCTTTGGAAACCGATAGGTGATGTACAAAATGTGAAAATTCCCAAAATGGCCGACGACGTTGAAAATCAGAATCTCGTAGAAGATAACTTGTTGGTTGAAGTCGCTCCATGTCATGCTCATCTCATTATTTTCTGAAGCTTGGAAAAAAAAGAAATATTTTGAAAAGCGAGCGAAATGTGACAATGGTGCACTTGACAAGTGCTGACAAACACAATTTTCATCGATTTTTTTCTCGGAACATGTGTTTTTTGCTTGTGGAATAAGGATATTAAATATCTGAGATATAATAGGAAAAATAAGAGACTTGAAAAAATAAAGACGGAAACGTGGAACTTCGGGGTGAAAATTGTTGTTTGGGGGACCAATTTTTTCGGATTACGACCGATTTTGAGACGTTAAGACCCCTTCTTAGCGTTTGAATTCTCTGTTTTTTTATTCAAAAAGTGGTCTTGATCATTCGAAAATATTAAATATGTACGAATAGACTAGATCCTTTTAAAAAACGAACAGAAATTGATGGAATTTTGATAATCCTTCAGGCTTTTATTGGCTCTATCTCCATATAAAAAACAAAAATGGACCCCCTTTTGAGGGATTAAAAACGTTGAAAGCTGGAAAAAAAGCCATTTCTTCTAATTTTTTTCAACAATAGAAATTTTTTTGTCTTTTTATCAAAATTTTGATGGATAGGAAACAATGTCAGAAATCAAAAAGAAAGTGGAAATTTGAATTTTTCTGAAAAAAACCTATTTTTTTAATAGTCCTTTTTTTCTTTATATACTCTTTTTTTCAAAAATTTTGGTTGCACTGGGAATGGCTTAACACGTGGCAGCTTCAATTTTCAAGTTGCGCCCGACCAAAAAAACGACTTACGCGGAGTGGAACTGTGAATTGACTCTAATTGGTTTTGAAGTACGCTGAGCCATTCCAAATGCGACCAAAGTCTTAAATTTTGAGTTTTCGTCCAAAACTGGTAGAAGCGGTAAGCGAAATCTCCCAATTTCGGAACAAAAAAGACAAAAAAGCCAGAAAACTCAAAGAGAAATGGTCAAAATAACTACTAGAGACTAGAAAAAGTTGTGAAAAAATGTGCCAATGGGAGGACGCCTTGTTTTCGCGTTTGGCCGGGCTTTCCAACGCTGTTATTTTGCCCGTCGTCGGCCGGACTTTGAGATTGAATCAGTTAACTCAAAACGCCTAAGGATAGGTGCACTATTTGTGTGTCTCAGGGCCTTACTAAAAGGATTATAAGCGGATTGAGCTAATTTATACGTTGGTGATTCGTTTTCCGGGGCTGGGGGGGGTGCTCAGAAAGGTTGACTGTTCTTCAGAAAAAAATCGAAGGTCCTGAGGAAAAATTTTTGTTTTCTTGTAAGGATAGGTGCACTATTTGTGTGTCTCAGGGCCTTACTAAAAGGATTATAAGCGGATTGAGCTAATTTATACGTTGGTGATTCGTTTTTCCGGGGGCTGGGGGGGGTGCTCAGAAAGGTTGACTGTTCTTCAGAAAAAAATCGAAGGTCCTGAGGAAAAATTTTTGTTTTCTTGTAAGGATAGGTGCACTATTTGTGTGTCTCAGGGCCTTACTAAAAAGGATTATAAGCGGATTGAGCTAATTTATACGTTGGTGATTCGTTTTTCCGGGGCTGGGGGGGTGCTCAGAAAGGTTGACTGTTCTTCAGAAAAAAATCGAAGGTCCTGAGGAAAAATTTTTGTTTTCTTGTAAGGATAGGTGCACTATTTGTGTGTCTCAGGGCCTTACTAAAAAGGATTATAAGCGGATTGAGCTAATTTATACGTTGCTGATTCGTTTTTCCGGGGCTGGAGGGGTGCTCAGAAAGGTTGACTGTTCTTCAGAAAAAAATCGAAGGTCCTGAGGAAAAATTTTTGTTTTCTTGTAAGGATAGGTGCACTATTTGTGTGTCTCAGGGCCTTACTAAAAAGGATTATAAGCGGATTGAGCTAATTTATACGTTGGTGATTCGTTTTTCCGGGGCTGGGGGGGGTGCTCAGAAAGGTTGACTGTTCTTCAGAAAAAAATCGAAGGTCCTGAGGAAAAATTTTTGTTTTTCTTGTAAGGATAGGTGCACTATTTGTGTGTCTCAGGGCCTTACTAAAAGGATTATAAGCGGATTGAGCTAATTTATACGTTGGTGATTCGTTTTCCGGGGCTGGGGGGGGGGTGCTCAGAAAGGTTGACTGTTCTTCAGAAAAATCGAAGGTCCTGAGGAAAATTTTGTTTTCTTGTAAGGATAGGTGCACTATTTGTGTGTCTCAGGGCCTTACTAAAAGGATTATAAGCGGATTGAGCTAATTTATACGTTGCTGATTCGTTTTTCGGGGCTGGGGGGGGTGCTCAGAAAGGTTGACTGTTCTTCAGAAAAAAATCGAAGGTCCTGAGGAAAAATTTTGTTTTCTTGTAAGGATAGGTGCACTATTTGTGTGTCTCAGGGCCTTACTAAAAAGGATTATAAGCGGATTGAGCTAATTTATACGTTGCTGATTCGTTTTTCCGGGGCTGGAGGGGGGTGCTCAGAAAGGTTGACTGTTCTTCAGAAAAAAATCGAAGGTCCTGAGGAAAAATTTTGTTTTTCTTGTAAGGATAGGTGCACTATTTGTGTGTCTCAGGGCCTTACTAAAAAGGATTATAAGCGGATTGAGCTAATTTATACGTTGGTGATTCGTTTTTCCGGGGCTGGGGGGTGCTCAGAAAGGTTGACTGTTCTTCAGAAAAAAATCGAAGGTCCTGAGGAAAAATTTTTGTTTTTCTTGTAAGGATAGGTGCACTATTTGTGTGTCTCAGGGCCTTACTAAAAAGGATTATAAGCGGATTGAGCTAATTTATACGTTGGTGATTCGTTTTTCCGGGGCTGGGGGGGGTGCTCAGAAAGGTTGACTGTTCTTCAGAAAAAAATCGAAGGTCCTTGGGAAAATTTTGTTCTCTTGTAAGGATAGGTGCACTATTTGTGTACCTCGGGGCCTTCCTAAAAGGATTGTAGGGCTAATTTATACGTTGCTGATTCGTTTTCCGGGGCTGGGAGGTGCTCAGAAAGGTTTCAGGAATGTTAATTTGAGGTTTTTGAGCCAAAATCTTCGAGTGGGGGTGTCAGAAGGGTTTTGAGAATTTATAAAAAGGTTTTTGAGATTTATTTATTGAAAGGTTTTTCTGAAAGAGGTTCTGAAAAGTTGATCAGAATGGAATTTTTGGATTCATTTTTAGAAGACAGATGCTACAAATTTGAAAAAGAAATATAAACTCTCTCTCTCTAAAGGGGCTATTCAGAGGATCACTTCTTTCCGAAAAATAGGTTCTTTTTTGAGTTGGCGGGGGGAATTTTCTGAAATTTCATCAGAATAGTCTTTGATTCAGTAGATGAAGATCCTGAAATTATCAATTCCTATTTTTTGAGAACAGAGGTTTCTAACTTTTTTTCGGCTTGAGACCTTCAGAATCTTCATCAGCTCTGTCGATTCTCAGAAAAATCCAAAGTTCTGCAAAATTTACCTTCCTTGTAAGGATAGGTGCCCTTTTGTGTATATCAGGGCCTTCCTAAAAGGCTTATAAATGGACTAGGCTAATTTATACGTTAGAGATTTGTTTTTAGGGGATTCCTAGGACATGTAGTCTTGCCCTTTTTCTAGAAAATTCCAAGAAAATACATTGCTAGGCTTATTAAAGACCGTATTTAAAGATAAAGCTTCATTAGAATGAAAGAAACTCAAGATTTGTGAGAGGAGACTTCTATCGACTAGGTTTCCTGAGGTTGAAGGACTCTGGAGGACATGCATTTCCGCTCTAAAATAGATTTATAAATGGCCTCTGAAGCAAATAATAGTAGAAAAAGCTCGTTTCCTGAAATAAATTGGCTCAGAAAGGTCTTTTTGATTATTTTAATGAAGGTAGGTTTTTGGAATATTTTCTAGAAGCTGATTTGAGTTCGGAAATGATCTTTGAGAACTTGATTTTATAAGAATTTTGACAATTTTGAGAAAAAGCGGAGTTTTAGTGTGAAGAAACGGCCATGTGGGGAAATTTCTTTGATTTTTAGAGAATCAAAAGATATTTTTAGGTTCAAAAGATTTTTAAAAAGCGTACTTTTGAAGAAAAATGAGTTAGAAACTGCCCTATGAGACCAAAAAAACAAGAAAAAGTCGAGTAATTCATTTCCCTAGGATTAAAATGGGCTCAGAGAACTTGTACTTTTTGTTTTCATTCGCTGAAAAAGGAGAAGTTGATGGCCCCTAAAGTGGTCACTATGAGATTTTTAGAAATCTTCTTCCTGAGCTCTCGAAATGAAATGGGAAAATGAAAGAATGAAGGTTAAAGACTGAAAAAGGGATCTTTGAACCTAAAAAGTTTAAAAAGGTAATTTGAAAGATTTTTGAAGGAGAAAAGACTGAAAAAGCCGGATTTTTGAACCTGAAAAATTGAGGTAAATTTGAAAGATTTTTGAATGGATAAAGACTGAAAAACAGATTTTGAACCTGAAAAATTTGAGAAAAATTGAAAAGATTTTTGAAGGGTAAAAGACTGAAAGAAGTTGATTTTAAACCTAAAAAATTGAAAAAATGATGAATCAAAGAATTTTTCTAGATGATAAAGACTGAAAAAGTTGATTTAGAACCCAAAATTTTGACTAAAAAACGAAATAAGCTGAAAAAAAGCACCTGAAATCCCAATTTCAGGCGTCAGATTGTTTTTTTCCGGCCCTCATTTAAGGTAGAAACGCCTTGATTCAAGCGGCCCTTCCCAGAAAATGAGATTTATCAGAAAAACAAAAAAAAAGGTACCCAGACTATCCTTTTCGTTATTTTTAAACCCAATTTGCCAGAAACTACGAATAATGTTATTCAAAACATGCTGTCTGGAGGCGTTGCTGAACCAGGAATCCGTCAAACTAATAGGGCCTTGAGAATAATTAATGGAAGGGAAATCTCACGATCCTTGGCTTACAAGGCGTAACCAAATCGGATTACGAGGGATACTTGATAGGATTAATCAATCGGGATTGCGGAAAAATAAAGAAGTAAGCTTGGCTGAAAGGCTTCATCTTGTATTTAGGAAAACTCATGTAAAATTCAGACTCGAGTTGCGACTTCTCAAGGACAAGTTAATTGAACTTTCGCCGGAGGATATCCGAAGCCTTTTTTCTGGATAGAGTTGGATATAAGCTTAAATTTGGACTGGGACATAGTCGGGATTAAATAGGGCTTTTAAAGAAAACTATAGTGGAGTTTTAGAGTTTTCCAAAATGTTTCAATAATTATGACGCATCTTGTCAGGTCAATTTGTGTCTACATGAATATCTTTTTCTGAAATTGAGCATTTTTTTCTGAATATGGTTAGATATAAGCTCAAATTCAGACTGGGAAATAATCAGGGATTAAATAGGGCTTCAGTTAAAAGATAGAGGAAACTATAGTGGAGTTTCAGAAGTTGCTAAAAAAATGTTTCAATATTTATGACGCACCTTGGCAGGTCAATTTTGAACTTACTTTTGTGTATCTACAGAAATATCTTTTTCTGAAATTTTCGGAGCCTTTTTCTGAATAGAGTTAGATATAATCTTAAAATTGGACTGAGACGGAATTAAATAGGGCTTCTGTTAGGAGTTTCAGAAGTCACCAAAAATGTTTCAATAATTATGACGCATCTTGTCAGGTCAATTTTGAACGTGTTTTTGTGTCTACAGAAATATCTTTTTCTGAAATTTTCGGAGCTTTTTTTCTGGATAGAGTTGGATATAAGCTTAAAATTGGACTGGGACTTAGTCGCGATTAAATAGGGCTTCTGTTAGAAGCTTGAGAAAACTTTAATAGAGTTTCAGAATTTTCCAAAAATGTTACATTAATTATGACGCATCTTGTCAGGTGAATTTTTAACTTACTTTTATATATCTACAGAAATATCTTTTTCTGAAGTTTTTGGAGCCTTTTTCTGGATAGAGTTAGATATAAGCTTAAAGTTGGACTGGGACGGGATTAAATAGGGCTTCTGTTCAGAGCTGGATAAAACTACAGTGGAGTTTCAGAATTTCCAAAATGTTACAATAATTATGACGCATTTTGTCAGATGAATTTTTAACTTATTTTCGGGATTCTACAAAATTATTTTTTTCTGAAACTGAGCCTTTTTTCTGGATAGAGTTAGATATAAGCTTGAAAATGGACTGGGTCAAAATTGAATAGGACTTCTTTTAAAAACTTGAGGGAACTATAATGAAGTTCCAAGAGTTTCCAAAATGTTTCAATAATTATGACGCACCTTTTTATTTCAATTTTGAAAGTCGTTTTGGGTCTGGCGTGCTTCGTAAGAACCGAGCTATTCTACGTGCAACTAATAGGTCACAAAGCAGTCAGAAATTTATTTAAGGAATATCAAAGAAGATTCTGGAAGAAGTAGTACTGCACATTGAACAATCGAAAAAGGCAAAAAAAGTCCCGTTACAGGAATCGAACCCGGGACACTCGCTTCACAATCTAGCTCCCTACCTACTGCTCTACACTCCGAATGGCTTCACCAATGGTAGATGCGCCTTTAAAATCTTCAAAAAATATTTTTTTTTGAGAACCCTGTCGCTTCCACGATAACGATCTTGTTTTTCCATCAAAAGGGTCAGAAAATCCCATTCGAATAAAATAAAAACGAATTGCTCTCGCCTCTTGAAGCTTGCAATTATAGTGGAAGACCGAAATATTGAAAAAATCCAATGTATCCAATGGAAGGACCCCAAAAAGTGCCACCGATTCCGGCAGTAGATCGATATTTCATCGGTTCGATTCTTCTCCTGATCCACGTCTTCAGCGTTTCCTTCAACGTCTGCCTCCTCGTCGCCGTCCGACGCTTTTCTAGACGACGTTTTCAGTTTTTCCAATGATTTTTGAGTATTTTTGAAGTTTAGACACGTTCCCGACAGTGTACATCTACCTGATGATCGTGTCCGATCTTCTGGGCAACTTTTTCGGGGGCTTTCAGTTCTGTTTACCGTATTTCTTGTCTGATGAACGGACTCAAGGTGAGGTTTCCGGCCTTAAAATGATCTCCTTAAGTGCGCCATAAATTTTGACACAGGCTTCAAAGTTTCCGACTAGGAAACTTTCTGAGACTCAGATCTGGTTCAAACTTCTATGGTAGGAAGTCCTAGATATATTATTTTTTTAAAAAAACAGAAAGATTTTTTTATTCTAAGCGCCATGAGATACTGGAAAAAAATGTACAAAAAAATGTTTGAAAAGAAATTTCGCGAAATTCCAGAAAAAAATCTCATCTTTTTGATATGTTTCATTTTAAGAACTTTTAAATCGACTGTGAATTCTGAAATTGAAGGAAATCTCATATTCATTATAAGAACTGCGATTCCTGTGGAAAAAAACACACCTTTTTCAGTCTATGTTCGGTACTTTGGGCCCTACATCTACATTTTTAACGGCTATTCCATATTACCATCGCTTTTTTTCATGATCCCATTGATGACTTTGAATCGTGTGGTTCTGACTTTGAAGCCGGAAATGTTCGCCTGGTTCTCGAGTCGAAAATTGTGGATCTACAACGCTTTTCTGGGGGTAAGCAGGCTTGTGGCTGGGCGGCCCGGGGTGAGCTTTGGGCTTTTTTTTGAGGCTCCATAGTGAATTTTTTCATTTTACTTTCTACCGAATTATCGTTCTTGTTGAGTTTTAAGGGAAAAAAAAGAAGCGAAAACGTAATTTCTGTCGTGGAAGAGCCGGATATTGGACTTGGAGAAAATCAGCTTTTCGGGCCGGACCGCCCGTTTTCGATTAAGGCCCTGCTAAGGCCCGCAAGCCTGGGAATAAACTAGCAAAACTTCTACAATTACCTCGGGCAAAGTAGGAATGGTGGATGATGGCTCAAGAAAGGCTGCAAAAAGACCCGCGAAAGGCTGCAAAAAGGCATCAAAAAAAGCCGCAAGAAGGCAGCAAAAAGGCCGCAGAAAGGTCCCAAAAATGCTGTAGAAAGGTCCCAAAAAGGCTGCAAGAAGGCACCCAAAAACCCGCAAAAAGGCTCCAAAAAGGCTGCAAAAATGCCGCAGAAAGGCAGCAAAGAGGGTCGCTTAATGAGCCTTTCATTTTTTTTTCTGTGATTTTAAAGGCTCCAAAAAGGCTGCAAAAGATCCCAAAAAGGCTGTAAAAAGGCCACAGAAAGGCCGCAAAAAAGCTGCAAAAAGGCTGCAAAAAAGCCGCAAAAATGGTGCGAAATAGCCGATGAAATGGTCCAAAAAGGAACATTTTTGAAGCCTTTTTTGACCCTTTTTGACTTTTTCTATCTTTCAAATCCAGTTTCTCTCGATCATCTACCCAATAATACCGTCTACTTTGGGCTGTCCTTCATATTTCGATCATCGACAGCATAAATCCCGCAATTCTTGTGCACTTCCAGTGATTGTGGGTGATAATATTATTTTTATTTTTTTAAGGGTTTTCAGCTTAAAAATCCGTTATTTTCTAGCAGTTTACAATGTTTCGAGTCTTATTCTCTCTATAGGAATTACATTTGTGTTGGTCTTGTACTTGAAATTTCGACGAACCAAGTTTTACGTTGTGTTCCTCACAGGGAGACGTCTGGCTTTTCCTTTTTTCAAAAGAAAATCTTCATTTTTAGAGAGCCAATCGATGAAAAAAACAAGTAGAAGGTCGGAAAAAGTCGAAAATGGCTTGCTGATCCAGACGCTCGTCATTCTGGTCATGACTTTCGAATACGAAGCCACCTACTTTCTTTCAAACACCTTTGAGGTTTTAGGGCGAATTTTTTTTTGAATGAATCTTCTCAGAAACAATATAACACACTCCCACCTGTGGTACAGTATTTTATTTTCGATATTCGCGTTTATATTCGTCATCTTATCAATTTCTTCGCGTATTTTGTCTTCGCCGACAATATTCGAATCGAAATCATCCGGATTTTCATTCCATCGTATCGCAAACTCAAATTTGGTCTTACCAGTGTATTTCTCTGACTCTTTAGCGAATTAAACATATTTTATTTGTACATGAAACTTGAAATCTGAAGCTCTTACAGGCAGGTCATCGGCTGGGAATTCACGGCGTTCCCAAACGGGGTGGGGAGACGTCAAAAAAATTTTGGCGCGAAATTTGGAATTTCAAGTACGCAGCCAAATGTATTCTTCATGCCGTTGGATACTCAGTTTAATTTGCAAAGAGCTGTGACGTCACAGTCTTATTATCCAAAGCGCGCACTTACTTTTTTTTTGTAAATTCAGAAACTTTGACGCCTCGCCCACCTTCCCTCACCCCATTAGGAATGCCGTGGAATTCCCTGGAAAATGGCCAGAACACTTTTTGATGTACCAGATGAAGATTCTGAAAGTCTCAACCTGCACAATTTCCTAGTTTTGGATAAATAAGGGCCCATAAAAGCCTATTTTTATGAACTTTGAGGGTTTTCTTTGACTTTTCTTTAAAACGGGGAATTTGTGCAGCTTGCGCCTTTCTAGCAAAGATGTGTAAACATTATATCCAATGAACTTCCGAGTGGTCCCTATAGGGGGCAAATTTATCGTTCCTTGAAAGTTCCCCTATAGGGACCGCTCTAACATCCCCCCTATGGGCCAATAGAGCTTGCAAAATTTGTCAAATCTGCTAAAAACTTAGAAGACCCTATAGGGTCCACTTGAGTTTGAGAGGCGTCCCAAAATTCCCATGAGGGCCACTAGAGCTTGCAAAATTTGTCAGGTCTCCTGAAAAAAAAAATGCGAAGACCCTATAGGGACCACTTGAGCTTGAAGGGCGTCCCTAAACCTTTAAAGGAGCCACTAGAGCTTGCAAAACTTGTCAAATCTCCTGAAAAAAGTTCGAAGAGCCTATAGGATCCATTGGAGCTTGAAGGGCGTCCCTAAACCCCTATGGGGGCCACTAGAGCTTGCAAAATTTGTCAAGTCTCCTGATGCGAAGACCCTATAGGGACCACTTGCGCTTGAGAGGCGTCCCTAAACCCTTAAAGGGGCCACTAGAGCTTGCAAAACTTTTCAAATCTCCTGAAAAGAGATTGAAGAGCCTATAGGGTCCACTTAAGCCTTCGGATTTTTATCCTGAAACCCCTCTAGGGACCCCTATAGGGAGCAGTTTTTGTCCACTACAGTTTCCTCTCTAACCTCTACAGTTAGCTTTATTCGAGATGAAAAATATCAACATTGATAAAAAAATAGTCTTTTTCAACTTTCAAATCGTAGTGAAAACTCTAAAGGCCCCTAAAGGGACCACTTAGGGTTTAGAATCTTGAGAGTCAAACGAAAAACCCTATAGGGACCACCTAAAGTTTTTACCCCTCCAGGGAGCATTATTGTATTGCCTATAGGGGCTGTTTCTCCTCGTTGTTCTAACGGGAGATCAAAATATCTCAGTCCTCCCCATTTCAAATATAAGAAAGATTGCTCTCACCTCTTGAAGCTTGCAATTATCGAGACCAAAAAAATGAGATAAACAAATAAAAAAATCCTCAATTTTTTTGGCCTATACGATGGTAGTGAACGGACCACAAAAAGTGCCCCCGATTCCAACAGTCGATCGATATTTCATCGGCTCGATTCTTCTCCTGATTCACGTCTTCAGCATTTCCTTCAACGTCTGCCTCCTCGTCGCCGTCCGACGCTTTTCTAGACGACGTTTTCAGTTTTTCCAATGATTTTTGAGTATTTTTGAAGTTTAGACACGTTCCCGACAGTGTACATCTACCTGATGATCGTGTCCGATCTTCTGGGCAACTTTTTCGGGGGCTTTCAGTTCTGTTTCCCGTATTTCTTGTCTGATGAACGGGCTGAAGGTGAGGTTTTTGGGCCTTATTTATAGGTTCTCTTGAGTTTTGAGACAAGCTTGGTAATTTGACAAAAAAAAATCAATTGATATTGAAAATTTCGAAAGTCTCTCAGCTTTTTTGATAGGAAATATGCTTAGGGGGCGCAAAGCCCCGCCCCTTCACGCCACCAAAATGACGATTTTTTTGTTGCAAAAACGGTTTTGAGGCGTTTATACTAGCTAAAGTCTCACTTTAAAAATCAACTGTTTCTGAAAACCTATGTAATCGACAACGCTCTACAAGACTGAATATTTTTTTAAATTTATGTATTTTTTTCGAAAAATAAGCGAAAAAAAGTAAGATTTAACACGAAAAAAACTGACAAGTTTCACAAAATCGTCGCGTTTCAGAAAAACCAAGTGAGGAACGCTTCTAAATTTTTAGTATGTTATACATTAACACTTTCTTTATTTTTTTGAGTGAAAATGAAAAAAATCTACCGACGCGAAAAATATTAAAAGCTTGTAAAGTGACACCAAACTTTGAAGCTAAAATGCGGAAAAATTTTCAGCGACATGGTATACTTTTTTTATTTGATTTAAAAACTAACAGTGTGTCCAAGAATGAAAAATTCAAAATGAAAAATAATTATTGGGACAGCGAATCAAATTATATTTGAGTTTTTACCAAAAACCTCCTTTTTTTCGTCTGCCTCGTTGACGCATGAGAGAATAGGATCGCGTCTATATTTTTTTGATTATGTTATTAAGCTGTTCAAAAACTCTATCAATGAAAAAAATTATGAAAAAAATCGATCGACGCGAAAAAAATAACGGCTTTGAAAAACCTCGAAAAAAATGGCAATTTTTTTTGAAATTTCGGAAGATTTCGTGCAAGCGATCCGTAGCAGTGTTTGCGTCAAACACACCGATGCGCCCTTTTTAAATGTCGCAGGAGCCGTTTTTTTCGGAGTCAAATTGTACTTTTTTTCTGTTTTATTTCGAAATAACATTATTTTTTTCATTTTTTTCTTTTTTTCCAAATCGAATGATAATAATTTTTCTGAGTAGAAAAAAGAAAAATAAGCTGAAAAATCCCTTTGACCTTTTTTTCTAGGTAGTTTTTTTGATATTTTATCAAAAAAATTCTTATGAGGATTGTACAAAAGATTCATACCAAAACATGAGGCTCAGTCCGGACAACCTCTCAGATCAGAAAACCGATTTAAAAACGGTCCAGAAACGCGCAAAAACATTTAAAAAGAAAGCGTGCGGCAGCGGGTAAACCGTGAGATTTTGCCTCCAGTTGTACGCCGCGCGCGCTCGTTTTTTGGCCATAACTTTTTTCTTAGTGAACCTTTTTTCAAAAACTAAACGGATTATGAAAATGGACAGTCTCCTCTATCGAACAATGTAAAAAACATATTTTTTGAATCGTTCTGAAGAAATGGCTTGCGGACCCTAAATATGCTTCATAAATATTGAAAACTCCGAATTTTTCCGCTTTTCGAAGCCCAATCAGCGGCTTGGAATGGCAAGGCAAGTGAGGGCAGTTGATATATAGCACCCGACCTTAAACTACTTACGCCAGGTGGTATCTAGAAGCACTAGATCAACGTTAAGAGTGTCCAATGTTTTTCAATGCATAAGCGATCCTTATTATATCCATTCCAAACGCGGCTGCTTTTTAAATTAAGGCTAATGAATCATAATACTAGCTATTTTAAAAATAAAGGTTCAAAATGAAAATTGGAAAGTCGATGATGAAATTTCAAATTTGAAATGTGAGCTTATAAGATGCGTCAAAAAAATATTGAAACATGCCATAAAGATGCGTCATAAATATTGAAACATGCCCTTTTCTTTTTCCTTTTTTTCAAAGTTTTTTTCAATTTTAAGCATATTATTTGTTTTTTCAAATGAACCTTCCATGAAAAAAGGCTTCTTTCATGATTTTTTTTTTCAGCCTACGTCAAGCATTTCGGACTGTACGTCTACATTTTAACGGCGATTCCGTATTGCCATCGATTTTTCATAATTCCACTGATGACTTTCAATCGTGTGGTTATGACCTTAAACCCACAACTGTCCGACTTATTCTCGAGGAGAAAATTGTGGATTTATAACGCTTTTTTGGGGGTCAGGGAACAAAAAATCTATTTTTAGATGGTTCTTTGTTCAGATTTTCTCGATTTCGTATCCAGTGATACCTTATCTTTCCAGCTGTCCTATATATTTCGATCATCGCCAACATAAATTTCGTTTTCTATGTGAATTCCCGTGGATTGTGAGCTTGGAACTGATCAAAAATGAAATAAAAAACAGAAATCCCCAGAAAATGTGAAAAATTTCACATTTTCTGAGGGATCGCTTTTGCCAAAAGATTTATCACACGAAATGCCTTTTTTTCAGGAAAATTCGTCGCGTAGAGTCCTAAAAAATTTTTTGAAGGAAAAAACCCCATGACGGTTCCCTCAAAAACGCATTCCGAGTATTCTGAATTGAAAAAAATCAATTGGCTTCGGCACAAAAATTTATAACTCAAAAAGTCATTTTAGACAACATATGTTTTGTGAAACGTCGATTTTGAAAAAAAGCTCTGGGCGTTTATCTCAAGAAAGTCATACTGAGCATTTTAAAAACAAAAACATGAACCAAGTATCTTCTGCAAAAATGTTACTCATCAAAATGTCATTTTTGTCGAAATTTCAGGGACCATCTCGCTCAAAAATTAACTCAAGTACCTCTCAAACGCATCCAATACGGTTATATTACACGACAGAAAGTGAATCTATTCAAAAAATCTAAAAAATAAGCGAGAAAAAAAGAGAAAAAAAGTATATTTAAATTGAATGAAATTTTTGAGAGACTGACACGCGCCGCACCGCGATGCGTTAGAAGGAATTCGCGTTTTCGCTCCATTGAGACGACCATTGTTTTCGCCTGCGCTCGCCCGTTTTGAAACACTGTGTCTAATGTGAATTTTTCACAGAAAAAATATCGTTTTTCGTTCGCAGTATACACAATATCCTCTCTAACCCTGTCCTTGGCGGTCACATTTCTGCTCGTTATTCATTTGAAATTTCGCAGAACTAAATTCTACGCCGTCCTTCTTGCACTAACCGGAAAAAGTGCTACTCAGAACATTTTTCAATCAATTTATCTTCAATTTCAGGAGGCCAGTTTAAAAAGCGTCGAAATAGACGGTCGGAAAAAGTTGAAAACGGCTTACTAATTCAAACGCTCGTCATTTTGGTCATGACTTTCGAGTTTGAAGCCACATTTTTCTTTGTCACCGCTTTAGAGGTATTTTCACAGCTTTTTCAAAAATTATCTGTTCCCAGAATGAATTCAACACACTTTCGCCTTTATTACAACACTTGATTTTTGGTATCCGCGCCTATATTCGTCATCTTATCAACTTTTTCGCTTATTTTGTCTTCGCCGATCTTATGCGAATAGAAATCGTCCGTCTTTTTAATCCAACGTACCGAAAGTTCAAAATTGGTGTCGCCAGTGTACTTGTCTGAACGGATTGTATTATATTTGTACATGAAACTTGTAAATTATGGATTTTGAAACAAATTGAAGAAAAAATAATGGAACGCGGAAATGACGGTCCAACGCACAATTGCGTCTCTTACTCGGACATTGGTAACGCGAAACGGACGTGCTCCGGACAATTCTGGACGATTCTAGGGATCCCTTAAGAGTTCTGAGGCTACTAAAGTGGTCACTAGAAATGCCGCGACACGTCCGTTTCGCGTCCCGTTCGCGTTACCAAGTTCTGAGTTTGATAGATTTACGCGGAGTTCAACTTTTTTTCAATTTTTCTTTTTATTCTAGCTTTTATTGAGTTTCGCAATTCAAAGTCAGAATTTCGGAATGGAAATAGCCCGGTTTACATATCCTCTTCAAAAAAATCAGTCAATTTTGTTTAATTGCTTTTTTTAAAAAAATTTTTTTCGTATATCACATTTTTTTATGGCGTGCTCATCGGAGAAACCGATACTTCTTTGAAACAAAAAATGGTGTTCATCGACGCGCCAAAGTTGTTCCAAAACAGTACTAATTTTTGTTTTTGTTTTGTCCGATGAACACGCCATTAGAAAAAAATTTCAAAAATAAAATC